GAAAAATGAGAAAAAAGGAGATATGTTTTTATAGGCATAGAAGGTAAAAACTAAAAAACCAATATGTGAATAAAAGTATAAAATCCCAAATAGAAAAATGAGAAAAAAGGAGATAAGGAGTTGTCACTACCACCTGGTTACAGCCTTAAACTCAGATGGGGGGTGGTTGTGTATGTCCTTGTATGTTTTAAGCAACTAGCTTGGAAGTGGGCAGAAAATGATAAAAAAGCAACTCATCAGCCAGAAAACCACGAGGGACATTTTGGGGCTTTAATTTGGTATGTCCACTTCTCGTAGGCGCCCCTCGCAATCCTGCGTCCAGGATCACGGTTGCAAAGGTCAGGAAATGCAAATAAAAAATATATATATTATAACGATCAACAAAAAGTAGCAATGGACAAAGAGTGCTTACTAAAGTAGGACTGTTGAGTGTATGAATGCATTTAATTTGAGTGGGTGAAGAGGATAAACATGGTACGGAGTGGCTTTGGGAATAAAGGGCTGGGAGAAATGGGAAGGGTTGTTCCAAACATTCAACAGCCATGTCCTCCATCTATTCTATACATACAAACCCATTCCCAGATCAGGTACCCTCCTCTTTTTCTACCCAACCCATTTTGCACGCCCTTGCCATAGCCACACCCAACCCCGCCAACTCTAACTTTATGCTGTTATGCACAGGTGATACTTTAAACCCTTCAACTTCTGCGGCCATGCCCTTTAAATTAGCTCGAAATACATTTCAGAATGTTTTTTGCAGTCATTTACCACGTTTTAAAATTTTTAGGCATACTTTTTTGCGTTCCTTGCTTTAAGTGGCCCCCTAAACCTGGAGGCTCTTGGGCAGTTGTCCAATACTAGTCCCCCTAATGGCGGCCCTGTTCATATTCCACGCATCCCTTCGCAGGGGCCTGTTTGTATGTGTTGACCTCCTCTCATTCTGAACTGTGAACTTGAGTCTACATGAAAGTGAGGGGTTTTGCAAACTCACTTTAAAGGGGCCCGCCGGCAGATTTCCCGGTGTCCCGCCTAGCCACAACGCCCCTGGATGACATGGTGCATTGTCAATGAAAAGGAGAACCTTTCTTTGCTCTATCAGAAGATTTCTGTTTAGTCGATGCAAAATCCTTTCCATTAGCTCCGAAATCATCCCTGCTTTTTTTGTTGTTGAAATAGGACGCTCCGTGGCCGTGTTTTGTTTGACGAAGTCTTGAAGCATCTCTGATTTTCGCCTTTCCGATGATGATAGGCATCTCTATTTCGCCTGTATTACTCACAATAAACAATGCCGTCAGCCTTTGCGTTGATTTCTTGCCTCCCCTGCATCGTTTCCATTTGTGAGACAAGGGCTTTTCAGGGAAGGCTTTCCAAAAGAATCCAGTTTCGTCTAAATTCCAAATATCTTTTAATTCATAACCCATAACTATTTCCCTTAAACGTTCAACCCAAGAGATAACATTACCTTCCATAACGTCACTTTCCTCTCCTAAGACACAAAACTGGGCAATAATGTAACATTTTTTTCCACTTATCCAACCAGCCGTTGGAGGACTCAAACGTGCTTGACCCGAAACTGTTTGCAAAAGCTTTGGCTTCTTTTTTATCATTGGTCCGCTAATAGGAATGTTTGATCCCCTTGCCCGACAAAACCAGTCAAAATTAGCGTTATTTACATCAAAAAATTCTGCAGATCTTGTCTTTTAAGCGTTTGCTGAACTTTCATTGGACTCCAAATTTTTCTGCGATTTGATGTATACAGATAGCTATATGTTCCTTTTTGAACGCTATTAGCTGGACTTTTTCTTCAAGGTATAAAAACTTCTGATCGAAGTGTGTAGCCATTGCGAAGAAATTCTGAAACAGTAAAATTGTCGAATTCAAGGGCTTCAGTACTCGAGTATCTTCTAGAGAGTTTTTTATAATAAAGAGTGTAAAGTAATGGTCGTCAGTATTTTGTTTACTGTCATTGCATCACTGCTGATATCCAGCAAGGTTTATCTCACATCCCGCCCAGGAAACCAGATTGTATTTTAGATTATTATTTGAGTTATATTCACTTCAAGGTCTATGAGTAAAGTTGTCTTCGTATTTAGAGCAGCTTTGTTCAGTTTAGTCCTTATTACAGTGTTCCATTCAACTTTAAAGAGAACTGCAATCCTGGAAAAAAGTTAGGGGACATTTGCTGTTATAGTCATTTATTGCAAAAGCACCTAACCCCCTGCCCCTAATATCAATGTTGATGTTGATTTTTTTAGGTTTTCTGGCTTCCACAATCAACTGTCATTACCCACCACCAATATTGACATCGGGGGGAGAAGCATACCACTGGTTTTGAGGGCAATTTCGCAGAAAATCACCTCATTACGCAGTAATTATCTCATAACCAACTTCTTTGAAAGAAGTTTGTTACTATGTACTCAGGGTTCAAACATAGTATCTACAAAATTACTATGATTTGGCTGTTTTATGTGTTTTATTTATAAAGCTTTCAGTTTCTTTGCTTTTTTTGGGGGGGGGGGGTTCTAGGTTCTCTGGATTAGTAAAAGGTTGCCTGCTTGACCGTTAATGGAGGTAAAATGTGGCATTTGGGGACTCCAAAGTGGCCGCTTTGCCACTCGGAGGAGGCCGCTGTGTGGAGGTTTTTCCAAGTGAGTTTGACCATAAATTCGGCAAGGAGTTTAACAGAAGCCATCAAGAACTCATTAGATGGTAAGAAAGTCGGTTGTGGGATTTTTATTGACCTAAAAACGCATTTGATACAGTAAATCATGAAATTCTTCTGACAAAGCTTGAACATTATGGAATTCGAGGAACCGTCTTAGACTGGTTCAAATCACCATTCCCCGGGTAACGTCCGGAGAATAATAGGCGAAATTTCAATGAATAATTATGTACAAGATAATAGACAGTGTAATTAAGTATCGATAAGTAAAAGACATGACGTTAGAATAGCGTGATTGTGAAATTACGGCTTTGATGTATCGTAAATCACCATCGCTACGGTTGACGGCCATAGAGTCCAAAGGTCAGTTTGCTACCCAGACTTAATGGCGGACGTTACCCGGGAATGGTTTATATGTATCAATAAATGGATCAAACTCGTGGAGTTCCACAGGGCTCAGTCCTTGGTTCTCCCCTTTTCCTAATTTACATTAACGATTTGCCATACTCATCCTCAAACCTAGCCTTATTTGCAGATGATACCAATATCTACTGTGAAGCTGACAATCTTGATTTGCTTCAAAGAACAGTTAATAATGAATTGAAAAAAGTTAAAGTTTGGCTTCATGTTAACAAATTATCATTGAATATTGATAAGACAAATTTTATTACCTTCAAGTCTATTCAGAACCCCTCCTCTCAAATATTCAATATCAAAATTGGAAACTTTCCTATCAGATTTCTTGGAGTCCTCTTAGATGAAAATATTTCTTGGAAATATCATTTGACTGAGCTTTCTAAAAAACTGGCAAGAATTTGTGGCATGTTCTTCAAAGTAAGACACTTCTTACACTTACGTTCAAAAAGTATTGGGACACCCTTCGAAACTTCGAAGACATTTTATGCAACAAAAGACTTCGGAAAGACTTTTTTAAAACCTTTCTCATTAAATAAGTACGGCAGTAATTTCCATGAAATTTTCACAAGACATTGTTGATATTTTGAAGCCTTCTATATGTACGCCAAAAAATTGAAAATACATCTACCATAAAATTTCTATAGGTCTCGCTTTCTACTATAATAAAGTAAATGGATTTTGCGATATTGCATCAATTCTCGGCTGCTCAATGAGTGCAGCTTTTCTGGTGTGTAAAAAGTTTTTCCGTACAAGAACAGTAAAAAATTTACCAAGGGTTTGCAGACCAAAGAAGTTTACGACGCCGAGGGACGACAGGTCTTTACTGGGGGAACTGCGAAGTATTGAATCCTTTAGATATTATGTTGGCATGTAAAAGAAGCTAAATAATGGAACATAAGCATAAACATGGCTATAGAAGTCATGAAAAATACAAATTTTCCAGCGTTTTAAAAAGAAAATGCTCTCTCAAAGCAAAAATTACTCATCAACGATGAGTAAAATGGCTTCTCCTTTAATGTTACGCAATTTCGCAAGTAGCTTGAATAAATGCAATAATTTAATAAATTTGTAGCATTTTCGTCGATGAAGTAAACGTTTTTTGAAGCCTAAAAGTTTGATTTCATAATTTCTTTGATAATTTTTTTTGTTATGCAAACGTGAAATTAAAAATTTGTATTTGTTTGGACAGCTCTAAAATTTTTGGAAGGTCATGTGACTTTGCCATTGTTAGGCCATTCAGCCCTTCTGCATATTTTGCTGTTATAATCAGAAAAATCGAAAGAATCCTTTGTTTTCTTGGCTATGCTTCATAAGTTGAAGCATTTTGTTAATTTTTTATTCCATTTTGGGGAAATTTTGGCCTAGATTATTTGTAGAAGGACTGCCTAAATCTGAAAAAGTTTCCGTTGCAAAACCGAATCCAACGGAACGCCATAATTCGTTTATCGAATTCGTCCCAATACTTTTTGAACGTAAGTGTATATTAATCCAGTATTCCTATTACAGAAACGGGTTATAAGGGCAATTGCATTCGAGAACTTTACTTCGCACTCAACTCCTATCTTCTCCGGTTTGAAAATCTTAAAACTGCATGATCTCTTTCAACTTAAACTTCTGACTTTTGTGTATGAATCTGTCAATAAAATCTTCCCTACTTAGTTATATTCATCAATTAAAATTTTCCTATAAAGGGGTGGCCTCTCCTCGATTAGCTTTGCTACTGAGAGACCTCCTCCTCAAAAATTCCTCTTCATGAAAATTTTCTAATTTTTCTGTAGTTATCTTTAGTCTCTAAACTTGTATTGTAACTTGTAGCCAATAGTTTATTTTAATGTTTTGACAAAATTTGTATGTAGTGGAATTTAAAATTATACATGAACTGAATGGCCTCAGGTGGCCATGGCATTTTACTGTATCAAGATTCTGGAAGACGGTAGTTGCGCAGGAGCACTGCTTCATAGCTGACGTGTTTTGTTCATACGATAAAGATTCATCATGGCGGAAGAAAAAGTTCCTGCCAAAGATTTACAGCAGGCCTTTAAAAGGCTGAAATCGTCGTCAGCGGAGAATAAGGTACTTTATCCGAAACTCACTTTCAATTTTTTATGATTTTTTGTCATCATCTATCCCACCAAAAGTGAATTATCGGGCGACATCGAACTGAAATGAATGGAAAATTTTGCTTGTTAAATTTTTCTAGTAGGAGAACAGTAAACAAAAGTTAAGGTGGCTTGATTTTGCCGCGATGTGTTATTTTTTTAAGACAATTTAATGTGATTTATTTCAGCAATGAAGTCCTTTCAAAGCTCAATTATTGTGTGAGTTGATAATTTGGCTGCCGACATTTCTTTGAATTAAATTTAGGCCATGTTTTTTCTCGATGTTATCTACAAGGATTTTTTGTTTCATCTCAAATCAACCCTATTTTAACTACCAAAATTAGGATTTCCGTTTTGGAGAATATCAAATATTTATATTTGATCAAACAGTGATGTTAATTTTCTAAATGGCAAATTTTTAACTTATGATATTTTTCTGGGTGATAAAACTCAGAATTTACTTTGGCTTTTCAGGTTTATTGTGGTTTTAGGGTTTATTGTCATTTGTGACATGGTTTTTAAAGCAACTTATTTACCTAGCCTTTTAGGTTAAGGTGCTTTTTGAAAACTGCTTTTTGAATACCTGTTGCTACAAATTGTGGGCTGCAAAACTATTGTTATTTGTAAATTTGAGTTTTGTTGCTCCGACGCTCCCAGCACAGAGAAAAATACTTACGGTCTAGGGTTTTAGGAGAACTAACTTGGACATGTATTTCTTCTTGTTGCAAAATGAAAATTTGTTTTTGCTATTTTAACAATAAAAATCCTAAAAATCTTGTCAATATTTTATTTCAATGTCAGAATTTGCATTTAACTTGAAAATATTTGTGCATTTTATCCAAATATATGCTCATTTCTAGATGTGCTTTGACTGCCGTGCATCTAACCCAACGTGGGCCTCTGTGACATATGGTGTATTTTTGTGCATCGATTGCTCTGCAGTCCACAGATCCCTTGGAGTACATCTTACATTTATAAGGTAAGAATAATCAAAGAACAAATGTTTTGTGTATTCATACTAAGTTTTTTTCAGGATATTATCCAACATTCTTTAAAAGATTATTTTTGAACAATATTCATGTTACCTGATTTACATAATTATGTAACATTTACAATAAGCTTTGCACAGATATCAATTTAAAGCTATCATTTCTAATGTTTTTGTTTACAAAGGCCTTTCCTTTTTTCAACATTGACATATCTAGTTTAAAGTTGTGGTTTCTTAGATAAGACCTGTCTGTTTGATATCAAGCAAGTTAGAAATTTCATATTTGGAAATTAAAAGTCTTCTTTTATTTCTAGAAATTACAAGAAATGCTAACCTTATTATACTTATTGCAGCCTTTACCCATTAGATACCTACAATGTCATTAGTTTGATTAAATTTGAACTGATTCAAAAATATAAATTACAATTAAATATGTTAATGTTTTACATTGAAATTTTCAAACTATGGACTTTTGAGATTTTAAAAATTGCCTCCCTTGAATTATTGATAGTTATGAAAACATGTTTTCAAATATTTCCAACCACTGTCATGTTTTTGGAAAAACTTTGATCTAGGTCAATTCAATTGGATACAAATTGGACATGGCTACAGCTGCGTAGTATGCAGGCTGGGGGCAATGCAAAAGCAGTAAGTATTTAATTCGCTTAATATACTTTTTACACTTTCACAGGCAATTGAAAATGAAATATAAGTGAATATTAAAATTAGGATAAAAGCACACTAGCTTGTAAGAATGGCTTTGAAAAAAGCAAAGATTTAATATACTGTTTAGTCTGGCACTCTTCAGAGTATAAAAGTCAAAACATAGACCAAAACTGGCATCAAATATAAAAAAATTTTAATGGGCATATGACACTGACTTGGGTGCTTGTGTTTTCTGATTGGCCTATTTCGATCCACAACTGGGTATATTTATTTTCTAGCATAGAGTTTTTGGTCTATGTTTTGATGTTGTATACTCTTAAGAGTGTCAGACGAAAAGCTTCAGTATACTCATATTTTTGCTTTTTCAAAGCCATTTTATAAGTTTTGTACCACCTAAAGATTGTTTACACTAACTATCGGACACTGATATAAAAGAAACCATTTTTTTAGTGTTATTTCTTTGACATGGAAATAAATCTTAACCTGAAATACTTTGTTTACATACTGAATGCCACATGAATGCCACATTTAGAAACCCAAATTGTGGTCAGGCTATCCCACTTACACCCTTGTTTTTTATACAAAATTGGTTTATCTATTTGTTTTTCTCTTTGCTCACATTGAAGTGGGTAAATTTGAAATGGAACATGGAATACAAGCACCAATAAAAATATGAACATGCATTTCGTTTTGAGAACAAGAACATTGAATCCATTGTTTTAATGAAATTGTTTGAGTACCCAATGATTTTACAAATGTTTGAACCAGCGGCAGATCCAGACCAGGTTCCAAGCATTCTGGAACCATGTCAAATTTCCTATAACACATAACACAGGTTTTCCCTTTACTTTCAAATAAATCCCTACGCAATAGGTTCTTGTACCACAAACATTGCCGCTCTCTAAATATGGTATTGTGAAAAAAGGAACCCTGTCATAGCCATGGTAATCATTTGTAACATATTATTCTACTCTAAAGAAAGGAACCCTGTTGTAGCTAAGGAAACCCTTTGTACCAACCCATTGTATTTTTCAAGAATGAAACCCTGTCGTAGCCATTGCAATGGATTGTCTTTGATCTTTTACGCCAAAACAAAAAAAAATTCTTGGAACCAATCTCACGAACTCATTGGAACTTGTTTAAACCGCTGACCATGCATGTGTCCTGTTTTCATAAGCTGCAAGTGAAGGCTATGACTGCACAATGATGAGAGCTTGTTTTGAACCCTCTAAAGGGAAGAGACCAGCACCTGAAGTTCAATGAAATTTAAGGATCGCATGGAAGAGTGCTATGAATTTTCAGCAAAGCTTTTCCAGTACGCCTCATCAACTATTTGCTCATTTTTCTTGACTGAACTAGCTAACCTGGAGTAGACAGATCATACCACTTATTTGCTCATGGATCAAGCAAAAAGTGCTTTCCAGATAGTTGTAAAGTAATGCTCATGAGATGTTGCAATAAGCAAGAGAGAATCCTTGGCAGGAAGCTCAGGAATGTTGAATACATTTTGCCTTTGACATGTAAAGTATATTGAACTCTAGAAGACTTAGGTATACATGATATGTTTATCTAGAGATCAAGAACTTTATCAAGATAAAATGACAGACTTTAGAGACTGGGAAAGGATGATTTCATATGTCATAATTTGCAATGTTTAATAATTTGGCTTCTTTGCTATATATGATGAGAATGAATTTCACTGAAATCTTTAAATGTTTAATAATTTGGCTTCTTTGCTATATATGATGAGAATGAATTTCACTGAAATCTTGCAACACTCAGTGAGCTTTTCTCCTGCTGTAAGCAACTAAAGGAATATTAAAGTCCTCTGCTTGGCAAGAAATCAAAATCTTTCTTTTAGAATTCATCATGACATTTCCTGGTTTGGTTTTCAGACTTATTTTTCTTACTTGCCTTGATAATATAATTTCTTATCTAAGTAAAATTAATCTTTTCAATTGTGAATCTTATCAAAAAGTAAACATAGGTATCCTGTCGCTGTTCACGAAGAATGGCGGTACTCTTTTGATGCTTTGTAGGTAGTTCATAGCATCCGCTACACTCATGGGTAGTTATACTTTATACTTGAGTCGCTTTTTGGAATGGAAACCGTTATAAAGCTTTCAATATTAACTGATGCAATGATTTTCGAACCTTTCACCTACAGCATCTGAGGGCAGAAACGCTGAGCCGCGAAATTTAGTTGTTTGTTGCAACAAAGATAGTTATTCTTTGCTTACTTGCTTTTTGGATTTGAAATTGCTTTAATTAGAAATTGTGGTGCTATTACGTTGCAAAGTATTGGTTTAGGTGACACGATTTGTAAGATCTTTTCAGTCGCGAAGTGCACAGCTCTATGCACGTTGAAGCGCTAGAGTGCGTGCTGAGATATCTTCATGGTAGGAGCACAGGGCTCTGATATGCGAAGAAAAACAATGGCAAAATTGACAATAGCAATACACTTTTACCAATCAAAACTTTTATTGCCACTATATCCATATCTTAAATCACGTCATACCACGAAGGATTGATTGTTTTCGCGAAAAGCTGTGCCAACTTCCCTTCTGGCAATGATACAATGCTTCTTTGCATCATTGACTTTGTAATGATGTTGAGTCAACATCATTTCGTGGCCGCAAGCAATAGAAATCGGTACCCTAATTACAGGAAATCGAGCATGCCTTGCATAGCAAAAAAGTTATGGAAAAGCGTCTCTATATATATAGGTATATGTATGCGTTCCCTGCGACCCACTTCTTCATACTTCTTCGTACACAAAATTGGGCATCACCTAATTTTGGATGGAAGTCAAGCGCCTTGCCAGAAAATATGGGACAACGCCCATATAGGACCCATTACCAGACCCAAAATTATTGTCTAGATCTTCCACTGGTTTGAACTGTATTTACCTAAACTTGTGTTTGTAAAGTGTATCTTTCAAATCATTATGTTAAAATCATTATAAAATGAATAATTTTTCCTTATATGTAGTTTCCCAATTCCGATATGCTATCGTTAAGTTTGGATTTATTGTAATTGTTTCGCTTTTTCTAGAATGCATTTTTTAGACAACACAATCTGACTACCACTGACGCAGTGGCAAAATACAACAGGTAAGGCAGGGATTCAAATTTTTCTGTGGTGAATTTAGTCATAGTTTTGTTTTTGAAGAGGCAAAGTCAATATTATTGTTGCTGTAGATTTATCTTCTTCTGATGAGCTGTAGCCCATAATAGCACCCATATCATTTTTATGGGCTCCAGGTCCCTGTTTTATGCTACTTCCTTTCAATGTCCTAGATCAAATATACTTGATACATGAATACAAATTGTCTTCTTACATTCCAAATATTGGTACTCTTTTGGAATGCAAGTGAGATCACCAAATAATCGGAGTTAATGGAACAATCAGAATAAATGCAGCCAGAGAAATGGAACCCTTTTTGTCTAAGTTTTTTCCCTGAACCATACAACAATCTTGAACATAACTATAAAGGTACAAACAAGTGAATATTTACAATACCAATCCAGTAAATGGAATCTGAAAATTTGAATCTGAAATGGAATCTGAAAAATGTTGAGGTGCAAAGAGGAGCATCATATCCTTCATATCACAATTGATTATATCTTTGAGGCAAAGTGAAAACCCTTTGACATCTTTGAAATAACAGTATAAAACTTTTTGAAATAACAGTATAACGTTGAAATAACGTTATTTCTTAAGTCTTTAAAGACTCATTGCTAACAGTGAGCCATTGTGCTGGGTAGACATCCCATTATGCATTTTCAGGCAGTCTTGAATCAATTTTGGTTGTCCATAGAAGTTTACTGACATTATTTGCATCATTGCCTGTATGATTTGCCATGAGCCTTATTGTTAGCAATAAATCTTTAATTGTAAAGCAAATATTTGTGAAATTTCTGGTGTTTAAATATTTTTTTTCGGGAAAAAAATTGGCTTGAACAAATCCATGTGATATAAGTTTTCATTAGGTTTGTTACTTAATGTAAACTGTACTATATTATAGCAGTGAAACATCCTAATCTTATTTATATTTTGTCATGAGCAGCAAAACAGTAATTTCTTTGGTAACTTGTTAAATCAGTACTGGAGTTAATTTTGAGTTTCAGATTCGCAAACATCGTTGAAATCTTGCTTTAATTAACATAATATTACTCTGTTCACTTCATTCACTAATTTTTGGCATTCATTTTTATTTTCCAAACTATTTCAAAATGAATGTGATATTATAAGACTTTTTCATGTTTAATTGTTTAGAGTAATGGTGTTGGTACTTTATTTCTTTATTTCATAGCTCTGAAATTTCTTTCTTCTTTTCAACAGTAGAGTAGCTGCAATGTACAGAGAAAAATTATCATCACTTGCACAAAAGGCATGCCAACAATATGGAACTAGTGTTGTGAGTTTAATAAGATTCTTAATTTAGTTTGGTCAATGCAATATTCTTCTTGACGTTTAGAGTACTTTTCATTTTCCTTAGATTTCAAATGCTATGGAACCTTTTTATCATTAGAGGTTATTTTCTCATCTTGAGCAACAGATCTCTCTGTTGTTTCTAACCAGGCACAGACCTAAATATTTTCAAATTGAGCCTCTTTTTATATTTCACTTATGATTGTCTTCCACCTCTTCTAGTTTTTAATATTTATCAAGTTTCACCATTTTTATAATCGTTGCTTCCATTTAATCAAGTTTTCCATTTATTTTGTCATTCTCTTTATTTGTAAACATATACATCAAAACAAGCGAAAATTTTCATCCCATCTAGTTGAACATTGATGCCCATCACCATACAGCAGCCAGTCCTGAAGAAAAGGAAGCTGACTTTTTTAACGAATCTCACGAAGCTAGCAGCGTATCTCAAGTTCAACCTGTGGCCAGCCCAAGAAACAATACTCCAACAAACAATGGAAATTCTGGTATGATTCTTGTACCTTTTTGCACTGTCCTATGACTGCTGTTTATTATCCAATTCGCAGCTTAGACGATTTATTTATCCCTATATTCTTGATTAAATTTAATTTTTGAAATGTATTTTTTCTGTGAAAGTAAGTTGTGGTTTATTGGTCTTTTGCAGACAAAGATGCGGATAAACTTGCTGATTTTGGCTCATTAGCAGTGTCCCCTCCTAAGACTTCAGCAACTAAAGGTAAGTTCAGGAAACAAATTCAAATCACCTTTTACTTCCATATATGCTATTATAAGTTTTACAAAGATTACCTATTGGAGGATCGGATTGCTGTTATGAGGTCGCTACAATTTTCAGATGCTTTGGAACAAAGCTGATTCCCTTTTGGTATTATCATAACTTTCCTGTTCTGACGTCTGCCCAAGCTGGCTGGTAAAAAGGCTTGTAATGGTATAATAGGTCTTTTGCGAAATCTCGTGATTGTCTGGAAAACCAGAAATACTGTGCAACGTACTGAAGGCCCTTTTCAACCGTTCTCCCACGATTTAAGCCTTAATATATCGTATTCTAGTTCCATATTGATTTGGTATATCGTATTCTAGATGCAAGAGTTCCTACTATTGGCTCAAGAAAACCAAAGTCAGCCGTTGCAAAGAAAAAGGGAGGTGTAAGTGCTCTTTTATTTATTCTATCCTGAGAGAAGCTTGAATCCGATTTTCCTTTTTGTTTTTGTTTTGGAAATGAACCTTTAAGTGATGATCGGTTAGCCTTGTTTTAAATCGATCGCTTCGAATCCAGTCGATTGAGCAATTTTGTTGATACGTTGAGCAATTTTTGCGTGTAAACATTAAATATGCTGTTTCTACCACCCACCTCTGTTTTTTCATTTTGCTGCATATAAGGTAGGGAATTATTGCAAATGTTTTGCATTTGTTTTGGAAAGTGCGTCGGTTTCTTATTGTAAATTAGTGTAGTAGGGTTGCATTCGTGCTACTTCTGTTTCATGCACTGCTTGACTTGGTAGTACTTAGTGAGTAATTTGAAGAATGATAACTCTATGACGTACACAGGATATAAAGGTAGTTTATTCGTCCCAACGGTCATTGTAACTTCCTCGGTTGAATGTCCTTTTATTGCCCCAACTGTGCTTCAATCTTCACTTTGCTTGTAAGCATATAACAGCTTTTGCGCATATAACAGCCAATATCGAATGGTAACTGGACTTATTCCTAGATTTAAAACTCTTTTTCGCTCGAAGTCCTGAATTTTGGCTAGATTTAAAGGATTTAAGTGAAATATCCACGATGATAATCAACATAAGAAGTCAAAAGAACGCGACTCGCACAGCTTCCTTCGTCATTATATATTTTGAATTGATGTTCCGTGATTGTTAACTGTTTAAGAGGATATATATTTCTCTCCTTGTCTCTTCTTTACTTTTTCAAATCGTTGGCAGATGTCTGGAAAGGGTTTCATTATTCATTTGCAACTCTAAAGGGTTCTAGCAAATAACTTTGACATCAATTTTTTATGAATTACACTATATATACCATGTTATATAATTTAAAATGGCTAGTGGCATTTTGATAATGCCCGATCGCCATAGACGATTTCATGTATGTGTTTTAATTAGGATAACTGCATTACCTGCCTGATGCACATCTTTGGTATCTTTAATGATTAAATGCTGCAATACATTTAATAATCCGTTTATTTACCTTGTTTTCGTATTTCGCATTTCTCACACTCGATCTGTTAAAGTATCAGAGAATATAAACATTGTTAAGGTATTTCAAAGGTGAATTCTTGCAAGTGAAACCGATTGAAAAGTCCTGTCGTTTCTCGATCGCAAGCAACGAAGATGCTGCTTTTATTTTTAAAGCTTTTTGCATTGATAAAAGGTAGCCAGGCTGTTGTGTATGTCAAGGGACTTGCTGATATCGTTTCCTTGATTTCAGTTGGCATCATACGGACAGGCTTGTTATCAAAAGAATACGAAGATGTAAAGAGGAAAATATTTTTTCTTCAGAATTTTTCAGCAACATGCTAAAGTCAATTAAGGAGACGTTTCAATCTCTAAAAAATTGTATTTGCGCTTTAATTTTGAGATTTTAATAATTGGAGTGAGAAGAACTGTTCAAAAGAACTTTGCATAAAGTCAATGTCAAAAAAGTTTGCTCTACTTGCATAGAGTTTGCTGTCTCTGAGCACGTAAAATTGTTGTATCATAGAAAGGCATTTACAAAGTAGAACGGCGTGATTTGTAGAAAATGCCTACAAAAAACAAAGCCATGTCGTAAAAAGAATCTCATTGTTTGAAACTAGAATTTCTAGAATTTCAAAAACTCGATGAAAATTCCACCTTGCTTGTTTCTTTGATGATCAAGGCTTCTATTTAGTTCTGTCTAAGAGCACAAATGGATATTTTAGTCAGGCAAGCAAATTAGATAATTTAGCAAATTTTGGTGCGTTTGATCAAGATAAAATAGAGAGTTCCTTATTTTACCTTGGTTTGATGCATGCATGAAGATAGCACTTGTTCCAAGTCAGTTTATGAAGAGGCTATTACATTGCACCCCTGTCTGTAAACATCTGCGCAGAGGCGTGTCTATACACTCAATAATACGTTTGTTTTTATGATGTCGTTTCAGATTGGAGCGAAGAAATCAGGTCTAGGAGCCACAAAGGTGATTTGGAGAAGTTTTTTACCTTTATAGTTTGCTTTTCGTCATTTTTTCTCGTTTGCTTTTACGTTCTACCTCTTTGTCGCATGCTTAGGCTCCTTTTAATATGTTTGTGTCGTGTATGTTGTTGTTTTATATCAAATTCTGTTTCACTGCATTTTGTAGGTGAGCTCCAACTTTGCAGAAATTGAGAATGAAGCTCAGAAGTTAGATAAAATGAAAGAGTCTGTACCAGCCGACTCGTCTCCTGGCCCATCAGCTTCTCTGCAGTACAAATCACAGGGCATGTTAAAAGAAGAGCAGAAACTCAAAAATATGGACCCAAAAAAGGCAGAGCAGATGGAGCGATTGGGAATGGGCTTTGCAGGGCACAGAGGGTATCTAATCATTGTCTCTTCTATTAGTTTACTGTTTAACGCAAACTGATTTCATCTACATTAGCAAGCACCTTCGGTTGAGATTTATATAAAAACTAAGATAATGCACATTGCCAATGAAAAAGCTTTCAGGGAATACAATAATACCCTCAATGTAAAAAGAATATGTCTTTTGCAGTGGAATTGGGCATTCAGCATCAGATAGTATGAACACAGTGGAGCAGATCGATGCCAGTGCTGGTGGCTCAACGTTCAAGGACAGATACAGTTCTGCCTCGTCTTCTTCTGGCTTCTTTGACTCGTAAGTGGCTTTTAATGAATGACAGTTTGACTGGCCTTTATTGCAGCTTCAAGTGCTCAAGAGAGAACACTTCGATACTGTCATCAAAGTAGCGACGTTGCTGACACCCATCGAAATTCCTCAATCTTAGCAAAAGTGCAAAGGGCAAAAAGAACACCAGTTCATTGAGCTTTTATAATCTCCCATCGCATTTGTTAACCATTTCCTGGCGATGTGATGCCAACAAGTTGATTAAATTAAAGAAGCTTTGATTTTGTCTTAAGCTGATTTTTACGTCTACCTCAAGCGGCCAATAAACTTTTTGTCGAGTAAATTGATTCGACGTATCTGGTTGCGGCTACTTGCGTCATCTGGGTCATACGGTATATCACGTCGTCCTATTGGAGAAAGTTATTATATAAAAATCTTTTATCATTCTTTCTGTTTTGTTAGATATGGAATGGATGATTCCTCGCCTCCATACCAGGAAGAACCGCCACCGTAAGTATTATCAACGAGAGATCCTTCTTAAAATTAAACATAGTTCTCTTTTAAGACCTGTACCTATGGAATGTTCGCCTGCTCTTTAGCGTACCTGCTGGTAATGAGCCTGTCTCACTCTCCTGCTCTCAAAGAAAAATATATTTTTGATTGAGTGCCACAGTACTTTTTAGAGGTTCTTTCGTTCGGTACACGAATTATCAAGAGATTTGTATATTTCCTAAAGAAAGTTATCTATGTTTTGCAATGCAGCCTTCAATAAACGGGACCCTTATTGTGCAATTGCTACTTGGCAATGCATAAATCTCCCAGAGTTTGTCATGTAATCTACTGCTAGGCAAACGGGACCTTAAAAAATGATAAATGGAACTTTATGTAACAATTCAGTCAATAGAGCCTCGCGTAACCTAACACTCTTGCTTTTATTATATTTTTTTCTCTCCATTTACCTTTATTTACTTCGTAGAACGTAGATTGTACAGTAAACCTAACTCTTAAATTCAAATTGTTTATAACTGATGTAAATGACTCATGGCTAAATCATCTTTTCTGAACAAGTCTATTTGATCCTACAACAAAATAATTTAGGGCCTTGCTTACGCCATCAATTCTCATATACTGTTAACGGTAATTTCGAATTCCGGCTGTCATTCAGTCTGTAAGATCTTTTAAGGGGAATATTTCGATTGAAATCTATTTGGATGAATCATTTGATTTAGATACGAGACTAGTTATGCTGGCAGAAGCATGGGCGCTAGAGATAACGCAGATTACAGGTGAAGCGTAATTTTGACACGTGATTATAATATATAACAAATGGAAGTGTAATCTTCCTTAACTAATCAAGCCTAACGGATGTTTAAATAATTTTCTGCGAAGCACTTTCAATTAATCTGTTATTCTTAATACGCACAACGTAAAACGAATTTGGCATCGTTTGAAAATTCATTCATATGATTATTGTACTGTCATTTTTTGCTTTTCACTGAAATTCTTTCGCAGTTAGATTTGCTAACTTTGTCGTTTGTTATCACGGCATTGTAAAAGGTGTTTGAACAAGAAAATTATTTTAAGTAAAAAGAGAGGGCTAAAATTCTTACTTCAGCAGGACAGCCTGCATTTCTAACACCCCAAAGTTAGTAGAAATTTTGTAGAATGAACAAATTTTGTTTGGTGGTTTTTGATGATCCCGTCGATATTTCACTTTGTGTCATCATATAATTTGGCAGTATTCCCCTTTATTGGCAATATTCCCCTTAATTTGGCAGTATTCCCTTTAATTTGGCAGTATTCCCCTTATTTTTACAATATTCCCCTTAATTTGGCAGTATTCCCCTTAATTTGGCAATATTCCCCTTAATTTGGCAGTATTCCCCTTAATTTGGCATTATTCCCCTTAATTTGGCAGTATTCCCCTTATTTTTACAATATTCCCCTTAATTTGGCAGTATTCCCCTTAATTTGGCAGTATTCCTCTTCTAGATCCTACAGCCGATCTTATGAAGAATCAAGGTGAATTAGCAAAGCATTTAAACCATCAAATTGATTTTTTCATCGAATGTATTTTCCCTGTTGAAGACATGTTGCTTGATTTTTAGTTCACACCTCGATGATTTAGGTCGCTCTTACTAGAAGCGGTGTGCATGAGCATTTAAGAATAAAATGCGCATATCAATTGCAAGATGAAGATATCTCCAATGTATTTTCTAGAGAATCATTGTACTTTAGAAATAGCATTTAAGTTTTTTTTATGCGAAAGGTTATCAATCAAGCATGTGCATGGCGATTCCCGTCAGATTTCATTCTGCAAGTGGAAATTTGCACCCGTAGAAAGTTAGAAATTAAGTAAAAACAAGACCCTTATTACCCAATGCCTGACAAACTTTTTAACGGACTATTTTTGTTTTGTCGGACTACTTAGTATTGATTTGCTCTTAAATTGTTTTTTGTACAAACCGGCAAAAGAGCCACAAAGAAAAGCAAATCACCTTTGGTCCTTTCAGTTTCTGTAGTGGAAAGACTTTGTGAAAATAGAGGGCCAATTTCAAAGGAAAGCGTAAACCAGTTCTCTGCCAAGAGACTCAGCTTTTCATTTTGAAAGTTGCCTCAAGCCTATACCGATTATTTTCTTCTCTTGAAACGTAGCACCATGGAAATATTGTTTTGATGTAAAACTCAGTGTTTGTAGGTGAAGGTCTAAAACCCATTGATGCCTTATGTCACTGTCTTAATTTCCATGTGTAGGTCAAGATCAAACAAAAGAGACGTTTCTGAGCCTCCTACAGGTAAGTTGCTTGCCTGAAATATCGCAAAATGTTGTCAATAAAAATGAGAATTTTGAAGTTTATGTCTGCAGATTATCTTCACATACGTGATAGATTTCTTGTTTATTCCAGGAATCACGACAGGTGGCTGCTTGAGCACTTTTGCTGTTCTTTTTCAGTCCAGCATCTGTCAGAATTTGCATTTCTTGTTGCTTGCAGCTTGTATTTTCGCGGCTTCTATGTCAAAAATTGAAATTATTAAAAGGGAAAATGGCTTTTTTTAAATGAAAATGGCATTTTTTGTCTGAATCCATCATCTTCTATCATGTTTTGTTTTTACCAAGACCTTTGCTTGAACAGCAGGTGCTTCTAGATTGATGCATTCTAATAAGAATAAAAAGATGGATTTCTAGAATTAATTTCACATACATACGAGCCTTTAAGTAAGGATTTAAGATTTAAAGATGTTTTCAATAGCATCTTTCTTTAAAACAATAATCAATACAAAAATTGACACCTTTTTCGCCTCAACATTTACAGCCCCCCCCCCATCCAACCTCCCCCCTCCTCTTAAAGTCTCATTATTTAATACCATAATTTAATACCAATATGTTTTTGTTAATGCAAACAGCTTTGAACTGAGGGATTTACCATTTAAAAATGTCATTTGCTTACTTGTCTTATATCTTTCAGAGGAGATCCAAAAGAAATTTGGAAACGCCAAGTCTATCTCATCAAGAGATGTTTTTGGTGATAAGAGAGAGGTTTGCTAACAGTTGTTCTCCTTCCAATCTAAGTATCCTTCTATTAAAGCGGGCGAATCAGCGGGCGAATCAGCGGGCGAATCAGCGGGCGAATCAATCTCGTCCAATTTATTTTGCTTTTATAAACAATTATTCTTCTGCTTGGTGAGATAGGTCTTGAATATTCCAAAGCCACTTCCTTCAGACCGCTTTTCTTAACCCATTAGCCCATTGTGCCGATGTTTCAGATTTGGTTCGGAAGAATACAACTTGACAAAATGATGGTAATCAAACTGCGCAACAGTAGTAACATTTTCTTCGTTCTGAACGTTCGTTGGTGAAAATGGCCGACTTTGCTTGTTAATGATTTTAAAATATATATCTGCGTTAGTGGGATTTCCAACTTTTCACACCATGATTGTTGAAATTGCACAACATTTCCCGGGAAGGAGTTTAATAAACATTTTTGCAAAATCTTTGAAGATGTTTTTCATGAAACGTTTAAGCCACATTTTTCCGAGAGCATTAATTATATTTCCATAATTTTATTCCTCTTCTCAAGGACGATATCTCTACATGCTTGATAAATTTTGCATGTTCCTGGGGTTTTTGTCTTCCTCTTTGATATGATACATCGCAAATATCAGTGTTTTTTGTTATGATATAGGAAGACGAAACTCGTGAGAAGTTGGATAGGTATCACGGATCGAATGCGATTTCAAGTGCTGACTTGTTTGGAGAAGAGAAAAAAGGTAAACTGCATCAAAACGTCTTTGCTTCATTCTTTGAACCCATGAGCCTAATTGCAGAGAAGTTTCAACTTGAGTCGGCAGTATAATCAACATCTAAAGTAAGGAATGATAATTGATAATTGATACTTAAAATTGAAATTAAAAGGAGTTTAATGAAGAAATATAAAAGATGAATTTAGAAGATAAGTGTTGTCAGGAAACTAGTTTTTGAGTTACTCTCGCTGAAAAAAACCATAATAAAATGGATGTTGTTGATAGTGTCTGTCGCTCTAATGAGGCAAGAAGATTACCTGTGTATTTTGAAATTATCTCTCTGCGTGTTGTGCAAGGAATTTCCTCTGTAGAAACAGATTTTGTCTTTTTGTTATCAGTAATTTGTTATAGATTTCTGTTGCCAGCATGGGTTACTTATGAACCGAATAGTTTTATTGAACTTTCCCATAGTCAGCCAGCACGGTCAGTTTGTGGATATGTTGTTGGAGGGAAATTTTCTCACGAGTTCCATGTTTACGCCTACTCTCTTGTTGTGCCCTTCCAACGCAAGTGTGGCATGTCAAACCTTAAACAGACTAGCATATCGAATAACATTTTTTGCTGTTGGATGATCATTTATTAAGAAAATTATAAACCATTCGCTTTAATAAAACTTACAGAATTCAAGTATGTTTGCTTTTTTCAAAGCCATTTAGAATTCACGTAGTAAATATACACCAAAAATCCGACATGCTACCACCAAATACCGCCGAAAACAAACTTCATTCCAAATCTTATGGGTTGATGCAGTGGTAGCTATCAAAGGTCGCGATTACACGGGCATTTTTGCTGAAGCAAACTTTTAAATTTTTTTTAAGGTTTATTCGTTTTCTTGCAGAAAAGGGAGGCTCGTTCCGCTCTGTTGATTATTCCCAGCTGAAAGCTGGGGTTTCTCAAGTAACAGGAAAGGTTCGTGTGAATTTTCTCATTGCTGGTGTAATCGAACTCGTTAAAGGTAACACAAAGGTTGACTTCTGTTTCCATTTGTGTCCTTAAAGCTCTTGCTAAACCAGTGCGACACTTTTTCCAACAAATCCTGGTAGGGGTGGCTGGGGCTTAAATGTTTTATTTTATTTTTAGCAAAAGAAAACTGTTTTTATTCTATTTATTCGTATTATTTATTCGTATTCTATATCTATTCATTTATTCGTAAGTATTTATTCTGAGATCCGATGTTTCGCTAGTGCACATTGACTTACCTAGGCCAGTTTTAGAGAAAGGATGACATGAATGGGACTTCAATTTGGGTGGGGGGGATTTTTGTTCTGTTGTAAATGGGGGAAACTTGGAGTTGCTCATAGCTGATGGATTTCTTTAAAGAAGTCTCTTTTCTATGCCCCTTTCACGCAATGATTTATACTCGTAAAGCGCAATCAGTTTGATGGCTTTACACGTGTAAAAGAATTACTTTTGTTCATTAATTTTCTATTCATTACTTAACTCCTTTTTAATTTTTGTACCAGCTTTCAAATATGGCCTCTGGAGTAATTGGCAGCTTACAAAGCAGATATAGTGGTTCGAACTGACGACAGTCAAGGAACATTAGCTAGTAAGAAGTCTCTTAAATGTAATACTTTTTGGTAGTTTGTTAATTTTTTGGAATTTATCAAAAGAAAGATTATTACGTCCAAATGATTGCAATTTAGCGGAAAAATCAAGCGGGAGTTTACATCAAAGGAGTATTTAATATGGATGATTAAGAATCTACTTAAGTGAATTGCTCGTGCCTATTACAAGAAAGACACTGAATTTTTGTTTCTGCATTGTGTGCTCTCTTTGTTAAACAGCGACGTCAGGTTACGTCTTTAAGAATTAGATGCAGCCTTTTTTCGAATGAGAGGTAAAATTCCCAGTTTTTAAACATGCCTTTTGAAATCAAATTATTATTGTTAAAATTTAAAAATTGTTGGGAGATTCCATCTAGAAACAATTAATATCAACACCATCTCTAAATCTTTTTTAAATATACTTCAGTGCTCTTAATCTATTATATGGAATTTATCATGTAATTTGGCAAATCTTGCTTACGCAATGATTTCTGTGTAGAACTTCATGAAAATTGTTTTGGTAACCATTCAAAAGTCTGAATCTTTCCTTTGTACAATTACAACGATATAAATTTGGAAGTTTTTTGATTTAACCTTTAATGCAAATTGTATCTGTGTTGCAAAATTCTCCTTCCAACGTTTGAAAGTTTTTGTCTTCGTGGATTTTTTTGAGACACTTTTTGTGACGTCATTGTGATCCAGTATCGTTAATCTCATGGCTTCTTGTAGTTTATTACTCAAATGTGAATGGAAATTCTCGAACTGTATCAAAAGTGAAATTTCAAAGTCTTTCTGAAAATTCTTTAGTAGAGCGCATATGTATCTGGGGCGTTTTTGTAATGAAAATTACTTTAATCGACTACTTTGGCTAGACATTATACGCAATATGGTGCACAATTGGGTACAATATGGAAAGAAAATTAATGTTGGGCGCAAGAGAACTTTAGGATTTATTCCCTTGGATAAATTAACAAGGTACTTTTGGTCTTCATTGCATCGTGATTTTTACTGAATTTTATCTGTACCCACAGGGAAAATCCACCTTCTTTTATCTATGAAGTTTGTAACTCGTACTGGAAACTCACTTTGGGATCTTTTACCATTCTTAGAGCTCTTTTACCATTGAAGGATGCAACTTTCATGCTTTTGACAAACGACATTTGGTTCTCAAACTTGTCCATGATATGTCAAACATACTTGATCTTACGCTGCAAAAAAAATTGACCAATTTATTTTGAAATTTTAACATTTAGTAAACTACTCATCCTTTAAAAGCCACTTATTTAGAAGCAAACGTTTATAATCAGGTTAGAAGCAAGTAACTGTTTCGTTGTTCCTCCCTATGACGAACTACAAGGAATAGCGACGTTTGTGTTGTCTGTTAGATCATGACAGTGTCTGTATTGTCACAATTGTTGATGAAGTTGCAGCGTTGCTTGAGGACCGTCCTTCGCACAGCAAGTGCATAGCTATGTTGAATAACTCTGGGCGTAAAGAGAAATGGATAAAGACTTCATCAGAAATCTCAAATCAAAGGAACAAGTCTAACAATCGATGCTATTTTTGCGACTTACTGTGCTATTTTTTAGGTTAGGAAGTTAATATTTGTTAGGCTCTTGCTAGGTCGACTTGAAGCTCTTGCAGGCAGATCCAGGGACTGTCAAACGTATTTTAAAGAGAAGCCAAAATGTGATGATTGAGAGTGTATTTAGTAAAGTCCGCCGCCACGGTTGGTCCGCCGCCAATTTAGGTTATATTTATCTGAAGGTGGCCAGGAATTGCATCAAAATTACATTTTAACGGGAGAAAATGGAAGGCAATATTTTTGAGGTTTTTAACTAGGTTCTATAGTTTTATCTATTTTAATGTTGACATGTAAAATAGGGACCTTGCAAAGTTTTAGAAAAATCTTCAAATAATCAACTTTTTTAAATTTGAATGAAAGTAAAATAAATGAGAGGAGAGAGATAAATAGAGCACAGTTTAGCACCAAGAATTACCCTACGCTCCAGTCCACAAATGCTGTCACACGACGCCTTATCAAGCATGAACTACATGAACTAGGATATCTGGCCTCGGGCCGGAGGTCGCAAAAAGAGGAGGAAAATTTCCAGCGTTCACGCATCGCTCCCAAGTCATACACATTCTCCCAAGTCTTTGTGTCAAAGCCATTTTCCTAGGAAATACCTTTTTTCTCTTATGAAACGTTAAAACGGTGCTTGGTATCGTCCCCAATTTTAGATCATAGGGGTATTGTTAATGAATAGAAGCTTTGGACCTTGATATTTGAAAATATTAGCAGATTTTTGCATAACCTTGTTGCGCCAAATGTTAGCTATTAACAAAACATGTTTCATTCCATTTAGGCTATTTTGCACGTGGTTTTTCCAATCTTTTTCGTATCGGCGCTAATGAATTCCCACCAGTGCACGAAAACGCTTCCCAACATAAGATTCAGAACTTTCCTGAACTGCCTGAGAAAGCGTTTTTTTTTTATGTTACCAATGTGGAAAGTTTCAGCTTCGGCCATCTGCTGATGTGATGGACGCTAGATGTATGTCTTATTGCAAGCGTATTTGAAAACTTGAAAAAGTTTCAAATTCAACCCCCAAAACCAGTACTTTATTCGGGTCAAGTTTATTCCTTATGCTAAAAAGATAACTAGAGCAAATAAACTGGAACAAACTTCATTTTTAGTCGTACTTTTCTTATTTTTTATCACAAACCTGTCTTTCACACAGTATTGTATATCTATTGTTTGCTAAGTGAAAAAGAAACTTTAACGAAACATGTCGCCGCCTTATCCACGCTATCCTGAATTAGCCAATCTGTATATCGATTAATATCGATTATATCTAAGGTAATCAGTGGTAGTTGTATAAAAATCAGATGGTTGTTCCTGTGTTCATTACTTTAAAGCCCATAGTTATCTGTAAAATTAAAAGAACAAGAAGGCTAGAGTTATGGATAGATAAAACGAGCAAAAACGAAAGTGGATAATTGCCAACAGCGTTATGTACAAAAGGGATAATTTTTTTACATTTCCTTGGATGGGGATGTGATTTAGCGACTGTGCAATGAAATATAAGGATAACATTTTATATTATACTCATTGCAAGATTCACAGAATCCGGCGGACAGCCTATCCTGCGGTTCTTCCTTCTCACATAATGAAATATAACTTCGGCGTCATTAATATTTTATCATGCGCCACTTTAAAAACGGTTGCTTGCTACTAGAAGCCTAGAGACACATGTGATTCAAGCAAAAAGGACGTTTGACTTTCCTTGTTTGCTTGATTAGATTTTGATAGTGCTGCCAAAAATGCTTGGAGGTAATGCTTGCTTGATAGCATTGCAACGCCGTAGGAACAATTATTTTGCAATATTTTCCAACAAACGGGGAACTTTGCGGTAACCAAACTGTTTCAAAGAAAGAGTGCTGTTTCAACTGTTTCAAAAAAAAGAGTGGGAAAATGAAGTGCCAGGCGATATATCCAGTTGGAACATCAAGAAATGGTGGAAGTGCAATTGGAATAACTATATGCATTATTACATCGCTCTTCAATGTTATGTCTAACAGTACACTGGTGTACTCCTTAGTTAAACTGAAGCTTCTGCACAAAGCTACTTTCATCTTCTACTTCTTTATGACTCTGTCTGACCTGCTCATTGCCGCATTCCTGCAGCCGATGGTCAGTTACATTGAAACTGTTTCGAAGCAGTCATGCACCATCACCGATATTGTCGGCCAGTTCTTGGCTCTCACTCTATGTGAGTTTTCCGGCTTGATGATTACCCTCGTTGCCATTGACAGGTATTATCAGATCGTCCTGGTACAAAACTACGTCACATTCATGAGTAAAAGCAAGGCACTAGTTCTCGTCTTGTTGGCAGCCATCATTTGCACCATTGTTGGCACAGTTTCCGTCATTGCATCATTCTGGCTTTTTATCTATGAATTTCTTTTATTCCTATCTGTCTCCAACGCCATGATTCTGCTAACAGTTTGCATCACATATCTTAAAGGCTATCGTGAGCTCCATAGCAGGGTTACTGCCTCGAACAGAGCGATAGAGATTCGTATCGCACGACACATAGCAGCTCTGCTAGTAGCCATGAGCGTCTGCTACATCCCAACATTCGCTGCCCAGCCATTGTGGGTGTATAGCAAGTACAAAGCAAAACACGGACCAAGCACTACAGTCACTTTGTTTGTTTCTTCTGTCGCTCCACTTGTCATCGTAAACTCAATCTTAAACACAATTATATTGAATAAAACGGCTATTTTGTGTCTAACTTGAACTAAAAGGTAGGATTTCTGTTGATTGTGTAATAAAAGGCTGTATTTGAATCTTTATCGAACGAGTGATTTGAGTATTTTCATTACGAATTTTCCTTTGGTGAAAACCAAAATTTTCTTGAACTTGAATATAATTCTTTTCCCATAAACTAACACTAAATAAAGTAATGCGATATTAGTACTGAAATCTTCCATTATCACATCGAAAGCTTCAAAACACAAAGGATTTCACAGCAATCCCAACAGTTCCAATTATGAACCATCCTGCACTAAAACGTGAACTAAAGCGCTCCTTTTTGTCAAAAAGGCCTTCTTATTTTGCACCGAAATCCAATCACTATATATAACAAATACTGCCTCATTTTTCTTGAATTCGTAAATACTCTCACTCCGTAAATGTTCGCATGATAATTTGCTGACTACATTATGCAGAAACAGTAGACTGGTGTGGGTATAGTAGCGTTATGGGTCAGCAAGCAGACTTTCCTCTAAATGTAATTGTATCAAGTACCTAGGAGAGCTCATTTTGTGCAAACTTTTCCGCGTTGCAAAATGATCTGATAGATTCTAATTTAAGCGAAGGATAACTGTACACAATCTAAATCCACATCTCCACACGCCGCGTGGCGTACATCAGCAGACAACATTCTATAGGGTCAGTCAACCGTCCAGGGCTGATGCAGCCAGGGGCGTCGTGGCTATTGACTCTGTAACAGGGTTTTGCACCATAAGTAATCGTCTTTTATCTCGTATTCATTTGAATCTCGTTTAGTATTATGTCAATCATGTAATTATAACCTATTGTTCATCGTTAGTACATATGCCACTAGATTGGTAAAAAGAGAAGGATTGATATGCACGATTACAAGGATGTAAGCACCAGGGGTTGTGGTCCACAAATTTATCTGATTAAAAAGTTTTTTGCCTGAAATTCTTTAGTTGCTGTTACCATTTTCATTTCATTTTATAATATTTATACAGGTTAAAGTTTCATACATATGTTTTTCAACCTGACCTGTTTAAAAGATTAAAACAAGCACTAATAACTATGTTATAGTACTAATACCAAAATAAATTTACCAACCAAACCTAATTTACAATATTTAATAATACTAAGGCTATAAAAAGTGAACGTAAAGATGAAATAAAAGTTGTCCCCGACTATAGTTGTTCTTTGAAGGTTTTCAGGGAGGGGGCCAATTTGGTAGCCCTTTCTAGACTGGTCCACAGTTTTGGACCCCGATAAGAAAAAGCCTTTTGGCCATTTATCGTTTTTAGCAGCGGTATCTTAAGATCAGTTTCTGATGAACGCAGAAACCGTTCTCTATCATCCGAACATTTTTCGAATAATTTTCTCAAGTTGTCGGGTGCAAGCATATTTAGAGATTTATAAGTTAGCGTGGCTGTCTCCTTTCTTACAAGATTTCTGATCGTTAACCAGCCAAGATTCTGAATTATCGGAGCAGCAGACGCATCGTATGGGCTGCTAGTTACAATTCTGGCAGCTGTATTTTGGATTTTTTGCAACACGTCAAGCTTTAATTCATTACAGCAGCCCAAAACGGAACAACAGTAGCTCAAATGGGGCTCAACAATTCCTCTATACATTTTGTTGAGGATGTTAGATGGAAGATATTTCTTAGAATACTTAATAAGTCCAAGGGCTCGATTAGCCTTGGTCTTGATAGTATCGATATGCTTGTCCCAGTTGAGCTTACTGTCTATCTGAACACCTAAGTATCTTGTGTTGGTGATCATTTCAATGTTCTGATCACCCATTGAAAAAGAAAAAATGGTGGAGCATCAGGCTGGCTTTCGATTTTACGGATGTTTGGACCAGAGCCTATAACAAGTGACTGCGTTTTCACTACGTTCAGGGAAAGTTTATTTGCATGCAGCCAATCCTGTAGTTTCAAAAGATCTAAGTTTAGGTCATTTTGAAGGTCACCAATACTTTTTGAAGAGAGCAGCATCACTTTGACTGACTTCAATAAGTCGGCCAGAGAAAAGCCAGCATGTGTCCCCCCCGGGGGGGGGGGGTACGTCCATTATGGTCTGACAGGGGGTCCGGTCAGGGTCAATGAGGGCCAACGCTAAAATATTGGAAAATTACCCTCAAATCGTAGTACCTTTTTACAAAGCCTCTAAAACGGTAGCATAAAAACCGAAATTATTTTCTTGATCGCATCCATTTCTTTGTGCTCTCCTGGTCCTTTTTTGACATATTTCTTCATAATTGATTGTTGTTTTCTCGGGGAGGAAAAAAGTTTGTCCATTATCTATAACAAATCGCAAGCTAAACTAAGCAGCTCAGTTATGATCGAAAATAGGCCATTTGGTAGCTATTTGGTAGCCATTTGGTAAGACCCTCAAATGGACTGGACCCCCGTCAGGCCTTAATGGGAGTACCCCCACCCACGGGGCATCTGTATACGAACATTGGATAATCGTAGTCATAATTATTCTCATTATCTGTGATGAACAGTAAAACTCGCAATAGGACTGATAATTGATATCTTTAGAATCTAGAGAAACTAACTGGACAACTTTCAGTGCACGAGAAGCCTGTGTTAGGGGTCTGGAGCACAGGCTATGCATGAGAAGCCTCCTTAGCAATGATTTGTCAGCAAATTTGCCGATTACTTTGTCATAACTGAGTATCAAATAAGTCAAGCTCAACATTTATCTTCTGTACAAGTGTACAGAGTTGGATAGGCAGACTGTGAAATTAATAATAACCACGAGTTTTACTGTTTTCGAAAAACTTTTTCTGTTCATATCTGGTGAGGGATGGAGGGGGGAGGGGGCACCTGACCCCGTGCTTTTTTGGCGGTACAGAACTTGCAAATGGCTTCGAAAAAGCAAACATTTCACGACATATCACGATGGGAAATACATACCCAGTTGTGGATCGAAATAGGCCAATTTTTATTCTGATATGAATATTGTATACTGCGATGTTGTTGTAATTTTTACAATAAATTTGAATTGGTCTGAAATTTTGTTTCTCGGTTGCCCGCGTTTTGTTCTCAGATCATTGGTTCCCAGTTCCCATTGCGTGTTTATGCGTGAAACAGAAGTGATAAGATGGCGGATCCACTCACGTTACTTCGTCAGTTCAACATAAATAAAAAAGATATAAGCGAAGATGATAAATACATATCGTTCGATGCCGTGTCTTTTTTAAAGACTTCAAAGACCAGCTACATAATTTGCAGAACGACACCAAAGGAATATTACACTCTTGAAGCGCTTTTGTTTTTACTCAAAAATGTCCATCTTTCGCATCCAATCTACGTCCAGCGAGCCGGTGCTGCAAAAGTACCAGTCGTTCGTTTTCCTGACAGAAAGGATTTACTTGCATTCTTAAATGGCGACAAAGAAACTACACAAAGTATCGATAAAAGTGCTCCATTGGAACTTCCCGTGCAGCGTACGACATCGCTCACTTCGAAAAGGCCACTTCAAGAAGGGTCGTCCGAAGGAGCGAAGAAAGCACGAACCGAAGACGGGCAAGCAAGATACGACATCCAGGAATGGCTTGCTTCAAAGCTGCAAGATAAGAAAGAGGGTGCCGTGACAACAGAGAAAATCAGGAAAGAAGGAAAAGGAGGACTGAACACAGTTATGTCTGTTGAGAAGATTGCAGAAATTAAGAGAAAGATTATCACAAGGAAAAGAGGAACCATCAAGGGTGATGATGAATTGGAGTCAGGAATGTTAGAGCAAGCCCCAATGCCACCTACAGCTTTTACTGCAATTCCAGATATTGAAACGGATGTGACAAAAGACATTGTGATGAGGGAGAGACTTCTGAGAACAAGGACAAGTGTTTTACAGAGTTCTGGAAAGGTGTTCCTGAAAAATGTCTTAGCTATTTTACAGTCAGTGAAAGCGAAAGAAGGAGGAAAGGTTGAACAAACCAAACCAGAGCAGCCACCATTAAAAAAGGAGGCACCAGAGCTTGCAAAGAAGCCAGTTCCAGCTGCATCTTACAGTCGTTATGACCAAGAGAGGTTTGGAAGCCATATTGACAAAGGTGGATTTAAAATTGATACTAGTGCCACTTTCCATGGTCTTAGTCTTGAAAGCATGAAGGAAGGTAAAAGTCAACGCCAAGTCACCCAGCCAACTGCAAACTCAAACCCAAATAAATCCCCAAGGCATATTCCAAGTGCACAAAAGCCAAGTGGTCTGCCACAAAAACGAGAGTCTAAAACCCCAATCATCATTGTTCCAGCAGGAACTACTTCACTTATATCCTTGTTGAATGTAAAAGATTTTCTCCAAGATTATAAATTTGCGTCTCCTGAAGATAAGAAAAAGTCTGGTGTTGTGAAAGAGAGTGAAGTTTTACTTCAGAGGAAGAAGGATATGGTACTGAACCAGCAAATTCAAAATGTAACTGTTCCTCTAAGAGTTGTTGATCAGCCTTTAAAATTATCATCAAATGACTGGAATAGGGTTGTTGCAGTTTTCGTCCAAGGTCCATTATGGCAGTTCAAAGGATGGCCTGCAGTGCTACCAGATGGTTCTCCAGTGGAAATCCTTACAAAAATCAAAGGCTTTCATGTTAAGTATGATGACATGAAGCTGGATGCCAATGTCAAGAAATGGGATGTTGAAGTTTTAACAGTTAGCAGAAATAGGCGACATATGGACAGAGCCTGTGCATTGAAATTTTGGGAAATTCTTGATAAATTCATGGTTAAAAACAAGCCAAATTTGAGATATTAATAACTTCAAATATGATTGTGAACCAGTAATATTTTGATGGAATTACATCAATTCAGCTTCTTATTTAGATTTAGAAGTTGTTTCAGACTTCTCCATACAACATCTTTTAACTTGGATCAGAATTAGCTGTGAAAAGTAAGATAAACTATACATTTCAATAATGCTGAAGTTTTTTATATTGATACAGTGGTGGCAAAGGTATGCCTTTGTGAGACATCAAAAATGACAGTGGATGGATGAGGTAAGTTTCACTTTTGATATTCTGTCAATATAGTTCCTGTCATGGTTTCAAAGTTTAAGCTGCCATAAAACAGCAACAGTAACTTTGAAAATATTGAAATTTCTATTTGGGCTTCATTTGGGTCTATCTTTTTTAAGGCTAGTTTGCTATGTAAGTTTACACAAAGTTTTTTGCCTAATATCTTAAAATTTGTTTATCTGCTTGACTGATCTTGAGTGAGCCCTGGTATCTGTAAAGTGACAACGTTTGTTTCAATGTTGTTTTATTTGAATAGCATGATCAAACAATACAACATTTTTTCTTAAGAGAGAAAACCTTTAGTAGCTGCAAGCACTTTGTATTTTATTATTGGTAGCAAGGGTCATTTGCATATGACTGATAGTGTGAATAAACTTAATATCTCCTACATTTATGTTTGTGTATAAGTAATACATTGTTGCCTTAAAGACCGATCAAGAACAGAACTGAAATCCATTAACAAAGTCAGGCCAAGTCAATTCAGCTTTATAACTGTGTATGTGTTGATGTATATTTTATTTTTAAATGTAAAAATTTAAAATTTTGCTTCTTGTGTACTTTACCTGGAGAGATTTCATCAATGATGAAGTAGTTGTAGACATATTTAAAAGAGAGTTTTACTTTGAAGCTCTGTTTTGAACTTGTTCCATGTTACTCTGTTAAGTGGGATTGTACCTTAATTTCCATACATTTCTGGTTTGTTTTTAACTAAAGCTCTGATTTAATTTGTGTGGTATTTTGCCAAAGTATAGTCCAATGAATATCTAGCATGTTGCTCTTAAATAGGCAAAGGAATTTTTCTCAAACTGATGAGCTTCTGAGCCAAGAGTAAACAGGCCAGTTTGGCTGTCCATTGATTCCCGCTAATTGGAAGTATGATACTCTTTGTGTTATAGCAGTTCTGTGTAGTTTTATTTTTAAACTGTTAGAAAGAATAGTTTGCTTTTCATTCAATAAGTTTGATACATTGTACTGTAATAAATTTGGCTTATTGTTAATGTATAAAAAGGCCCTATAAGAACATTTTCCTAAATTTATCAGAATAAAAGAGAAGGGCAAATTTAAGGTGTACTTTTGGTATAAGAATGTTTTATATTTAAAGTGAATTCATAGGGAAGAAAAACTAAGAAGTACTTTAGCCAATTCCTTTAAAATACATGTTTTGAAATTCTTAAACTTGAAATTATTGTTTAAAATTAAATTGAAGTCAATTTTTCTAGAACTCAAGGTAAAAATTTTACATTTTCAATTTTTATTTTGGATTTCTGTTTGAGAAAGAAAAGTAGCTTTGAGTCACTGTAGAGAAAATGAAGGACAGCTGGGTAGAAGCATTGTATTCAGGAGTCGACATTATAGGATTGATATTAATAAGATAAATAAGTAACCAGTTTGGTATCAAGGACTATACAAAGGCATGTGTAACATAGTGGTGGGGGGATTCCCTTCCAGGTCCAAGACTTCCTCTGCCGTTGAAAAGCAACTTTTTCCCCAATTCGAAAAGGCTACTGTGGTGTGGTTTCGAAAGAACTGGTATAATGCAAATGTGTTGGCAAATAAAAACAGAATATTGAATTTCTTTTTAATCATCATGACAGTTTGATGAACTGCATCATGTGCAAGCTGTAGAACAAGCTATGCCATCAGTTTGGATAACATCCAGATTCTTCACTGAAAACTTTCAATAAAATCTCTTTTTATGGTACGGTTTCTGATCTCAAACATTTCATGTAAAGCTCTAAATTTAGTTTATGTATATAAGAATGCTTTAAAGCGTCTTCAAAATAGTAATTAGTAACAAATAATCATGAAGTCTAAGGACGCAGCGCGAAAAATTCGGTATGAAAACAGCATGAAGTCAGTAATGAGCATCTTGCTAAATGTAGTAAATTGCAAACAGCGCAATGATTGTCTTTGAATGCCAAACAGGCACCCTTTCCTAGCTTTTCCAAATTTAGGCTGAAGAGCACTTTGCCTTTGTCAGTCAAGCTATGCTGTTTTTTCTTATTCTGCACTTTAAACATTGATGTTTCTAAAAGTAATTCTTTTAAACTGTGATATTGTAAAATTTGATACTGCTCCCTGACTGATGGAGCTTCCGTTTTAAGTAAAATTGAATTGAACGAGAGTTCAATTTCTCATCCCAAGCTAAATTGCTGGCTTCTCTTAGCTAATGTTACTTCAACTACAACAACAACATTTTTATTATCACTGTATTATAATTAATTACAAGTGATTAAAACATTGCAAAAATAAATTATTGAAAGATTAAGTGTTTTACATTTAATGATGTCAGTTAGAAGAAAGTGAATAATGAAAGACACGTAGAAACAACTCAAAAGAGCTTTCTAGCTACGCGCCCTTGTGTGATTCTGAAGGCTGCATTGTGCTTGATAATAGCTTAGCATTAGCACTTTGAAGTTGTATTAATACGTCAAGAGAAAGTCAAAAAGAAAAAAAAGGGAGAATGAAAGAAAGGGTGCAGCTCCAAAAGTGGATCATGATAAGGCTAGACAAAATAATTCACAAAAAAAAAAGAAAATGCAATTGGAAGGCCTATGAAGTTTGGTAAGAAAATATCTAAACCAAATTGTTGTCTTCGAGGTATATGTGGAAAACAAAACAACAAACAAAACAATTTATAAGCGTAAGCGAAATCATATCACAGTCCGAAGCACCAGGCTATAAACTGCGTACGATTTCTGTTTGTGAGCATGGGTCCTACCGTGAACATTTGCTATACCTGGTTCGGCATAAGGGCTTACTAAGAAGAATGTTTGAAGACAAGCTGCTATCATATTTAGCGAATAAATTTTTGATGAATGGGAATTGAAGTTTTAACCTGGAGCGAACCCAGGTTAGTTTGTTTAGTATAAACAGGGCCATGATATAATCAGTTTGTGTGTTTTTATCTTAAGCTGAGTAACTTCACAATTGCATAATTATTTAATTAAACTGAATGCTTAAAAATATTCATACCCTACTGCTATCAGATTGACCCCACTATGCAAGGCTCTTGAGTTCCCCTCTAGGTGTTTAGCATCCTTAGACTAGAATGGTTTCTTAATGTCCCTCAGTTGAGTCTTTATTCCAAAGCTGAATCACGTTTGCTCCCAAACTTTCTTTTCTAATGGAAAACAAAACTTGAAAAATGCAAAAAAGAGTACTTCATAAAGATGCAACATTTCAGAGCCATTTAGATCCACTGCTGTTCTTTCAATCATCATCTTTTCAGGTGCATTTTCACAGAATATCTGAAAAAGCATATGCTGCAAGATTTAGCTGTAGCAATTGCTCAACTTAAATCGTAAGTAAAAGTACAATCATTTTTTTCAAAGAAAATGGAAACATTGATAGCAGTGTTTTCAGCTATGAAAATACGAACAAATAATATTTTGGGAAGTTAATACCTTTATCGAGTTGAAAAAACAATAATTAGAACACGCCCACGCGTTAATAATTCATTTTTAGAACTTTTGCTGCCCTTCGACGGCAGCCTCCTCGTGCAGTCTTAGATTTATGTTCGATAGATTTATTGAGTCGAACTTAATTCAGAACTATGATAGACAATTTACCACAAGACGAAAGTATTTTTTATTGTATTATTTGTCGCAGACCTTCGAGTTCTTTTCAAAGTGAAGGAATATGGCGCACTTTGCAGCGTATTTCATTAAATGTTCAGTTTCTTTCTCCCAAACTTCTTGTCGCTTCTCCAATATATAACCTGTCATTGCTTCTTTGTTCGGTGCAACCTCAGCAATTCATTTGTTATTTCCGTGATCTTCTACCCTGGGTACCAGACTCACTATATAAAATAATAGAGAGTCTGGTCTAGTGCGCCCCATTCTCGTTCTGGTGAACTTACTTGAAAGAACTGAAGTCTATTTAACAGACTAGGCCTGTGAAACAAGACTGTCAGATAAATAACAAAGAAACTCAGTAGTCAGAGGAGTTTTGGGAAATCTTAAAGCAAATGTGTTTTATTTAGTTCTTTAAAGTCGACCTTTTTGATACAGTGGTAATAGACTTTTCTGCCTCAAGATAACAATCAAATCAGGTTTAAAACGCCCTTTGGCAGCAAAAACATGTGCGAAGCATGAAATTGAAGTTAGCACAATGCAGTTATTAAATGTTAATCATTATCAAATTTCGTATACAACTTAAAATAAGTCTTTTGTAATTTTCCTCATAAATTGTGTGTACTTTGAACGTCTACTTCCTCACTGAGAAGGCAGCGCGCTTGGACACCGCGGCGGTTAGAATCATCACGTTGGAAGGTCACCACAGCAAATATGGCCAATATGACAAGCGAAGCCCCGTATGCCAGGCGAAATATTAGCTATAACTGATTAACTGTGTTTGTTGTTGTTTGTTCTCGGCGCATTGCGGTGTTTCTTATCTACTACATTTCACTACAAGGCCTAATTTCTTGCAACGAGAGGCACAGCCTGAAATATCAGAGACTTTCCAAAGCCAGTTGGCAATATGGCGAAGGTGTCTCTTCTCTTTACAAAAAAGGCTTTCAATGCTGTTCTGTGTTCAGTTCCACAACATGCGGAAAATATTCTTTGAGTACAGTTTTAACAGCATCTTCAAACTCAATCGTTAAGGTCGCTAGCATTTATTTATGTTCTGTTCAATGTTTTACACCAGAGCTAAGTTTATTGTTTCGCTGTGACCTTTGAACGTACAGAGATCTGTACATTCGCTCCTGATTGGTTAATATCAGCACACCAGAACGAGAATGGGGCGCACTAGACCAGACTCTCTATTTTATTTCATATAAAGTGAGTCTGGTACCCAGGGTAGTGATCTTCTTGCTCTTCCAACTACACATATTTTCAGTTTTGCTTTTTCAGTGCGTGCTTTGCAATCTCTTTTCATTCGCTGGAGAAAGCTCAAGGTCCAAAATTATGCAAATTCAATCAATCATTTCAATGTCACTTTCGGCTTTTCTATCTCGGGGTTCAACCAGACCAACGTTTCAGTGGGCTTTTATTGGTACCAGAATGTTGGCGCTTTTCTCTTGTTGGGCTTCATTGGGCAATATTTAAAGATATTCTTCATCTGTAATTTTCACTTTGATTAGTTTTAGTAATAGGAATAGTCCATGTTCGTTTGAATTCGATTTCACTTTCAGTTCTTTCCGCATTTTTCCACGGAGAATTTTACGACCATGTTCGCTTAATGATTCTGAGATAAAAAAATCCAGACTCTTGTTCTCTTTTGAAGGATGTGTCTTCAAGCATAATATGGTAACAAAAATCGCTTACGGCACTTATACTTGACTCAAAGTTCAGATAGTCAGGAAACATAGGTTCTTCAAAAATGTTGTGATTGCCTTGTCTGTTGAAACGCCCTTTCGATGAAAATATCTTGAGAAAAAAGCAATATGCAAATTACCCTGATTACCCTGGCTGTAAAGGAGAGTTTAGGGGAAAATGGGTTCACAAACCTCTCGTCTCCAAGTGCCAAGGTAAAAAGGCAAAATGATTCCCATCTTTAGGCTTCTCAAGACCGTCTGGAAACTGAGACATGTCTGGAAATAACAACCTATCTTGGCACTTGGCTTCGAGTGCTAACTCGCAAAAAGGCTTTCTGTACACCTTCTCGAGTGAACTCGAGTTACACTCAGTAGCTTAGGTGAGCTTTCAAATTGTTCAGTTCTTATCCTTCAAATAGAGAAGTTTTCTCTGAAAAGGGTTTTAATGAGGGATTTGGCCAGAATTATCCTAAAAACCATAAAGCAAATAAGTAGGCCTAACTCTCTTTTTCCGACGTTGTTCTTGTCTGTTGTCATTTCTTTCCACACCCAAGTTTTGTATTTTTCATTCGTGCTGAAAATTAACTTCATTTCGTTTTAATAAAGCTTTCAATATTGCTTTTGTGTATACACTTTAAGTTAAAAGCAATAACAGTAAATCATTTTCTGATCAAACAAACTCTTATTTATAATCACTGCATGCATAAGTTAAAAGAGGAGCCAACAAGTGACTGCGCAAAGTTTAATATGTTACAGAAAATCTGCTTAAGACTGTTTAATCGTTATTTAGAAGAGGCACACTACCTTTTTCAGCCTTCGTAGCCAAATGATTGCCAGGCTGCCAATTACGGGTAGTGAACGGCCAGGAATGTAAAGATGCTCCAAAAAAGGAATCATTTTGCTAGATACTTTCTCTAGAGTAAAAAGTTATATTTTCAAAATCCTATTGTAGGATGCTAATTATGCATAAAAAAGTCATGAACCTCAAAAACATGCACATTGTTAATGGTTTGCTACCAGCTGTATGATGAAGTGAAACTGCTAAATCTACCAGTTTACTCTCAAAATTTGAGTTTTCTAACGTTCAGTTTATGATAAAATGAAAATTAATGGGCAGAACTTCTACATACGTAGGCCGCTTGACATTAAGGCCAGTACTAACCACCAACCCCTTTACATTTGCACAATGATTGTGGTACCAGCAAAGATACCGCAACAAATGAACTGCTTGAAGAAACCTTTTTATCGCAAATTTGTTTTGTTTTTCTTCGAATGTAAACTATCACTCTTCATCTTTCCTGGTAAATTGCTTTGATAATTTTTAACCAAACTTTGTTCCTTAGCTTTAACCAATGAAGTTTGTATAAAAATTTAACAAGCTTTGATTTTAAATTGACAAGATCCTTTAGAATTTGAATAAGAACTGTTTGTCCTTCTTTCTTTCACCAGTTTTTATCTTCAACCACACGAAGTAAAACGTCATTTCTTCAGAGATCAACATCCCCGGACAAAGATCATTGAAACACCCTGTCACTTAACTCAAATGAAAATTTCCAGTTCCCCTAGCACAACATGCCTATCTGTCCTGAAATTCTGTTTGCTAAAAAGCTTCCTATAGTACCCTACAACAGATAATTTAGGAATACTCGCTTGAATACTGGAGCTAGAAAAAATCACTTTTTAAGGGCTGGGTAATGTGACCGTAAACAAACATTTTGTGTGGGACAGTCTGCGTGTAAGAGGGATTTTCCTCAACAACGTCAAAGCGGAGTGTCTTACAACATGGCAGGCCGTGATATCTTAATGCTTGCAGCATTCCTGCAAGTTTGAATCATTCTTAAACCATCGCTTTCAGCAATGTTTACTGTTCGTGAACCTGGGCTTCCACAGACAGATGTTTCTCTACCGTCCCTTCGGCCAAACAGTCTGCTAGAAATGTCACTTCTAGTGTTCCCGCTGCAGTACAAACAGCTTTTTTTTCTCGGACTGATCAATGAAATCATGTTGAAATATACGTATAAAATCAATCTTTAAGACTTTGGTAAAGAAAAAATAAATTTTAGTGACAAAATACGTTTAAACCTTCTCGTTGCACGTTGCACTCCAGTTGCTGTGGTTAATTTACCCCATCCACAAGCATCAACACAACAACATCATCGTTCAAAAGGAGCGAGGTAATTTTCTAAAGTTGCTATATTTAGTTGAATGGAAGTATAAAACAGTGTTTTGTCTTACCTTGGAATTAAAATAGAGGGGTTAAGCGAAGAAAGCGTTTTCTTAATATGTCTTTATTCAACTTATGACCAGTTCCACGATAAAAAAGACAGTAGTTCTTTTAGCTCGCATCCATTCAGCAATGCATTCAAGCTAAAAGAACTATAATGTTTTTTATTGCCGTGTTCCTAAAGTCTAATCTTTAAGCTTCCCCAAAAAGCCTGTCATGCAATTGTCATTACATTTTAATTATTGTCATATTTTAGGGGCTTGGTGATCTTTTTGGTTTAGTGAATCAAGAGGGATCTTGATATAGCTTCTAGCAAAAATCTTATCACAAATGATATCCGGGGGTACTGGCCCCTGCAGACCCCATATGCTACACCCCTGCGTCAACTTACCCCAGTATAAACACCGCAGTCTAACAAGTAATCCTTTTTTCGAATTTCGGACTTGTCTTATTCTTCTGTTTGAACAATTCGTCGTTAGCAATAATCATTTTCGTCTTGGCTGAAATGAAAGTGAAGCCAAAATGCAGAAAGATAAAAACTGACCGCAAGGAACAACAATGATGACATTGGGATCATCGGCGCCTCTTTGTCACTCAGAGGTGGGTTGCCATGGCGAAAATTCGAAACAGGCGGGAAGCAGCATTGTGCTATCGAATGTTCAGTTGATTTTCTGAAGTCGATGTGTTTCAAAACCAAACTCACTTGGGACAGCAACATCTCCAGGGCAGGTTAGCCAGATTAGCTTGTGTAGCAGGAATTTGAAGAGATCCTGCCATTCGGTGAGTGAATATATACTGTTCATATACAACCACGGGGTACACAAACAAATAATTGACAGACCCCCTTGAAGCTATTAATCAATCCCTTATCAATGAACTGAGCAGACTTAATGAATTAGGTACCCGTTTGATTGTATTACTATTTTATGGCTCAGCTTCGGCAGGATAATTCAAATGTAGCCGGTTGATCACCAAATAAGCTTGTGCTTGTTACTAATCACACTTACATGTCTTTTTGTTTACGGAGATGTTTAAAAATTTTCCCCTCTCTGTTTGTCAGCTGTTTCCAGCGGGAGATTGCGTTTTTTGTTCTTAGTAAATAGTCTTTTTTTGTTGAAATGAACATTGTCGCCTCTTGGTTGCGCATTTGCTTGATTGTTAGCACCTCTTTTGCTACCAAGCGACGATTTTGGTTGTTCGAAAATCATTCCAACCTTTCAAATGCCTGTGTTTTGGTATGTAAAAGTGTTAATTTGGTTCAAGTTTCTGTTTTGTTGGCTTTTAGAGATTGCCTGATACAATGAATTTTATATTTTAATGCAAAATTTAGAAACAGGCCATATAAATTGTTGCCACAGGGTTTGGTCCTTTTAGTTGTAACTCTTTAATAATGCTTAGAGGTGGACTACATGAATAACACATTTAAGAATAACTATGTCTCTTTCATATCAGATTATCATCTGATTAATATTATTTGGCATTTTAAGGGTCATTGCTGCAAAGGAGATCAATCCATGTTGAAAATAGTGGGACCAACAAGGTGATGGCAAGTACAAGAGTTATTCCAACTCCAGTCTTTGGAGATCCTTCAGATCTGCAGCCGAATTCTATGCTGCTGCAAATTAATGAAAGACCCCTGTCAAGACGCAGGTCTACCAGCCCAAGGATACTGTCCCCAAGAAACAAGTCAAGTGAGATACGCAACCACATCATTAGTAGCAATGAAAGAGACATACGTAAAAATTCACTTAGGCGCTCCAATACAAACCCTGACCTGCCTTCCCAAAGAACTTTTCCTTGGTCTGAGCCAAATGCAAATTTTGAAAGAAGGATTGTGAGTTCATCAGCAGGTGGCATTAAAAGACAACCAGGTAAGAATTAGTGTTAAATCCAAAAAAAAGAATTGTTTATTATATATATAATCCATATGATAATAATTATTGAATACCCTTTTGCTTTTAAAGATTTCAATATAGAGTTCTGGACTATTTTTTGCCTGATATTCCACTGAGTATAATATGTTGTATAATATATTTATATTTTACTGAATGTATTCTTTTTGAGTTATGGCGTCCTGGCTGTTTAGGTCACTTGCATACTTCTACTGTATTTTACATGGCCATTTGACATAGTCTTTACAAGGAGCTTTTAATCTCCTATTGATAAAGAATCAATAAATCTGCAAATGGAAATCAGGATAATTTCAAGCCTGTCAGTTCTCTTTGCTGCTAATCACATCTGTCATTGAAGTGGAGGGTCACCTCTAGTTGATTAAACTTAAGGCCAGAAGCTGACTAACTGCAAATTAGAAACACCAGCTGCTTTTTAAATTGCTGGATCTGCTATTGTTTTATTTCTGGGGCTTCTCAACTGCACAAGTGATTAGCACTTGTTTAATGGTCAGAAATAAGAAATCAATCAAGCAGCCCATTCTTCTTTTCAAAATACTTCAAACATGTGAAATCATTTCCAATTATTGTTTGTAGGTAGGTTTATTGTGTGTAAATGCAGTCTTTTCAACATGTTACACCAAAATTGGTCATAAGCTTTTATTATGTATGGATTGTGGAGACCTTAAGGCCAATAGCCTGTCAGCAAGTATGGAGGATTAAAGGTCACTTTGGTGTAGATTATTTTAAGTTGTATTTCAGAACACTATTTGGCTTCTAAATCATCCGGTTCTAAAGAGAATTAGAAATTAACAATTATCAATTTTTTGCACCAACATGTCAGTTTTTCTTGTCAAGCCATATCCACACCCACACCCCACCCCAATCATGTATTAATTGCAGATGACAAGGTACATCCCAATGTTCCAAGCTTCAAATGAGGCCAGCCTAGGTATAATTTAGATAGCAGCAGCTGCAAGCATCTTTATTAGCATGTAATAATAATGTAGACTGCAGTAATTATATACTACGCAGGCCAAATGCAAGGTAAGGCATTTCATTATCATATGGCAGTTTGTTTATATCAGGAAGCAAAGCAGGGACAAATTGAAGTGAATCCAGTAAATATTCCTCTAAGTTGAAGAAAAAATAACCAAATTTCTTTTTCAACGTCTTAAAGTAAATTAAGTTGAAAGGTTAAAACTTAATTTTGCTGCATACAATTTTTCTGTTTGAGAAATTTGAAGAAAACCCGATTAATTTTTATTTTAACACGTAAATGATAATTACAAAAGTAACTCAACAAAACACTATAACTTTTGTTTAAAGTGATATCCATTTTTAAAATTCCTTTCTTTTCTAAACATAGGCCCAGCAATGCAAGCTGGAAATATATTTGGAATTCTTAAAGCAGAAAATATCATCAGAGAAAATGTTAGAAGAAAGTACTCCGACATGAGAGAAGTAAGATTGCCCCTTTTTTGCGTATGGTATCCAATTTTGGTGGGAATACTACTAGCTCCTTTTTTTGGTTTTCGTTCAATTATTAGTTCTTTCTTTTTTTCATTCATTCGTTCTTTCATGCATTCCTGATTTCACTCACGTCGAGTCTTAAAGGGAAAGATAGAAAGACCGAATAAAAGTAAGAACAATTTTTCTGCGCACCTAAAATATTTTCTGTCACTTATTCCTCTGAGTGTGATTGGAATTTTATAGAAACTGGAGGTGATACCTTAGCTCAAGCGCCTCTGTTTAGCGAAAGTAAATGCACAGTCTATTCCTTTTATCGCTATAGAATGAGTTTTATAAGAGTTTCAAAGAATGAAATCTTAGGAATCTTAGGATAAATAAACTAGTTGCTTCTTATTAAGGATGTCGGAACTTGATAAATGTCCCGCTGGGCTAAGTTTCCTTGCATGCAAGGAATTGCCACTTTCCAACGCCGAGCACTCAGTCCTTCCAAAACATCATTATAACCGTAAGCAAAAATCTGCATTTTGAATGAATGTTTTTATCGATATGCTCGTGTTGCAGTATCGATATTATCAACTGTTCTTTTCCTTTTCAACTAGGCTCTCGATAACACTCGTATGAGCCAACAAAAAGTCTTTTGTTGAAAGCTTCGTGTTCCTAAAATTTGATAAATTTCTAAAAGGGGGAAATTTATCCTTGTTGGATTAAGTGAACAAAAAGGAAAGTGTTACAATGAAGATTTAAATCGTTCCAAAATGAGTTGTTTGGCCACTGAGTTCCCCAGCATTTAGTGAACTCAGTGGTCGATAAAAATTGTTTGGCTAAAGTTAATTTAAAGTTGTTTTTTATTCGCAAAAATTATAAGCTTGCAATCCCTCCCGTTGTTTACAGTTTTAATCTTCCCCATTTAATGTAGGTAAGATCGACTTGTCTCTTATTGCTGAAACTCTTACGAAAATGATTCGGACCTTTCCTTCACAATAGTTTCTGAAGGAAATATTATTGTCAAAATGATAAACTGACAGAATATCTCAAACTTTGTTTTTGAAAATGAACTAAACTCCTTCGATGTGCTAATTTGGCAATTTTTACCATTTTCGTCTTTCACAGGCATTTCAGATGCTCGACGTAGGCCACAATCAAACTGTGACTTTGGAAAATTTCCGACGTGTGATTCACGCCTTCTGCTTGCAGCTTGCAGATGACCAGTTCGAGCACTTATTGTTAAAGGTTAGTTAAATTCAAAAATTTTGTACCCAAAGAAACTTACTACTAAGAAAAATATTGATGGAGCGCACCATCATATGCATCGCACGTTTTCTTTTTGTATATGGCGCTCTTTGTTATGCATTTCAAACATCAATTGTTATGAGTAGATCTACAATCTACAATCTACAATGTTAGTCTCCAAAAAGGCTTAGCCCATGACGGAGAAACACGATACTCTCACTACTACACACCTACTTTACCTAACTACATATAACTACACACGAGTTTGGTTAACGGATTAGTTAGTTTGGCGCAAGGGCACTTGGTCAACATGTTTTACTTTGGCTGCATGACAATGCATACTACAGTTAGTGATAACACAGCTATGACGGATTCGACGGTTTAGATAATTTCCAGTTCCCGTATTAAAACGCTGCAGTCCACCATTTTCAAAGATCTCAATTGGAGGCACATTGGAAGATACAATAGAGAGAAAGTGCTCATGGGAAGGACAGGGTCTTCGATACTCTACTTTACTCTTTCCCTAAATAAATGTTTGTGTATGTGTAAGATGTGCAGCACTCATCTCTAAATCATGCGCCGAAAACTCCCCATTTGAAAAGGCCATTGCGCAACCACACCAAAGCTAAACTGCATTTCACGGTTCTAATTATGGAATTGGTTTTCCAGATTGTAATTCACGACATCTAAATACTCATAATGCATTCATACGAAAGTCACGAAATACTAAAATGGATAGATGGACGATTAAATACGACAACATTTCTTGGCATATACAACGAATGTGGCATATTGGTGTGCAATCGGGGAAATTCAAGTACAGAAATTGCAGTTTTAACCGGCAAATTTGTTTTTGCCAGCTTATAAACTATACAGAAGCAAACTTGCTAGGCTATAGCACATAAATTCTGTGACCAAGTCGTTTAGAACGCTTGGCTGAAGTGCTGAATGTTGCGGCATCAAGGTCGAATCAAGGCCCGACGTATGATTGGACGTTTGCGTCTTGTCCATAACCGACAAAGGCAATACATTCTTAACACTTTGGTGGCTAAAGGATGCGAGAAAGGAACTGGCTACACTGCCCCATAATGCTGTTGGCCTGTGCTCTCTACCTGGCACTTCCCTTACTTCCAGCCGTATACAGGACTCACCTTTCCCTTTAATATCCATTCGAGTTAACATCCACACGAGTTAAATCAAATTTAAATATGTTCATTGGCTTCATTTCCTCTAATTCTTTTATATATCTTTTAACCTCAATGCAATGAAATGTCAGGATTTATTTTTCTTCCCTTCATCACGACAATCTTACGATAGGTTTAATCGTGATGGTTGATATCAAGAACCATTAACCCTATACATAGAATGAAAACTTCAACTGCAGAAGAAGTGCGCTAGTAACCCAAGAGTGATTCCATTTTAGATTGGAACAAAGGATAATGGAGTGATAAATTACGTTGCTTTTCTTGAAAAGTTTCGTGTTGGTCCTGTCATGATGTCAGAGCCTCAGAGATTTGCCCAAACAACACCAAGGTCTGTTTGCTTATCAGCATATACGTAATCGTTCTTAGAGTGATACGTGAACGAAATTAAGTTTATATTTGTTTACCCAAGAAATGTGCTCAGTTCAAACTACTTTTATCGTCAGAATTTCGCTAAATAGAACAGTATTTTTAACATAGAAATAAAAAATAGTTCAGTACTGCACCTAATATTTATCTGAATCTAGACCTGCCTATGCTGTAACCTTTTTCAGAAAAGCAGCTTTACTCAAAACATCATAAGTCTATATTTATCATAGACATTATTTGCCTGATCTCCTTTGCCTTCCATAGAGATTTTCTCTTTTTATAGAAAAGTATTATTCAGACTGCCCCTAAATTTAATCCAAGCTAACAAGTTTTAAGTAGGTTTTCTGTACCTGAATGAAATCTGGATTTATTGGAATTTAAAGCTACATTTTCCTATCAAAACGGATTAGCCTGCATTATAACGCAAATGTCAAGTTATTTAAACATTGTGACGGTGATTGTCAGATCTTGAATTGCCCGAAATCATTTTGTCTCTGGTTAGCTATTGCACCACCGTATTAGGCCATGGCTCAAAACACGAAATTCTGCAATATTTTTTTATGAACAATATGGTTAGTGAAAAAGAAAACATGTTAGAACACAGTACACATTTAATCTGACACTCTTTAGAGTATAAAACGTCAAAATAATCTCCGAAGAGTGTCAGAAGGAAATATTATGTTTTAAGATATTATGTTTGCTTTTTCAAAACCGCTCTTAATATTCCTACTACCAATAAACTGTTTGCAAAGTTTGTAGTAGTGAAATCAACTTTTGACTGTACTACTGGCCTAAAACTCTTTTTCTATTCATGCACACGTGTCGAAAATATTAAAGGACCTTTAACCCGCCTTTTTTGTTCTGTTATTCAAACTTGTTATGTTGACAGTACTACAAGAATCTCACAATCAGGTCAAAGTCATATTGCATATCGTATATAAGAACTCGCACGGTTGGGGAATTTCCAACACACGAAAGAGCTTGTTAGTAGCTGTTTGTGTCGGTTAGTGGGAACAAAATTCCTACTGGAGTTCTTGAGATCTGCCCAATTCCAAAACTGGTTAAGCATGAAATGATTTCGAGGGGAGAAGTATCTGTTTTCTCGAATTTGATAGATATACACCTGATTCTGTAATTAACCTGTAATTAACATAGTTCTCACATTCAACATTTTTTTGCAGAACTAGCGATGGAAGGTCAGATTCTTTTGAATTTGTTGAAACAAAGCTAAGAGAAAAGGTAAATTGTTCGTCGTTCTGTCAAATTGTTCCTAGAAATTTTGCAGTAATTTAGTTGTCCACGCTGTTGATGCTAGGTCTTCATAACTTGAGCTTATTATAAAAATGGCTTGCTAACTACCAGAAATGCACTATCTGTAAAAGTAAAAAAATAACGAATGGAGTGTAGAATAGAGGGACAAAAGGAGAATGGATGAGTCAAAGACGCTACCGACGCATGATTGTCGATTGCCGAGGTAGCTAATCGAACCAGGCTAAAAGGGGTTAGGCTTTCCTAAATTATGACTGATGAAGAGTCTCTTTTTGAAGTTTGCAGCCTCTTTCACTTGTCAAGGTCTTTCCAATAGGATTGTCCCTTAGTTTGTACAGATTTCTTGCTTAAAATCATTGATGACTGGGCCTGTCCTTTGTTTGGTCATAAAGTTTTCATCGAAAGGAATTTTTCTTTTCTGTAATCAAAACGTGTTCATTTATGTTTAGTAACACGCATCGAAGCTTATTCACCTTTCTTCGTGTTTCTTGAAAGAACTGATGCACTGTATTTTTTAGCTCGCAGCACAGCTTGATGGCTTTATGAAGGCTGTCCGTCTATTCGACTATAACAGAGATGGCCATGTGCAGAGGAACGAATTGAAACGGATCCTTGACAACTGCTGCTTTAAACTTCAGGAAATTCATTTCAACAAGTGAGTGATGCTGGTAGCAAGGGAAAAATTTGGGTTAAATTTATACCCCATTGCTTGTAATTGCCCCCTCATGATCTTACCCACGCACATCTAGCACGATAATAGATATATTTCTTCCCACTCTGTGATGTCTTAGCCCCGTTAATCCTTCCTAGCCCCGATTCTGTCAAGCGTCTCTTTATTACTTTATCCCCTCTTAAGAATTTTCGTTTGTTACAGCATGATGCTTGTTAGCATCTTGATCTCTCTGTTTCGTCTTCTGTTAGCATCTTGATCAATTTGCAATTCTGAGCTTTGAATCTAGAAAAGAACGCTCCTTTTTCGTGTCTTGTTAAGTTAAGTGAGCAGTGAGTAATTTATATTACTAAAAAGTAAATCGTCAAGTATATTAAAGATCGATGTAAATTTCTTCTTCATCATCATAGCCATTCTCCGACTATTCTCTTCACAAGCACGGATCAAATTTCTTCTTCATCATCATAGCCATTCTCCGACTATTCTCTTCACAAGCACGGATCAAATTTCTTCCTCATCATCATAGCCATTCTCCGACTATTCTCTTCACAAGCACGGATCAAATTTCTTCTTCATCATCATAGCCATTCTCCGACTATTCTCTTCACAAGCACGGATCAAATTTCTTCCTCATCATCATAGCCATTTCCGACTATTCTCTTCACAAGCACGGATCAAATTTCTTCCTCATCATCATAGCCATTCTCCGACTATTCTCTTCACAAGCACGGATCAAATTTCTTCCTCATCATCAATAGCCATGTTCTCCGACTTTTCTCTTCACAAGCACGGATCAAATTTCTTCCTCATCATCATAGCCATTCTCCGACTATTCTCTTCACAAGCACGGATCAAATTTCTTCCTCATCATCATAGCCATTCTCCGACTATTCTCTTCACAAGCACGGATCAAATTTCTTCCTCATCATCATAGCCATTCTCCGACTATTCTCTTCACAAACACGGATCAAATTTCTTCCTCATCATCATAGCCATTCTCCGACTTTTCTCTTCACAAGCACGGATCAAATTTCTTCCTCATCATCATAGCCATTCTCCGACTATTCTCTTCACAAGCACGGATCAAATTTCTTCCTCATCATCATAGCCATTCTCCGACTTTTCTCTTCACAAGCATGAATCAAATTCAAACTTGAGGGCGTAGAAGTTATTCGAAAATCGGAGGATCATCAAATTTTCAACAGTTTTAGGGGGCACTTATTTGAAGATAGGTGCTAATTCAAGGACTTACGACAATATTGTTTTGATTTAATAGGCTGATACAAAAATACGTCATATCGCAAAATCCTTCCAGTATCGACTACATGGACCTCTTGCGAAGGCTTGGTATTGAACCAAAATCAACGGAACAAAGACTGAAGACACCTGTCACAAAAAGCTGTAAGTCGGCGTGTTTTTTTTTTCAAGTAGGCAATCATAAGCGCCAAAATACCCTGCTGATACCACAATTCACCCAAAAAGACTTTCGCCCTCGTTTCTCAAATCAATCTACATTTCATTGCATGACTTTTTCTAGGTAGGATTTACATTTCCAACCATACTTAAGTTAGGATGCAATTTTCATATATTTGGGCTTTTATTGTAGTTGTGTAATGAAATAAAGTTTGAAAACGTATAAGAGATAGACCACAAAACCGTTTGGATTGTCAAATCCCTATTAAAATTTTTTAATTTATGTTCGTCATTAACTTCATATTGCATTCAATAGCATCATGAAGAATTTCATGCATAATATAATTTTGGTCCACACCCCGAATCTGAAGTCAAAAATGCAATACAAGGAAGTATACTTCAAAACCGAGGTTGTAAGTTGAATGTGTGTATCGCGAAAGCCATGTCATTAAGAGGGTGTAAGCAGTGCTATTGCTAGCTTTTTCGCTCTAAGGAGGTGTTCAGGCCTCATTTGCCAACAAAATGAGCCTTAATTTGCTGAAAATTTGAATATTCACCGAAAAAGCGCCAACACATCGCTAAAAATCCGCGACTTTGAGAAAAAACGTTGTTCAAAATTGCATTTTGCAGAAGCTCAGCCTCAGCTTGTTCTTAATTTGTTCTTAACTTTTGACCAGTTGAAGGCTCGTGTTCTAATAAAATTGTTCTTATAAAAAAGGAGTAGTGCTAATCTTGTGTCATTATCATATCGTCATATCATGTTTTTTGCACACATCTCTATCAGCTTTTTAAGAAAAATAGTATCAATTTAACGGGTATAGGTGTTAGAAATACTGTATTACTAAAAGTTTATAGTTAATAGCAGGCTGCTCGACGGACTCTAAGGAGTTCTTGCGGTAAAAATTCGATAAAAATGTAGCAAATACGAAACACCGCAATACGACAAGAATGAACAACAATAAATACACGTAAATCATCGAAGGTTAATATTTCGCCCCAGGGCCTAAAATAAGAAATTTTTACAGATCTATATTTTTTAAAATTGAAGTATAAGTAGCAAAATGAATGAAGTATAAGTAGCAAAAGCTGATTCTTTACATTATATGGATTGGGTTAATAAAAAGATTAGCTACATATAGCGATGTCTTAATATGTGAGCAAAAAGTTATCGAAAAGAAACTCTTTTACATGGTTTATTCGGATCTCTGTCAAAGTTATTGTTTTCCTTTCATCTTCTAAAACTCCCTTAAATCAGCCTTGCTTCCCAGACTTTGGTATTTTTGGTTTTTTGGAACCATATCTTTGCAGCTTTCTCGGAACTCGAAACTTACGAGATCAAGCATATTAATTGTGATATTTATCCATTTTATAAGTTTACTTATGGAAAGTTCTTCACTGCATTCAGCCCATCAAATTCTTTGTCATCAAATCTGTTCTTCAAAAAGTTTTGTTACTTTAAATGGAAACCTCGTTACAGATGGCAAATAAACTCTTCTCTCACTGATGTATAAATTGTGCTTGTTTCTTCTTATTCTCTTTTCGCCCAGTTTGAAAGCATGATCTTTACCCCCATCTTGCTTGTATTGCAAAAACCACGCACCAGATATCAATTTTGGAATTACGCTAAATTTGTCATAAGATTGTGCTAGATTTGCAAAAATTATGCTAGATTTCAAATCAAGGCAACCCTGCTCGAGAAAGAGGCTAATGCATGCTCAGAATATCAAAAGTGGCCAGAGTTGCAATTCGGCCTTTTTGACAACCCAGTGTACTCATTCTTCATCAACAGGTAGGCAATTTAGATCCATTGTTTGATGGCCAAATTTCTCCATTATGGCAGTTTCTCAAAACCCCTTCGCCGTCATAAATTGATTTGGCAGAAGAAGCAAAATTTGGCTGAATTCTGGCAGCATGTTGCAAAAAACAACGAAAATGCAAAGAAAACAAATTTTGCACAGATAATATTCAAAATAATTTCAAAATTGCAAATAATGAATGATGAAACAAAGCAAAAGATAGCAGACAGTTTTAGATCAAAGCAAGTGAAAACTTTTGTAACCTACAAAGCAAATTTTGATTACGGTATCACTCCCAATAATTTGCAAAAATTTAGCTTTTTTGTATACTGCGTTTAGTTGGCTGCATTTGGCTGCCAACCACAAAATATGTGGCTGCCAACCATTCAAAACACCTGGCGATAACCTGAAGGTAGAAAGTCAAAATTTACTCCCAAAATGAAACCACAGATGCTGGTGTAAAGTGTTTGCATTTGGTAACGATAGACAATGGATCAATGGAAACAATGATTCTTTTAAATAATATCAGAATTATGCCAGAGTTATGCTAGATACCAAATTATGCTAGATTTTATGCTAAATGACGATTTTTGGCCAATATCATGTTAATATTACGCTAGACCAGGTCACACTGGCACCAGCCCTCAAGGGAGTGGCTGGAAGGGGACTAGCAGGCTTGCCCCTAAATTTTTTTACGGCCACGCCCTTTGAAACACCGAAAACCACTCCTTTCAGAAAATATTTGCTTTTTTCTGTCCTTATGTATAAACATAACGATTTAAAGAAGATTTCGATTAACATAAAAATACAAAACCGAGTTAGATGAAATAAAAATTTATCTTTGATCACACAAGATAAAGCATTATCAAAAAGAACAAAAACGTGTTCCCAGAAGAACTGCTACTAATGCGTTCGTTAGCGTAAACTTTCAAAACATTTTCTAACCTATTATTGCAAAAAAGTCGAGGAGGACTATAGTCCCTGTTATGCAACATTCCCAATTAAATGTTCCTCCCAGCTACCACCAAGAGGCTTATCATCGTTCAGCTACTGTAGCCTTGAGAGGAATCTTTCAGATGCTTCTCCAATTTAAAACACCTTAGTAGAAATGATTTATAACTTTTTTTTAAATCTACTGAAAGATATCACATATAAACCCCAAAATACATTACGGGCAGGAAATCATAATCTCGGTCTTGGTCTTTAGGCTCAGTGTCTTTTTTGAAGCAAGTCATAAAAGCAAACTTAATTGAGATGATATTTTGAAGTTAAAGCTGTATACAGAGTCCATCTTACTTCAAAATAGCACACAACAATATCATAAAGCGCAATTGATTTTTCTCCGCATGCACTAAAGCTTCGAGCTCTGAAGTTTCTTAATTGTTCTTTATTATCCATTGCTTATTTCTTATCGCAATTTTCTTATAAAAATGAGTGCAATACATAAGGCTGGGATTGGTCATTCATTGCGAATCGGAAAAATATTCCCATTTCTTTCTTAGACGTTTCGATAGGTATTTTATGCTGCACTTTTAAGAACACTTTCTACAATTACAGGTCCACAATTTTAATTTACAACTCCACAAAGTGAGTCAGATCCACGCTCATTTTAGGCCCTGTTTCGCCCCGGCATACGGGGCTTCATCAGAGCAAAAGTCAGGAGAATAATCACTTTCGCTCTGAATTATTAACCTTCACTGATTTACGTGTATTCATTTAATCATAGGTTAAGGTGATAAGGACATGACAATCTATGTGACACAGTTTCTAGGAAGGTACATTATTCTAATGCTAACCAAATAGATTTGAGAGTATAGATCAAAACAGAAGAAAAACTTAACCCCGTCAGCTCTGACAAAATTTTTGCTCCAGTACATCCATACCTTGCTCCAGTATAAAACATGAAAGATTAACCAAAGATTTTAGGCATAAAACATCGGTACTTACGCCAAATGTTGGTGTTTTTCTTCGGCAAAATTTTGGCATAATTCCATTGGCGTGGTCTGACTGTTTTATTTTTTATTTTGAAAATTTGTTGACATGGCGAAAACCATGCGAGATTTGCCCTGACGAACTTTGCAAAAAACAGGCAATGACCTGGCAATGGGGCAATGACCTCTCCCAATAATATACAAAAATTGTGTTTGAAAATCTTAAAGGCGTACTTTGATCTGACTGTATTTTGGAAGGCAGGCATAAAAAAGCTATATTTCTATCCATGCTCCCCAATCCAGTTTAGCAGTCTACAGGCCTGCAAAAATGAATAAGTTTTTTTCTGTTTTAACTGGCCTTTCTAATAGCTGAGATGGAGCAGTTGTAGGAGAAAACCTTGAAATTGTCCAAAAATTACCCCCGAATCAAAAATTTGTTCAATATAACTATATTGGAGAGTCTTATCTCCATGGGAAGAATAGTAACTGTGGGAACAGAATGCGACCTGCAAAAGTAAACATCTGGTCAGGTTTTACGCCCTCATGGTATTGTCGGCTCAGTGGTCTAATGGTATGATTCTCGCTTTGGGTGCGAGAGGCTCCGGGTTCGATTCCCGGCTGAGCCCCTTTTTCCTTCAGTTCTCGATTTTCCCCTCTTTTTCTACGTCTATCCCTCTCCCTTGTGTACATCTTTTGCGCCCAATCATTTGTGGCTAGTCTGCACTTTTGCGACTTGACCGACGTTTTCTTTACCTGGTCTTAAATTGAAATGAATTGCTTTTAATTGAATTGCTTCGCCCAGCACTTTCCAAGGTATAAACATCTCACTTAGCTGAAGTGTGCAAGAGAGAAAACGAATTCTTTCTGTCTACCTTTGTTTTTGGGATCCTTTGTTTTGATTATAATAGACCCTACAACTCCTAAATGACAAAACGACCTCGCCTGTCCAATAATTTGAAAATTGTCATCACTATGCGTCTTGGCACACTCTGGATTTGTGAGCAAATGTGGACCAATTGCCGAATTTATTTTTACCCCGGGAATTTTTTGTGTTTTTGCAATATCCAGATAAATAGTTTTTGCAATATCCAGATAAATAGTTTTTGCAATATCCAGATAAAATTAATAATCAATTGGAGATCCAAGGGTGTAAATCTTCACATAACATGAAAGGAGGATATACTACCATACGCCTGTGAAAGCCAAGTATTTTTTATGAATTCGGTACACCATTGAAATATAAGAGAAATAGCAAAGGGCCAAGTATACCTCCTTGAGGGACACCATGGACAGTTCACCAACAACAAACATTCTTTTTTGTTTGTCGCCCTGAAGGTAAGAGTGAGCTCACTTCAATACAACACCCCTAATACCGTAATATCCTTGTTTTCTTCAGATTATTTCATGATCAACTATGCTTGAATGTCAAGCTAGAGTTGTACCTGCCGCAAGATTTCGATCCATAACTTTTTGCTTCAAAATGAATGTAGAATAAAAATCGAATGCGAATTATAAAATGACTCAGTATGAGCACTGCATGATGATAACAGCACAATTTTCACAGATTCACTGAAGGTGCTATCTCGTTTTTCTATTCTCAATTACCTTATGGATTGTCACCTTCACAAAACCTAGAAGAGTGTCCATCCATCCATAAACAATTTTGTCAAGCTTTGGTATATGGTCATTAGTGTTTGGTCTTCGCGATCTATGACCCTATGACTGTCATTTTTGGTAGATTTTCTGTAGAAAATTGGTAGACAAGAAAAGCTCATTATTGGTGACTTTTAAAACGAACATGAAGCCGAGAGATTGAAGCAGAGAAAACCTTTCCTTCTTTAATTTGAACCAGTAATGACTCATCTTCTTTATGTTTGCCAACATATCAAGATTTCATATCTCAAGTATGCGGCCTTGCTCATTTCAACTACTTTGTTGTTTCTAAAGTGGACTGTGTTGCCATGTATCTGATGTGGTGGACACTGTGGTCAATGTGCCGAGGTCTCGTATTGTTGTCATAACACACACCTTTTCTTAAAACTCACCATTTGGATTGTTTTTCTTTTGCAAACATCGAGGCCGTGTGGGCCTTGACAAAGACATTTGAATAGATCAATCACTGATATACGGCGATATTCAATACGATCTTTTCGAATTATTTTTCAAGAGGTTTTTGTCTCTTGTTCTAGAATTGTCAGATTTATTCTTTTGGAAGCTTGGTTAGAAAACATCTGTCGGTGGCATTTCAGTTCAAAATAGTTGACGTGGTTTCTAAGGCTGGAAAAGCAATAGGTTTTCATAGAGTCAACAAGAAAAGGTTATCTGTTAAATTCTGGTTTGGATGGTAGGAAACAATTCTTGATAAAAAATACGATATCTTCATGCTCATTATTAACGTCTAGTAGCGCACCGTAATTATTGCAAAGAAAAGCCATGACGTCATCGTACAATTAATTATTCGACTATACTCAAAGCAAAGGCATTGGCTGGCAAGTATGATAACGCCTTTTACTGCTGTTGATTTTGCTGCAATCTAATTTTTCAGTGGTTTTGAAGGCTGCAAAATTTGCCTTTATGGATTTTAAATTTTGGACGTTGGTAGCCAGCACCGTAATCCACTTAAAACTCTGTGATCGATATTTTATGGTGTCTTCGCAGAAATTATTGTTGAGAGATGAAGAACTGGAAAACCACTATATGTACTTTGTATGGCGTTTCATTAACAGAATCTGAGGTTGCAGATCGTTTTTACGCGTACTGATGATCTTTCTCTGGCCTCGCTTATTAATAGACGTTAAAAGTCAAGATCTACCTAATTACTACCACACGTCAATTCAGGCCCAGACAACCTTGCAACCCACCGTCTTGTTATTGCTTATTGCAGACTTGAATTGGCAAGAAAAGGGAGAATAATTGACATTCTGTATTCACAGCCAGTGGATCATTGAAACCGTTACCAAGTTTCACGCTGATTTTTTCTAGAAATTTCACGTGTTTTCTTTCGCTGCTAATGAAATCAACGGGTGAGATATAGTTTTGTTTACGATATCTATGACCATGGCAACACATTAAAAACTTAGCGCGTACAATAGGATCTGTACAGACTACTAGACAAAGATATTAATTTGGATGCTGCTCCAAGCTAGGGAACTTTAGAAGACATCAGCGTAGCCTTTGCAAGATTTAGTGGATTAATGAAGTTAAATGTCTTCTCTGTCTTCTTCAAAGAAGAATGAAATTGTCCTCATTTCAGATTTGCAGGTTTTAAAGAAATTTAACGCTTTTACATGGAGCATCAATCTGTGGATTTAGAAAGCTGTTACATGAATCCTTGTTGTTCCTAATCCAATATACTTGGTGGACATTTCTGCACTCGAGTTTTTGTCGCGTATTCCTTCTTTGTTCGCTGTATGGGGATACATCAAGCTCGGTTTTTCATGCATCTCGTTGAACATCAGTTGATTAAGAGTTCCAAAGGAAATCTTCGAATTTAGACCTTGCAGTCTACAGCTAGTCATTTTGTTCTTTGTTCCAAATACCCCTGGTTATCTTTTCGTAATGCCCGGCGCAAAGGGTTCTTTGGTCCAAAACATGGCGAAAAGAGGCTCGGGCTCGAATATATTCAGCCTAAATCATTCGCTGGATTCTAAGAAAGATTTTTACTGTACAAGCTACAATCAGGATTTCAACAATAATGCCAAGAAAGCATCTTTGAGCGCTGGGACCTCTAAATATGATGTGATTCCACCAATCGGGGAGAGCCCCAGGTTTTCGAAAAATGGCTTCTCCAGTAGGGGTAATGGTTTTTCGAAATCTGAAAGTTCGCTTGCTGACATGTCTCCAACAGACACTTTCAGGTCATTGCCGGAATCATGTGAGTAAATACCCAAGTGTTGCATTTGAAACATTTACTTATGAATTTCAACCCTTGCTTATTAGATTCATAAGACTGAAAATATATACACCATTTTGTTTATAAATAACTTTTCGTATGCGTCTTGTTTTGAGTCGAACTTATCGAGAAGACTGGCATTTCTCTATAATTGCCAGTCGGATTATATCTCTCTTGTGTGCAGTCATTTTCATTGGCATTCAATTTTTGCCACCTCTCATACTTCCATTAAAGCGATTTTGACACCTTTATCACCTGTTGATCGCCTCCAAAATATTCATGGCACATTGTTTCGCGGCTCTGCGATTTTAATGAATCAAATTGCGATTATTTAACTTGTATGCTGTAATGCTGTAACTAATCCTGATTATTAGAATTACTTTTACGCAATCAATCTTCAGCTTGTTACTTAGAAACAACGCCCTTTTGTTGTATTTTTTGTTGCGTGATCTCTGATGTTCTATATCATTGGTTGTCCAATTTAAAGGCTCGCTATAATATCAGTCTTGGTCATACTGCGTCAGATTATTTTGGTCTCATCCAATCATTCCAGTTCAAACGTCATAGATTTATAACACAGTATTTCTTTATCGAGATATCTCTTATTTTCTCTTGCTTTTATTCATCCTTTTTAGTTAGTCGCATATTAAATTGCTTGCTATGCATCTTGTGGCAGTTCAGGATGCGCCGTTCATTTTTACGATTGAGTGTACCCGTGCCGACAGCAATGACCTTTCACTTTGCTAGAGAGACCGCTTGAGCCCGTAGGTCCCCTGACGTTTGATGGTTTTAGCTCGGTCGTCTTCACCGACCCTCGCTGACCAAGGCTACCAAGGCTATGATATCGATGTTGCTTTCTCTTGTGCGTCATCATAATCAACATACATTCTTTAATAAGATCCAGTAAATTTAATCTCAGGCTGAATGTTCTTAATTTTTTCGAAAATCTGAGGCTGGATTGTTTTTAATTTGTTCTTAATCTAATAGGGTTTAAGCAGTGCAAGTGCTAGCTTTTTCGCTCTAGGGTGGTGTTCAGGCCTCATTTGTCAACAAAGTGAGTGAGACAGCGTTACTTTGCTGAGAAATTTGAATATTCACCGAAAAAGCACCCACACATCGCTAAAAATCCTCGATTTTTAGAAAAAACGTTGTTTAAAAATGCATTTTGCAAAAGCTCAGCCTCAGCTTGTTCTTAATTTGTTCTTAACTTTTGACCAATTTTGAGGCTCGTGTTCTTATAAAATTGTTTTTATAAAAAAAAGTGTAGAAGAAGGGACTGCACGGTTAATGCTGCCTTCAGTTGGTCAAGCCCTTTCTTCCAACACAGCTTCGATGGTTTTGTTAGTGTGTACCCCAAAACTGACATACACAAACAAAGCATACAGCCAAAAGTAATTTCTTTTAAAGTTAAGTAACAATCAAAGTTGCAACAATTCCAAAAATTGTCAAAGAAAGATAGAACGGTAAAAGCAATATTACGAAGATAATTGAGTAGAATTTGTCAGGGTAGCTTAAAGAAAGAATAATTCTAAACCACGTGCTCCTCTTTTTCAGCTTTATTCGATCCAATAGGGTGATTAAAGAAATTGTTGTGATATTTTTCGCCATTTTCGTGGTAGATTTAAGCTTTGTAAACTCGATTTACGCAAATTTCGATACCTTTTTTGTTTGCTTTCCGTTTTTAGTCTCGCAAGAATAAAATCACAAAATTTTTATCCTTTTGTTCACTGTGCTTTTAGTTACGTTATGAACAATTTGAACAATTTGAACCAATGATGATCATTCAAGTCTAATTCTATCGTTATCTTCTCAACCCACCATTACCAACTTTCCTGATTCCATTTTTCCCTCGGTTGTTAGAAAGCATTGATGTTTATTAAATGTTCTTTTCACTCTATGTTTTTGTTCAAAATATAAATTGAGACTTTCTTTCTAAGAGTCTGATCTTATATTTGTAACTGAGCAAAATTTGATAACGAATACCCCCTCTGGTAAATATAGAGGTTTATTAAAAACTCTCTTCCAGCATTGCCATTTTGAAGGGACTTGAATAACATTTTTTAATTGTTCAAATAGCAAATGCCTATTTCAAAAATGCGACATAGAGGCAAAAACTGTTGGCATTGAAGTTAAGTTCGGTCACATTTTCTCTGTTGTTAATGTTATTGCGATGAAGAGATTTGATGTATCGAGTTGATAAAAAATTGTTATATCAAGTTCCTTTGGTAGCTGAGAGATCCTTCGCCTGGTCGTTTATGAATTACCCATGTTTTTTGCCTGCCAAGATTGCAGTAGCTCCGAAGGCGCTTAACTCATAATATTTTTCATTTTAGTGTTCCTCGATCAGTCAAACAGCCGACAATCAAACCGCGTCATCGCCAACGACTTACAAGGATTATCGATGGGACAAATCGAAAGGAAATTTAGAGAGAAGGTAGCTGCTATTGCTTCTTAAATGCTACAATTACTGCCAAAAATTACTTGGAACACCTAACATTTTGCGCTGTGCTTTTCTATTTTCATTTGTTTTCTTGAATACTACCATTTCCGCCCCCCTTTCCCCCCAAAACAATGTTGAAAGTATAGAACAATATCAAACAATCCGCAAGAAAAAGCGTACTCCATAACCCCTTTCTTTTTTCTATAGTAAATCAACATTGTTCCTAGGGGGAGAGGGGGATGGCTGAATTTGTCTTTGTAGACCTACGTTAGTGCTCCAAGACTTTTGGCAGTGATTGTATCTTTAAAGGGAATTGGCTATCTTACAGTCAAGACTCGACCAATCAGTGAATGTGACTCCACTCACATGCTCATTGTTTGGCTAATATTGATTGACATGTGGGCTACTTTTATATCTGTCGATTATCTTTAAAACCATTTTCAGAATATATCCAGGTGGAAAAAGTTGTTATTGAAACGGATGTTGAATGACTGAATGAAAAATATCAAATTATGCAACTAATCACGTTTCAATACATAAATATATAATATACATAAATTTTATAAATTATTGATATGATTTTATCCACTTAAAGTTCATCCTGCATTATGTGTTTATTTGTTTCAATTTCAGGTTTTGATAAAGTTTAAGGATTTGAAAAGAGCGTTCGTTGCATTTGACAAAAAGAAGGATGGCTGCGTGACCTTAGATGAATTGAAAAGAATCTTGACTCATTTTGTTTTTCAAATGTCCGACCAGCTGTTTGCACAGATAATGGAAAGGCAAGTGCTCGTCCTTTCTTTTTGATACTAGTTCAAGACCCCATATTTATACCGACCAATAACTTTTTTGTCCCTTGTTTAAGGTCAGGGAACGCTTTCCTAAAAATATGACGTCAAGCAAAACATGGACCTCTCCGGATTCTTCATGTTCGCCATGATATGTCTTTGTGTATTTCCTTTTATAAAATGTCGTGCAGTGTTACAACAACTCCATTTTATTTTCTCTGGCACGTTTCTCACGATTTTTGGAATGCATAATGCTCATAGTTTCTGCCTGACGCTCTATATCAAATCTTTGAAAATGGATTTTATCTCTCGCAGGTGTGGCATCAGAGCAACACATAAAATACCGTATGATCATTTTCTCGACAAATTCAAACATTCCCCCGACGAAGGAAATGGTCAAACTATTCCAATAAAACCCAGTCACAAGTAAGTTTACTCTTTGAAGATTCCTGTCCCGTTCAAAAACATGTTACATTCTGCGATTCTTAATTTTTCACCATTTAGCTTCAGATAAATGTACCTTGTTATTGTATAAAATTTGGTCTGAGCTAAATATCTCTTACATGATCCAGATTGGCTGGGTATGCTTTCTCGTGTTTGATAAATGTCATTTCACCGCTCTTTCAGTGATTTTTCCCTGTATAATTTTTAGAGTATAAATCTATTATTTAATGACGGAGAGGTGATCGCATGTCTATGTTGACCCCATTTATCATAAAGTAGAGTCACATGACTAACAGTCACATGACACATGTTAGTTTTGATTAATCCTCACTTTGATACTCGTAACGACGTTTTAGTTAATTCATGTTTAGATGCTATGTATCTTTTAGATTGCTAAACACACAATCTCCTCTTTGGTTTTTCAATATTTATTGTTTACCATCAACACCTCAAAGTCGTAACGAGGTAGCTGAGGTAGCTCTATGCAACCCGAATGCCTTGTCAACAATTTTGTCGTTCTCGGTGGGCATCATTAGAAAGTTGTTTAAATCTTCGATCTTAGTTCGGATTTTGAGTATTTGAGATTTTGAGTATTTATCTCTTGTTACTTTATAGATTCCATTATAATTATGTATCTGAAAATTATAATATACAAGGTAGAAACTGTGATGCCAAGTTGCCTTCGAACGTTATTCAGCAAATTTAAAGTTGTTTATTTTGCAATTATGAAGGCAATTTTTTTTGCTTCTTGATACTTCATTTACTGAACCTTAGAAACCGAATTCTCTGACTGGCTTCATAAGATGTAGAAAAATAATTTTTGAGCATAAGCTTTATTCAAAATCTGTATCAAGCAGATATATTGCATTACAATGCTTCCAAAAATTAGCTTAAATTGCTTTCATTCTAAGACTGAAATATGACATTAAAGCGAGTTAAAAATGGATTTCAAGAAAAAAAATTTTTACGCAGAGTAAATCCTATCAGAGAGGCAGAATCGCCGTTGGAAATGAAAGATGTCTGGGAGCTGCTTCGCAGTCACATAATGAACAGCTACTCGTCAATCAAACGAGCGTTTCTTGCATTCGATGACGTAAGTTTATGGCAATTTTGAAATCACAGTGCAAAAATTATCTTTCCTTGCCTACAAAAAAAGGATGATGTGTTTTTGTCCCGTTTTACTATTTCGTACTGGTCCATTCTATTGACAAACCAGTCTGCCTCCTCATAGAAATCACTTAGAAAGGTTTTTAGTTAGCTTAGCTTGGCCTACATTCCTCAGGGGGCATGTCATTTTACTAGAAACATTCATAGACGTCTTTAATATCTTAAGTTCTGTTGGACTGGAATTATACCAAATGAAATGGGTCAGACTGTCATCTAGATAACGCATCCTTTTCTCGGATTTTATATGGCTTTTGGCTTGATGGTGTTTTTTTCTGATGCCTTTTTTCTTTTAGGACAAGGATGGGCGTGTCCGAAGGAAGGAGTTCAGAAAAATACTCGATTCCTTCCTGTTCCGAATCTCAGACGAGCAATTTAAGCAGCTCATGTATCGAGTCGACCCCGAAGGAAAGGGATACGTGTCTTATCATGGCTTTTTGCAGACCTTTGAAGTCAAAGAAGGCAAGGTAAATAATTCAATCTTGTTTTTCTCCATAGTTTTATATGGAATTTCCTAAAAGAAAACTCGTTTAGCCATGGGTGTTTGTGACGCTTATTCTACGGGGGATATAACACCTAATAGTGTTGTTAGTAAGTGGCAGAGTGGCTTGACGGACAGTGAAAACTTAGCAAGTTCGGTAAAATTTCATTTCTACATGCCACCAGCCACCCCCTCCAGTCAAGAAGGTCAGGGTACCACTTTGCTAGTTGTCATACTTCTAAGAATTGAAAAATCTACTGATTTACACCTCATTTTCAATTATTCAAAATGGCAGTACTTTTAATGAACGTTTCAATTTTTTATCTCTGTGATCTGATCGCATTAACTGTGGAACTCTGAGTAGCAAAATAGAAACGTCCTTTTCTATACACCAAATTGCGTAAAAATCTAGGTATAATTTGGATTTTCAATACCTCAAATATAATAAAGGGTTTCCTCTGCTACGTAACTTTATATATTCCTGGTGTGATTGATAAAAGGTTAGCATTAGTAAAACTTCCTTTTGAATTATATCGTCGTTTTGCCACTCAACCTCAACCTAAACCTCAGGTTAAACCATTTGAAATTTTGATGTTATTTTCTTCCACAGAAACAAATGCTTGAGTCATTTTTACTTTCCGCTTCATTGCTGGAATTGCTTCCTAACATTGAGGAAATTAATTTTTATTTCAGTCATTAATTTCTTAATGTAAGTTGTGAATTATTAGCTGAGACGCAATTCAACAGCCAACTTTAAATTGTTCCTTGCCCTTTCAAAACCAATATCTATTCAATATGAAAATCATTGTTCCTTGTTCAAAATGAATCTTTGTAGCAACCATGTATTGTCTATAGCCTTGCAATATTTGTGAAGATTTCGATCTGAAACCCGCCTTTTGGTCTTGCAGGTTTTTCTGTCTTTCCTATAGCAAGCCTTATTTTTCTTGTCCTCTTCAGACCTGTCAACTCTCCCGGTTTAGCTTGCTTTCTCCCGGTCTCCCGGTTTCTCGTGATTTCGTCCCTGTTTTTTCTTGTCTTTCTATACAATATAATTACTGGTTCCGCGGTACAGATTCCAACTTTCAAGGAGATAACTTCGTTTCAAATATGGAAACATTTCATTAATCAAAATCACTACTACACTTCAACAATTCACAACCATAACTGAACCAATAGTTTAAACACACCCTTATATGTTAAAATTAGTCAACGAATCTATGGTTATCAAAATAAACAAAAAAACTGTAGTTAGTATCAGGAAAACAATAAAAAAGAAATAATTTAAGTAAATATAATACACGATAAATTTCTCAAGGCACAATATAAAAGAACTTTGAATGCATTACGGTTAATTATTCTCTAGTTAGTTATAAAAAGATATGCGCAGTTACATAAGCGTACGCAGTAACAGCAAACTTACACAACCCTTTCAGCAGAGGTTTTCTTATAACAAAAATGATTGAAGTGACTTCCTTCGCGACAAAGCTTTTTGTTGGTGTTTACAAATTAACGAAAACGTTAAAAGCCATTAGGAAGACGCTACCCATGATAATTGTTGTCATTAACTGTTTGTCATTAACTCCAACATGACTTTTTTTGACAGGTATGTTGTCTATAAATTCAACAAAATCTAGGGATCTCCCTGTTTTTGGCCAAATCACCCTGTTTTTCTCAACAAAAATTCTCAAATCTCCAGGTTTTGAAAATTTCAGTTTGACAGGTCGGTCTCTTTGATAATTGTAGTAGGGCTTTCTCGTATTACCAAAGTTGAGTTTTACGTTATCAACCAGGCAACATTAAATGAAGGAATGAAATATTTACAAGCATCGATTTTATAAGCTCAGAATACAAGCGTAAACGAGATTTAATAATTCTTACTTAGAAAATACAATATTCTTATTTGACGACGTATTTTATGGCTTTCGGAAGGATATGAATATTTAGGGGAGCGAGTATTTACTGAAAAGGGAACTCTGATATGGAGAAAACAGGCTGAAACCATAAGGGACATGATGCTATCAATATCCCTTCCCCCCCCCCCCCTCCAGCTTCAGATGGCCGCGAATGTAGAATTAGCATTTATGAATAATAAGATTTTAGTTTTTGTGTTTACTTCCATAAGGGTGCTCATCCTTGGCTCAATGGTGAACGAAAACTAAATCAGACCAAGCCATTGGCTGCCATGAACACTCAAATGGTAAGTCTAGCAACTTGCTAGTGCCGAGGCTAGTGCATCGTCATACATTTATTACAAGAAGATATATAGATGGAATCGTAAATATGTTTTACAATGCTACTGTCAAATGCTGGAATCAATTTACTGCCTGTGATTTGTTACTGCCGTCTGTTTCCTAGCTTTTCCATTCAAATAAATAGTCCACACCATACACAATTTGATGCACCAAAAGACACCTCAATAATCACAGTATTGATTACCCACCGTTTTGCAAGGATTCAATAGTTTCTTCTCATCTTGCTATTAAGACCAAGTTTGGTTAGAATCAATTTTACCGTTTCAGGCAGAGGAAATACTACGCGACAAAATAATGGATAATTGGAAAACAATGGCGAAAGCTTTTATGAGGGTTGATGAAAATGCTGATGGGTTTATATCAAAACATGAAATGATGAATTTGCTTAACCGCTATCACCTTTCTATGACAGATGAGCATTTCCAGCAGTATGTTTCTACCAAATTCTTACACGGGTTTAGTAGAATTAGTAAGATCCTTTCTAGATTTAGGCCTTCAAGCTTTCTTTGGAATCGATTCCTTTTGTCCACTTAGCTATGGAAGGTTTGCTAATTTTATTGCGTACGTCGATTTCTTGTTGGACATTTATAACTAGTGTTAACGAAATTGAGCAGCACCTCTTATTTATGATTTTTACAACACCTCTCTTTCACTTGGTGAGGTGAATTGAAAGTTTATTTTCTGCATGTGAGGTTGCAATAAGAAGGCTTACACGAACGTTGATGTTCAGCTTTTATTTAGGTTATGGGGAAAATGTGACGAAAACAGAGATGGCAGGATACAATACAAAGAGTTTCTAAATAACCTGGTGAGTTCAAAGTCCTGATTTTTCTTAACTTTATACAGTTCTTTCCCAAGGATGCACATTTAAATTTTGAAAGGCGACATCGAATGCTTTCAAAGTAAATTTGACTCAAACAACGTTGTAGGTAAGATACAAGATTTGCTTAATAAGAGAACGGATTTACAAGATGCTTTCTGAAAGAAAAAGTTATCTGAAGGGGTCGAGGGGGTACGGAAAGTGGTCGAAGGGGTACCCATAGATGACAGGGACCAAAGAATGTTTTCAGTGTTTCATGTTTTAATGTTTTCAATTTGAAGTCTCTGTTATCCGGTAATCGGAAGAGTTTGTGTCCTCTTTTCTGAAACAAGCGAAAATTCTCTTGAAGGTCATATTGAATTCGGGCATTCTGAGGTAATAAATAATTGGATTTATCCCTGAATTTGCTAGTGCAATTGTCATGAGTACAGCATAAGCAGTTTCTTTGGTATCTGCTGCCATGGAAATAGCTCCTTCTGAGAAACCGTTAATCGCCGTTAATCCATGGTAAAGTGAAACTGGCACAAACGTAACCAAGATGAATGTGATAACAATCGCAATCGCCTTCGCTGCTTTGATATGGTTCTTCGCTTCCTTTCTCGTCGATATCGACGCTTCGACATTCGAACGGAATGCAGTTTCCTTTGCCTTCACAATTCTGATGATGATGACGTAACATGTAGCTACTAGGCAAATGGCGGCCGTAACGTAGATCAAAATTATCGTGCTGTACACCACCTCGCTTGTAAATCGTACAAAGGGCACCACAATCGGTATGAACCAGCATATATATATCAAGAGAACAACTTTCTTTTTCGTCATGAAATCATTGTAGCAAACTGTTCTTTTAAGATGTATCCATCTGTCATAACTGATAAGAGCTATAGACCCGATAGCAGCGCCCATAAAAACAGTAGAAAGATACCTACGAACCATGTTTAAACTGCAGTTGTTTCGAGCATCTTGCGAAAAGAACTGCACCACGTGCATCGTTTCGACTAGGAAACCAACAAGCAAGTCACTGGCAGCAAGGGAGAGTAGGAAGGCGTTCGAGCGCGTGTTAAGTCGCCTGTTTTTGAACACAACAACAAAGACAAGCAAGTTGCCTATGGCTGCTGCGAGTCCTTGAATAAGGTTTACGAATCCAAGAAAGTATCGCAGTTCAAGTGCGACATTCAAATTGTAAATGCAGTTCGCCATTATCCTTGCTTTCGATCGGTAACTCTCCAATAACTACGTGTCTCTGCGCCTGAATTTATTGATATACTCGACTTCCTTGTTCGGTCATGTGAACAAGACTGGAGTTAATTGTTGTAATTGTAATTGTCGATCTTGGTTTGTGAATCATTTCCTTTTGTTTTGATAAACATTGCTTTCAGTCTGCTGCAGTTGGTCTTTCTCTTTCCTTTGGAAGTGGTTCACTGAGCTATTTATTTAGCCTGTGACGTCTGCTGCAGTTGGTCTTTCTCTTTCCTTTGGAAGTGGGTCACTGATCTCTTTATTTAGCCTGTGACGTTTCTGAAAAGATAGGAACTGACCGCTGGATTATAACAAAGGCAAAAAGCCGCTTTTCAAAAACATCCTTTTACTGGATTATATCCTGTCTGTTTTGTTTGAATATATCTTTATTTTCTTTGTACTGCGTTCTTTTGGTTTCAGTTTTCATTTCTAAGAGGTTCCTGGAACTTAAAAATTGACTTGGCACGTCCGTAGGATACTGTGATCATGAGCAGAGACTAGAAGGGAAGGCTTGAGGGGAGGGCTAGAAGGGGAATGGGATTGGAGGAAAGGTTTTTGAGTAGAAATGTGACCGGTGTGTTGAAATCTTTATAAAACTATTGACAATTTCAAGTGTCTGCTTCTCAATGTCTCTGTAAAGTCTCAAATTTTTTTTTGCAAAAAATTAATGACTTTTTCGCTAGTTATTCATTTTATTATAGATTCCTTATCAAATTTGAACAAAAGTGAATTATTATCAGAGGTACTAAAAATATGAAAACCGGAATGCAACCAAATGTCCAGAGAATTGTACGTTTGTCTGCTTGAAAAGGATCTTATTTCTTGTCCATAAGAACCAGGAAATTGAGGTTCAGGCTGACTGCTTTTGATATTTTTAAAACTCTTTGAGGCTGGGTGTTTGTGGATTTGTTCTTAGGGTCGAAGTTGAAGAAAATCAGACTGAAAACAATATAGGGGGAGGGGAATGACACCACATCGGTGTGGCATGATTTCTGCATATGTGGCTCTAGAACTTATTCTTGGTGATGTATCGATATCCATTATAGCGGGCCCCTAGAATGAATCGCCTGAGTAAGAGGCAAACTCGCCCGCAGCCGCAAGACCTTGAGTGGAGTAGGTAGGAATGTTACAGCTCCGGGTATGAATGTTACAGCTCCGGGTAGGAATGTTACAGCTCTGGGTAGGAATGTTACAGCTCCGGGTAGGAATGTTACAGCTCCGGGTAGGAATGTTACAGCTCCGGGTAGGATTGTTACAGCTCCGGGTAGGAATTTTACTGCAAGCCAAATAATTTTTTTGCAGTAAAATCTACTTCAATTTATAATTTTATAAATAAAAATATTCAAGATGCTATTCTACTGGATCAAAAAATCTCGCTTAGTTCATCGACATGAAGAGCAAGATCATGCGTTAGATCATGAGTGTAACGGTATGCGTTAGGTTCGGCAGAGAGATGCGAGAGAGATAGGCAACGTGTTTCTTCGAGTGCTTCTCTTAATGAACTGAACTTTAATCAAGTCAAAGCAACTTAAAAGAAAGCCTTAATTACAGTTCAACACAATAGGACGCCGATTATACTTGAACAAACATCACTATATTTGTACGACATAACTTATCACTGTAAAGTCACGAACATGTTACGATCAAATTCAATTCAATATACAAACGTAAACATTAAAGTTCATATCTTTACATGAGAAAAAAAGAGCACCACATTAGCCACATTCGCCTGTTTCACCACAATACTGCAGCCAGTTTCCATTACATCGTATGCATATAAACAGAGACCACATACTGACAATAAACAATTTCCAAACAAGCTGTTTCAAATGTATAAAATTGAGTGAAGTGAAGTTAAAGGAGTGAAGTTTGAAATTAATTAGATTGAATTTCTTCTGGATAACTTTTATGGTGTAACGTTTTATGAGCTCTTCATACGACTATGAAGAGGGTAAAGTTGTCAATTAAATACCTTAGCTATTTTCCAAACTGCCTTGTATGAAAAAAGGTAGAAACACTAAGAACTTAAATCTGAATATACAATAATTGATATCAAAGTAAAAGTATTTTAAAAATAATTGAACGATCGGCAGGAATAAAAATTGGTCAGCAGGCCATTGGGCTAGGGCAATAAACAACATGTCCCTTCAGTCAGTTTAGATTTGGTCTTCAATTATCCGGGAATCCTTTGTGTCGCTTTTCGTCTCGCTTGTTTCCACTGTCACAAAGTTAGGCATAAAAGAACCAATGTATCTCTTCATGGTTGATCGGAATTCGGGAATACGAAGGTAGTAAATGATAGGGTTAACACCTGAATTAGCCATACCGAGGGTCATGAGAACTGCGTAGCCAACCTCTCTTTCCACGTCTGACATAACCAGTTTGGTCGTTACGAGACCACCGATGGCAGTAACAAGATGATAAACTGCGAGCGGCGCAAATGTGACGACGAAGAACGATATAATGAGGATGACTGCCTTTGCTGCCCTCATGTGCGCTTTGATGTCAGCAGTATTCCGTATTCCGCTGTCAGCCGAGTTAGAAAGGAGTCGTCCGCGATTTTTCACAATTTTGATTATGAATACGTAGCAGGTTACCATTATGGCAAGCACACCGATAATGTACAGCACAACGAAGACTTTGTATGCCACTTCACTTGCAAAGCGGAAGGCTGGGATGACCAAAGGGCCTACCCAACACAGGACCAGCAAGAGTACTACTTTCTTCTTTGGCATGTACTGGATGTAGTTGACGGTCTGTGACAGGTGTATGTAGCGGTCGTAACTGATTACTGCGATGGAGCCGATGGAAGCCCCCATCAGTAAGGTAGAGAGAAATCGACGCACGGTGTTGAGCCCGCAGTTGTTGCGATGCTCGGAAGAAAAGAACTGTACCACATGCAAAGGCTCCAGTACAATCCCTACCAACAGATCTGTCGCAGCGAGTGACATAAGGCAATAGTTTGACCGCGTGCGGAGTCGTGGGGTCTTCATGAAGATGACGAATACGGCGAGATTTCCAACCGTTGCGATCAGAGCTTGTACTAAATTAACTGTTCCTAAGAAAAATGCCAACCATGCTGCCACATCAAGGTTATATATGCAGGCACCCATAGTCCTCTGTTTTTCTTTCCAACCTGAAAAAGGAGGCGTTGTTCCAAACAGTTTCTGCGTTGGTTTTCCTATTAAAGAAGGTCCAGGACCTGAACTCATGACATGCATTGTGTTAGGATGGTTTAACAAATATAGGCATGATATAGACTACAGACAAAGAAATATAGAAGCCCTTGAAATAAAACAAGTTGTTTATTTTATCAACCAATGATAGCCAAAGATATCAAATTCGCCCCTGAAAGCATTTTGTAGTATCTCCTCATTCCCCAAGAAGTTTATTGGACTTTTTCTGGGTTGCCGCCCACCTTCGCTGCTTTGGCAGAGATAACGTAGGACACGTTCAAATAAAGTGCAGTTTGATATTTAGCAACATTGCAACGGGGAAAGGGAAGCCATTTTAAATCTGTGAGGATTTTGAGAAGGTATTCCAACAATTTCGGCAGTAAGGAAGATAAGTAAAATGAAACTATCGCCAAAATAACTTAAATATCGCTTGAATATCACAAGGATTCAGAGAAGGATGTTCTGTTCCATTTCAAATGCCCATGATTTCACAAGCCGAAGTCCTAAAGGTTCCTATCATGGCACAGCCCCTATAAAGTACAAACCGCGCTGTCAACGAGATAAATTGTAAACTTAGTGGCAGATGATTTTTCTTGCTTGAGGTTTGTTACAACTGATAGCTAATATTACATCATTCCCAAACCAAAAACAAGAAGCTTTTGGTATTCCCATTCGAAGCAAGGAAGTTTGAAAGGCACAACAATAACAGGAAGGTCTTGAAAGCCGCAAATGACGAGACGTTCCTTTGACTCATAGACAGCATATGACTGGAATGAAAATAACGAATTTCCATGGAGGAGAAATTCTATTGGTTTGCTGTCTACCGCATATTCTTATAGGTGCTAGTTTCAAGACCTGGTAGTTAAGGGAAGAAGACATCCGGCAAACCGCAGAATCATGTCTATTCCATCATGTGTGGGGAAATGGCAAAAACGCCAATCCGACTTTAAAAAAATTGTGCCAACGGAATTGTTTTCATAGCACTATTTACTTTTTACGTAGGGAATTTATTTCATTAGATTCTCTGAAACAAACAAGCGCCAGCATCCTCTTTTGTAATACCAAAAAAAATCTAAAAAATCTATCCATGCTTCAATTTTTTTACTTTTTTCTGTCATCTGATCATCATTTTTCTATCATAATTTACCCAAAATTCGTTTTCTGAAAAATTCTGCTTTCCTATCAAGTTTTATCAATAAATGTTACCTATGCACTGAAATAAATTTTAAGTGACTATTAGGAGAGACTCAGGCGAGATAACCCTCTCAGGTGGGATGGCCCTCTCATGCAGGATACTCCTCCCAGGCAGGATAGCCCTCCCAGGCAGGATAGCCCTCCTAGGCAGGATAGTTCCCCCAGGCAGAATAGCCCTCCCGAGCGGGATTGTCCTCCCATGCAGGATAGCCCTCCCAGGCAGGATGGCCCTCTCAGGCAGGATAGCCCTCCCGAGCGGGATAGCCCTCCTAGGCAGGATAGCTCCCTCAGGCAGAATAGCCCTCCCGAGCGGGATAGTTCTCCCAGGCAGGATAGCCCTCCCAGGCAGGATGGCCCTCTCAGGCAGGATAGCCCTCCCAGGCAGGATAGCCCTCCTGAGCGGGATAGCCCTTTTAGGCGGGATAACGTACATGGGCAGGGCTTCAGTGGCTTGGGGTCTTGGGGTATAACCCCTGCCTGGATCTTGTTCTTCTTGGAAATTTTTATGCCACTCAAGTGAGGTCTTTCTCACTTGCCACGAAGCATCGCCTAGGTAAGCCCGGTAAGCCAGCCCACTTGAGGAAAACAATTTCGGTTTCAGTTGCAATTCAATTCGTGCACTGGATCTCTTAGTGGAATATCTTACCTTTACGGAAACCCCTTTAAGATATAATACCGAAATGTTAATGTTGGAATCCTTTATAAGCGCTGTGTTGATAGGATCGTAAATCTTTATTAATCTTCAGCCCCCGACGGTCACTATTAAACCATTTAAAGTACCCCTTTTAAGGGAAAAAACCCAGCCATCTTTGAAAGCTATCAGAGAATGCCGGATATTAGAAATATAAATATCATTGATATTTAAAAGTAAACGATTTGATTAAGCTTCAATTTCTGCCAGAATTGCTACATATATTCCATGGCATTTGTATTGCTAGCAGTTAAGATAAACTCTACTCGTTCATTTCAGTTTTTATTTGCGAAAGTTCAAGGGAGCCCCTTATTGGTGCATATTTCTGACATATGCCATCCAATATGTGATAGGTCAAAGGAGGCTTGAATAATCTTCGAAACAACCGAGTTGACAGAGTTGTGTTTGGAAAATTGATGTTCGTCAATTCGTGATCGAATATGACAATGACAACAAGAATATAATAGAAAGAGATAAAAAATAAATGATAGAAATGTTGTTATCTATGGATCCGTGAGTGGCTTATGAGGCCAATACGTCTGTAGCATGGAAATTTATACAACGCTTGCGCAGTGTATTTTTGCGACGAATTCGAACTGGCAAAAACCGGAAGGAATTTGTCACTGCTTACTTCACTCTTGCTGCTGACCTCGGTTTTGATAATCCTATGATCAAATATCAATTCTATGCCGGAAAAACTCTAGAACATTTCTTCGTGTTTGCTGTCTCGAAAAAGGATCTAGAGAGCATGCGGAAGTTCTATTCCTAGAGAAATCAAGTCTCACTGAAAGTCGTTTTATAAACTGATCGGTATAAGCATTAAAAAGCGGTGTGATTTCAATATTTTTGCAAACTCTTTGATACTATGGACAAATATCCTCCTATTCCTACCACTGATCTCTTAAAGAAGATTCCTCCCAAGTACTTTTTGTGACGAGTAAGGAAAATGGCAGATTCTGGTCTAGCTGGCTTGGTAATGAAGGCATGCTGGCAAATGTACATGCAAGATGGCTGGAGATCAAAAATGTGTTTCTGAAGATGAAGAAAACGTTCTAGCATTTCACCTTCCTCCACAATCAATTACCTTATCCAATTTTTTACTATCTCATGGACCATATTTCTGAATAAATGGGTGGGTAAATAGAATAAATAGTCTCCTCCATCTCCCCATGGTTCCGCCACTTCACGGAGCATTTTCGGAGCGGTTTGTGATTTTCAGAACGGATTTACTTGTAACTTAACAGTTTCAAATTGAAAGAATCGGAAAGGTTTAAACGAAATACAAGGTCGTCAAAAGCTAAGATAATTTCCTTCATTCACAAATGGAGTAGTGTAAACAAGGCTCGTCGAATTCCTTTCGTTGTTTTAGACACTTTCTGAAACAGGCTCCTAGATCATGATTTTAAGTAACATTTAAGAATAACGTACCTGTTCAAGTAATTTCTTTCCAGCGTTGTTTGTGTGCACTAGTAAGTTCGGCAGGTTTTCCAGAAAGTGTGTCAGACGTGATTGAGGCTACTGATTACTGACTGGTTACTGACTGATAACTGAATGGTGTTTATGTTCATAGCTCCTACCCCCTGATTATATACGAAACACATAGCTCGTTCCCCTGAAAACATACCATGAATAACTCGCTGTCTGAAAGACCAGTGTACCAGATGGTTCAGTATGCTGGACGAGAGCTGCCTTTTTTCAAATATTGCATTAGAAACTATGTATTTGACTCTATGTTTAGAATCGTTTGGTCCTTATTTTCAACTTCATTTACTCAAAAACAGATAAAGTCGTTAAAAAGTTTCCATGTGATTGCATTCTGCGTGAAACTCGAAGTTGCAATTTGAAACCTAACTGTTCTTTACACCTGAGCTTGTTTGGATATATAAGCAATTTTGTAATGTGTTATTATACGTTAACTTCGAATTTTGGCAAAAGGGCTGCAACAATGCAATAGAAATTTGTTTAAAAGTTGAATGTTATTACGTACAGTTATGTTGAACAGTGATGCATGTTATTTTGGGCATGAGGGCTTCATCAAACAGATCGCAAAACTCTAGCAAGGAGTAGACGAAAGAGGTTACGAAAGAGGCTCCAAGAGGCCAAGATAGCACTAATCCGCGTGGTAACCAAACTATATACGTTAAATCCTTATATTTTTTGGCTAGTAGGAGATATCAAGGCAGATATTGGGCTTTTTATACTCGCGCTTGGAGTTATACAGTTCGGGTTTATGACAAATATGTAGGTGAAAATCGAATGAACACCATCATAGGACAGACTTATAGGTGATATCAAGAGAGTTTCTCTTCTATACATTTTTACAGATTACACTCCTTGGAAGAACATGATAATCTTGATTAAATTTTTTTGAAGCCGAATAAATGAAAAAATGAGATTAATTAGTCTATTATGGCGAAATTTGGCTTGATTGGTCTATTCTTTTTAATTTATTGTGCTTCAGAGTTGCGGGAGTCTGACATACGGAATAATGCGTCAGATGGAGAATTTCATCACAATGATGAACGCCTAAGAAAATCACTTGAGTCTTCCAATGTGCGTTGCTGTTTTTTCGAATCAAGTCATTAAGATTGAAGCCATCTTGTATAACGCACAACTGATTGATGTCTTTTCAATTTATTGCACGAAATTCAATTTATTGTATGAGGAAAAAATGAGAAAGCTGTCTTTATTTTGGAATAGATCTTAATTAACTTCTTAACTGACGTGGCATGAAACAAGACATGTTACAAATAATATTGCACTATATCATACATTATATATAGTATTAAATTTAATTTATCAGATATGATGTTCACTTTTCAAAACAACCAGGGCTGGATTCAGAAAAATTTTATGTCCAAGGGCTCGTCAAAGAAGCTGTAAGCAACTGTGCAAAAAATAGATAGCTACACAGAAATTCGCTCAGACCTTTTACCTTGTTTTGCTGCAAATCATACGTGTGATGGAGATGATAAACCATACGTTGTATTTTGCTATATTGTTGTTTCTTGTTTTCTTCTTTTCATTGCATAGAAGTTTTGTTCATAGAGTTCATAGACACATGATCTAGCTCGTATGAAAATATTTTCTTCAAAATTAAAGGAGGAAGAGGACCGGTTTTTTCAAACCAAAAGTGATAAGAAAGCAGATTTTTTCAAAATTAAGGGTGAAAAGTGGACAAGTTTTTTTCAAAATTAAGGGCAAAGAGGGGACAAGACTTTTTCAAAATTAAGGGCGAAAGAGGGACAAGAATTTTCAAAATAACGGATGAAAATGAACCAGATTTCTTCAAAATTAAGGATCAAAATTTCTGCTTTTCAGTTTGTTCTGTCATTTTAGCTGTTACTGACAGCCCCTTTACCGAGGCATTGCCTGAATTTTCCTGCATTTAACAATTTCGCAGGAAAATGTGAAAATGGTGACTGAATCTCGCTTAATGAAGGTCACTAAGTGGAACCTCAAAAAAAATTGAAAAGCCCTTCAGAGCTTGTCAAGTCACATTAAGTAAATTTCTGGCCAAATTCTAAACTACTCTAAAACAAAAAAAGTTGCACATTTTTTTATCTACCTCTTACTTGAGTTATAAATGGTATTGATGGTTTAAAGTATTTAACTAAAACGAATCTCAAAATGAATTTTGTGGTAACCTCTTTGCTGTGGTATGACTCAACATTTCGTCTTCCGCTGAGACTTCTCTGCTCAGTGATAGACTAAGAGACTTACTACTCTTTCAGTAATTTTGTACAGTAGTCCTAAACCCAGGAATTCTGAAGCAATAGATTGCAGGGTTGATGGCAGAGTTTGTCATTGCTGTGGTCATCTGTATTGCGCAGGTCAGCTCCCTTGCCATACCGTCCGACTTTTGAATCAGCTGATTTACTCAAGCTACCAAGGTATAAACCACCGCGAGGGTTGTTGTTACAACCAGTAGAGCAATTATCAGAGCAATCACCTTGGTAGCCTTGATGTGTCTACTCGGGGTGTTTGGGAGTATATTTGGGGTATTGCCATAAACCGCGAAGGTCTTTGTGCGACTTTTAACCACTTGCATTATTGCCAAGTAGCACGCAATCATAATAAGGTCAACTAGCAGTATATAAATAACACCAGTCACATTATAAGCAGTATCACTTACATATCGTAGCACTGGAATGGTTGACGGAATTAATCAGCAAAGCGAAATTAGGCCGAGCTTCCTAGACTTGTATACTAAATGTACCTCAGTGTCCTTGTTGAATGTGAATAGCGAGCGTAGCTGATAACAACAATGGAACCAACCGATGCCCCAAAGAGCACTGCTGCAAGATATCTTCGGATGTTGATTAACATGCAATCATTGCGGTGTTTCTGTGAAAAGAACTGTATAGCGAACATAGGTTCTACAATGCTTCCAACCATGAGGTCGGCAGCCGCTAGGGACAGCAAGCAGTAACTGTTCCTTGTTCGGAGCTGAGGATTTTTCCATTATACAAAATATACAAGCAAATTGCCAGTTGTTGCAGCCAAGCCTTGCACTGCATTGAAGCAGCCAAGCCCTAGAACGATTGCCATTCCTTTGTCATAAGATATTTGATTGATATAATGTCTGTATCCAGTAAGTCCGATTGTGTTATGTACCTCCACGAACTAAAGCGGTATAAAACCTTCTTAATTAACTGACACAATCTTTATGTTACACTGGGATATCTTCTGAAATTGAGCCTAGAAATGTAAAAAGCTCCAAAACATTATAAGTTGCTGAATACTTGATTCATAAAGCTTCGACGTTTTCGTCGGCTCGCGACGCGTGCTACTTACAAAGCTTTTTCCTGTTATGAGATTTCATCAACGTGATATCACAATGCATTTTAACAAAGATATTAGCCTGTAGATTTTTCATGTTTTGTTAAACGGAGCCTGTAGATGATACAGAGCCATTTACTATTGCAGATTTGTTTGTATAATGTATAATGGTTTGTTTACTTGCGATAAGCTGCCTTGCTCTCGTTTTTTGACACTAAACCGTGCGGTATGTACTAAACCAAAACGATCTAAGCAATAATATATCAACTTGCTACTTCTTGTTGATAAATTTGATTGAAGCATTGCTGATATTGTTGTCTCGTTTTGGTGTTTATGATATCGACCAATCACGGTTATGGAGTAAAGAATGAAAAGATTTGAGTGTGGTGCTTTGTTGATTTCCATTATTTAGTCTCAGATATATAGTTAGAAAGAAGTCATAGAAAATTTTTTTGAACGATTTTGCCACTGAAGCTGTCTACAGTACTTTATCCCCCGATTCATGATGCTCTGGCACCAAGAGTAGTTGATTTCATACATACCAGAACAGACATATATGAAGATGAAATCTAAAGATGAATTTTAAGATTTATTTAGAAGATAAATTTTGAATATGAATTATGTAGATGAACTTTGTAGATGAACTTTCAAAATTAGCTTTAAAGATGTAGTTCAAAGAACAAAGCTAGAGATGATTGCAATTGCTAAGACTTTTTTGATTGATCCAAAGATACGATATTATCCAATTATAGTTTCCAAAGCAGGCTCTTGTTTTTCATTTATTGCAGGGGGTTGATATAACGTCTGGAGATTTAAAGGGGATCAGCACCCGGATCACAGATGAGAGCGAGGAGAAAATTCAACTGATGAAAACAGATCAGCTGTCAAGGTTTGCTTATTGCTTTAGTTTAGCTTCATCATCGATTGGTGTTTCATTTCTTTTCTTGATGTAAGTTTGCGTAGTGAGTTTGCATAAAGGCTACCTCTATTAATCTAAGACAATGTTCTTGTAATTCAACACACACGGCTAATTGCAATTTACATTTTTCTGAAAAGGTTGGTTATGGTTGTAAATTAATAGCTGGTTTTAAGAGATGTCACAAAGCAGGGATATTTGTAAAACCTCTCACCTGTGAAATGTTAATATTACAAGAAGAACTCCCAATCATAATTCCTTTAAGTTAAAGAAAACTTATTTAAATTGACGTGCCTAGTGTGTCGAATGGGATAGCTGTTAAGTCAATAGCTGAGGCAGGAATTAGCCATCTTTTTGAAAATATTCTCCTGCTTCAGGCTGAACTGTGAAACTGACTATAAAGAAAGCAGAACATATCAATTTAATTATGGTTTTAGTAAAACTTTGAAACTTTCATGCTTCAAGCAGAACATATCATATCTTTTTAGCAAAACTTATGACTTTCCATACTTTGTACAGCTCGTCAAAGTCCTTCGTCTCCATAATAATTTCAAAGATGCAATACCATTATTCATCCTTGTTGTCATTTCTCACATCTTCTGTATCTAATGACCGTTTACACAACATAAAAACCTTATTTTTGCTTTATTATGGCCACAAGGTGTTTTATCAATTTATTTTTTCACAACATTTTTGATTATTTTTTGTCGTGATGAAATATCAAATATATTGTGCAGTCTTTTTTCTACTACAGACAGCAAGTTGCCAGCAAAAATGCCCTCAGCAGGACCACTAAAATGAATGCAAGCGAAGTTATTGACGTGTTAAGGGTAGGTGGAGACTGATGGGGAAATTGTGTTATTGTTATTATTTCATTTAGTTTGAGTTTGCTCTTGCGATGTTTTGCCCTATTCACTGGTGTATTGAAATATTTGAGAATTTGTATTTGCATCAAGCAACATTTGAGAATTTGTATTTTAAAGATAACATGATGCAATGCACTTTACGTTTTTGCAGATACATCTTTTTCAAAGCATATATCGAATAACCGGAACCAATTTTGATTCTTTCAGGACCACATTCGTCAACGGTCGACTGATCTGAGAAAGACCTTTTCTAACTACGACTACGATGGTGATGGAAAATTATCAAAGAAAGAATTTCGCATGGTAAATTTATGCTACAAAATAACTTTATTCAATATAAGTTAAAAGTTTAGGAGTCGATACTGTTTAAATTCCGATTTGAGGAAAATGTCTTCAAATGTGTGTGTATTTGCAAAATAGATTCATTTTATGTAGACAGTTAAAAAAATTATAAGAAAACGACTTTGCTTCTTAGTAATTTTACATTTATTGTTATGTTCAAATTTTTGCGGTACCAAAAGTTACTTAAAAAATGAAACGGTACTGATAAGTAGCCGAAGTAATGCACAAGTTTCATGTAAATGGCTCAGTGGTCTGTCTATATATAATTTTTCCTTAATAGTTTCTTTTTCTTTTTTTTGTAAAATGAAAGACTTTTGAAAAAGGGACGTCATATCCACCCGTCTATAACACAAGAGCATTTTTAATGCTTTTGACTTCTTTTATTTTCCACATTTCATCTTACTCCCTTTTTTCAATTTGACTCGTAAATATAGCTTCTACTTTGTCATGCATGAATTGAGTAAACTTTCAATGTACAATTTTTCTTTGACTCACTGTTGCTTCAACAGACACTTCAAAACCTTGGCCTTCTTATGCATGATGACCAATTCAAAGAACTGACAAACAGGTAAGATTGTTCGATGCAGTAATCGGCGAAGGAAAGCATGAATGGTATTTCAAAACATTGTAAATGATTGAGATTTGACAGGTTTGAGGGAAAAGTGTTCCTGGCTTTTCTTCATGTTTCTTTGGGCATGTTGAATGCTGTTAATCAGGAATCAGCGGTTTTGGGGATAACAATAATGATTAAGGTGTCATAGAATGATGTCTACAGGACTTTTTAAGTGGCGCCCTAACTGAAATTTATTCAAATGGTTAGCTTTAATTATGTCACGCTACTGCGAAAAATTGTAGATATAACCTGCTATTTTAATCCATACTTCATTTTGTTAAATGTAACAGTAGTTTTTCACATTGTTTGCATGCTGTTTAACTGCGATAATATAGAGGCTAAAGTATTAAATAAATGCTGTATTCTCTCATTTTAGATTGGGGTTTTTCAAAGGAACAATGTCGTTTTCCGATTTTATTCATAAATTCGAAGACCTTGACAAATTTGGCGAAGGCGGTAAAACGCTTCATATGAATAATCACAGGTATGAAGCAATTACTTTTTCCAAGGAAAAGTACTTCTTGCATGATACTATTCTATCAAGTCCTGCAATTTCCCCTTAGTAACTGGTTTCCTTTTCCACCCATGGATTTGTTTTTCAGCCTGCAGAATCTTCTTGACGACCTGCATAACGATTCTGCAATACCTGCCAAAAGTACTTGGAACACCCAGCAATTTACGCCGTATTTGATATCTTTCATTCCTTTCATGAAAAAAATTACTACTTCCGCCCCCTTCCCCTTAAAACAATGTTGATAATTTAGAGAAATATAATAAAAAAGCGCAAAAGAAAGTGCTTCCTAAAATCCTAGCCCGTTTGATAGTAAACAAATATTGTTCTGTAGGGGAGAGGGGGATGATTGATTGTGACCTTGGATATTGACGTCAGTGTTCCAAGACTTTTGGCAGGCATTGTGCATACGAATCTTCATTGCTTCTGTAATTTCCTGATTGACATTGAATCACATTCCAGCGAACTCAGCAGTAAGCTCCTCACTATTGCCTGATGATCGCCTTATGTGTGAAACTCGAAGTAGCAATTTAAGGCCTCCTATTCTATTCACCAAGCCTATACAACTCTGCTTATGGATACTCCACGAGTTGCCACTAATCAGTTTTGTCGAGATTTAAACTCCAAAAAATTGCAGTTTTATATTCCGATATCTGTATTTTATAAAGGTTTTTCGTATAATTTCGAATCTGTTCCCCCAAGATATAATAAAGTGAAAGAAAGATCAGAGACAATGACTGCCGAAGAGGTCGAGAAAATTATGCGCAATAAAATATCCGAAAGTTTTCAGGTGAATATACTTGACTGTCAAATTCCATTAAAATAATTTTTTGGTTTTTTTTTTAAACCAGATAAAGTAACAAATTAATACTAAATTTTTTCGAGAAAGTTCTTTATTTAAGAATGAAAGATGACATAAATATATCTTCATTCCTTTCTTTGATTTTATGCTCGTTCGTTGAGTCGAATGTGCACATATGATTTTAAGTTCTAAGTATGATTGCTTAACACGAAACATCAATGGGAAGAAAAAGTCTTTGAAGACCTATTTTATCCATTTGAACCCTTTCGAATGCTGTTTTTCTTTCTTTAGAATTTTAGAAACACCAACACATGGATATTTTTCTTACAGACTCTTCGCCAAGCCTTTTACGCTGTCGATGCGAACCACGACGCGCAGATAACGAGACCCGAATTTCGCAGATTGCTTGACTCGTTCATGATTCCCATTGACGATTACGAGTTCGAAAGACTTATGTCGGAGAAACTGAAGGTGCCGAAAAATGGAACGATCAGCTATAGGGATTTCATTGGCAGATTTCAGCATGATGAAAATTTTGAAAAGGGCCATCCATGGTTATTTTCGCACCAAAGGTTATTATTTGAAATGTTTGTGGCAATTTTCTGAAGATCTCTATTTTATTTATTATTTACAAGTTAGATTTAGTCTGTAGCATCCCCTGATGATATATAGTAATGGTGCCATAATGATCATTACGTCACTTATGCACAGATACTTCAGAATGCTAAAAGCTTCTCAAAGACCAGTGTTAATACGAACAGGAATTTTGCAACATTGACATTACAGCTTCTCTTTCGTTTTCAGTCCAAACGTTACATATTCCCCGCGCGATTTAACGGCCCAAGAAGCCCACGCCTGTTTGAAAGAAAAAGCGAATGACCAATGGCATGACATTTCAGCCGCTTTCCGCGCCTTTGACAAGGACGGCAACAGCATCGTCACTAAAGAGGAGCTGAAAACAGTTCTACATCGATTTAACATCTCCATTGATCAACAGGAGTTCAAAAAGCTGTGGAGGCTGTAAGTGCTTTTAAACTTCCACTAAAATGCTAGCTTTAAGGTATAGTAACTTCGCTAGAAAATGTCTCAAACATCAGGGCAACAATAATTAGAAATTGATCATTTTTGGTACCAGCAAACATTACTAATCCAATTGAGTAACGAAGTGGGTAACGAAGGTTTCTGGGGCCCTAAGAAAACTGGGAAGGCTGGGCCTTCAGTCGCACCTTGCTAGGAAGAAAGCAACTCAAAAGAAATTGTGTTAGGCTTGCCAAACACAACAGCAAGGCGTTGATAATTTTTCTTATAATTAACTGAGTTAAGGAGGTTGATGAGTTGTAGACTCTCCAATTAAATAACTCTAAAAAGTTTAAAAATTCTTCAAAATATGGGGGTCATGATCGAATTCTTAAAAAGATGGATGTAAAAGTAATGGTGGGGCCCCTTTTGCTCCGCTCGGGGGCCCTTAGTAAGAAAACTAAGTAATCTTAAACTGCATTATGCCACTACCCTGAGCCTCCCTAGTGCTGTACCACTACCGGGTGCTGGTACTAGTCGTTCGTTTCTTCTATTAACAAAAATTAGATATTCAAGCCAAGCAAAACCTGCGAAATTTTTTATTATTGAACAGACATTGTTTATCAGAGTGTCCTAGGCAACATCTACCCTTGACATGATTTTATACAATTGTAAATACATTAGCAATTAAATATGGAATCTATCACAAAGTTTTTATTTTCAATTGCTCTCGGATAATCTAATTTCATTTGAATTCGAATAAAACTAAGATAGTGGCCATTTTGGAGTCTGCATTACAGCCATGCTCCAGTGGCACAGTCGGTTAGCGCGTCGTACTTATAAGTCAGTATTGACGAAGAAATGCGAAGGTCGAGAGTTCGAGCCTCTCCTGGAGCAATTTTTTCTCTGATTTCTTTGATTCATAAAATTTTTATTTTTCGTTTAATTTTCTATTTTTACCGTATCTTTATTTCTATTTTTACCGTTTACAAAATATTTATTTAGATTTATGACCAATATTTAATTTACTTGATGTGAGATATTCTACCTAAATAGAACTACGATTGTATTTTCGTCAATTACACACTTTTATAAGTATTAATAAATATTGTAAAAATATCGAGGCTCAAACTTGGGAAATTTAAGACAGAACTTTAAAAAAGTAGCCAGGCTGGAATTTGATCGAAACTTTAGTATCTATTATATGAGCTATTCGAGCAGAAAAAGTCTGTAGGTGGAATAGTCGTCTCAAATGTTTTCCTTTTGACGGTCTGAAGATTCTTCTAAAGAGAGATTTGATGAAAAATTAAGGCTTAGAATCACAAATATTGAAGAATATAGAGGTTTAGCGAAAATTGGAATATTCTTATAGAAACTATGTACTTAGTTAATTAAATTTCATAATTTTTTGGTTTTTGTTTTTTCTGATCCTTATAGTAATTTATTTTTGTTGAAAATTAAATCGTATAATATGCTAAGCCCCCAAACACATCAACTGGAAACATGACTGTGTTTTTTCATGCACTCATCATCAGCGTACCAGTTTACAGTCTTTGTTTCTTTTTACATATTTTTTAGAAATATATTTTATATAAATCTAATTAAAAAGTTTATTCATATTTCTTTATCATAGTATCATAAATAACTTGCAAATAATGAAAAAGTGAAGGGGTAACTTGTCAATACACTGTTCCTGAAAGGGGTTCAACCGGGTCAGCAGAGCGACCTCGCTTAGGTGTGCCAACCACTCCATGTATGAACTCAGTTTCGAACACAGTCAGTCTCTGCGATGCTATAAAGATCGATAATATATTCTGTGACTGGATCTTACCTGAAAAAAGCCATCTCACCTAACTATTGTATTGTATTGTATTGTATTGTATTGTATTGTATTGTATTGAATTGTATTGTATTGTATTGTATTTTATTGTATTGCATTGCATTGCATTGCATTGTATTGTATTGAATTGTATTGGATTGGATTGGATTGTATTGTATTGTATTGCATTGCATTGCATTGTATTGTATTGTATTGTATTGTATTGTATTGTATTGTATTATTTAATGTTAGTTTTACAATAGTGAACGCACAGTAATTATGACTAACATAGAGCAGTTTCAAGGATTGCATAAGACAGGCAACGTACTGCAAAACGAGCACACGAACCTGTTTCCAAGGAACCAAGTTTGATCAAATTCTTGAATTGTCTAGTATTTTGTGCTGCCTTTATTGATTCTGGGAGTGAATTCCAGATGCTAGGCCCTTGAAAACTTAATGATTTGATACTATGATTGGTAGTTCTGGCTTTGGGAAGGTCAAGGGGGTTTTTGAGTCGAAGGTTGTGACCTGTTGTTTTAGATACAAAATAGTATTTTTTGAAAACAGGATTAAAGTTGTTTTCATGTTCTTCAGGATCAAGTGTTTTATAAACTTCAAGAGCTAAAATTCTAATTGATTGGATATGTATGGCAGTTTCTTTTGAGATCCTGACTTCCTTTACCACATAACATCCATATCAATGGACAATAATTAAAGTGATATAGTACAAATGAATTAATAAATTTCTTTTTCTCTCTGTTGCCCTTAAATCTTGCTTATCTAACTGGGATACCTCACCCTATGAACAGGTGTCCTAATTGGCTAAACAGCAAAGAGCCAGAAACATTGGATTGAATTAACGATTCAATCGATAATAGAAACATCCTATTAAAGAGAGGAGGTTCAAGCATTGGTCACTGTGGCAAGCCACGAAGCAAACATATGGAATTTATTCATGTCTTTTTTCAGATTAGTTATTTTTGCATCTAGGAAAAGTCAATCAATCGACCACCCTGTCAATATAGATGATATGTTTGTATATACTAATATTTTCTAATAGTTCTGCATCGTGAAATTTAACCTTTCATTTTTATTACAGTTACGACACCGATAGAAATGGCCATGTCGATCACAGAGAATTTCTCCAAAGACTTGGAGTAGAGCTTGCCCCTGGAGATGTGAATGGAATCAGCAACAAAATAACAAAAGGCAGCGAAGATGAGATTTATCGTCATCATCAGAGCCAGCAAGTGTGTTATCTATTTTTATTTAAAACCTTTTTTATGTGAAGTTCATCAAATTTCAACAGTTGCTTCTTCACTTCCTTACATTTTCATATTTCTAAATTTTAAAGTTGTATGAATGTTAGTGAAAAACCTCACTGACATGCGTTGTAAAACCACCCTTGTAAAATCTAATCGATGGCCATTTGAAACTGACATTCGGAGTGAGTAAAACCGAGGATTAGCTTTTATTGTTCGAGGATCTAATAAACGAGGCATTGTCAACCTTGGAAATTAAACTATTCTGGAGTTCCAACTAACTTTTAAAGGGTTGTTTTAACACACTGACTGATAAACCTTTACAGATCTTTTTTGCTTATAAATGCGACGCGAGCTGTCTTAAATAGGAATTGGTTAATTCCAGATGAAGCAACACAAGGCCGCAATAAATCAAGCCAACACGACATCGTTCATGACAGCTATTGATGTAGAAAAACAGTTAAGGTATGCTTATCATTGGCAGATTTATATAAAAAATCATTTTTTCTTTCATAATAAGAACAGCATTATAAAGCCATGCCTGTATATATGTGGGTGCCCCTCCGATCAATTATTTCAGATTTATTGGGCAAATCTCAAGGGCCATTTTTTGATAAACAGGGGTCCAGAGCCCTTCAACTCATATTCCCTCTTATCTGCATGACTAACTGATTAACATTACCTTGATAATTTTCTTAGCCATTAAAACTAACGTATAATATAAGTGCAACATGGCATCAGAACTGCTAATTGCTAATGATCTTTTGAGATACAGCTGCTTAAATTGTCAACGGCCGTCATTTTCCAAAATACATCTTTACAACTTAATACAGAAATATCCCAAAAGCGAAATACTTGCTTCTTCGTCTTGTTGAAACCGTGTTCACGACTTTATTTTTTAGAGATAAATTCAGAGACAGTTACGAAAGCTTTCGGAAAGCATTTGAACAGGTTGACAAGAATAAAGATGGTTTTATCTCAAGATCTGAACTCATGAAGGTTTTATACGACCACCATTACTATATGGATGATAGTGAGCTGGCTGTTCTGCTGAGCAGGTAGGGACTAGTTTGAGCAAATTTCAGTGTTTATCAAAATGCAATTACGTTTGCCTTAATTAAGAACACAGATATCTGAGCATACCGGAGATTTGTCACACCAACCTTCTGCAAGCCTTTCCATCCAATGAAATATTATCTTCTATGAGGCTGTTGGTGTTTCATTTTCCTTACTAATAAACACGTTTTAGTTTATTTTTCAGGTAGTTTTCCAACCCTCTATTAGGTAATGAATTCACATCTTCTCTTTCATGCCACATTATCAATGTAAGCAGTTTTCAACACAGCTCCTACATCAAGTTTTTTATAAATTGACGACATTATTGATAACTGAAGATAGATCAGGATCTCGAGGAGCTTCTTTGATTTCAGAGCTTCTGCACCGTAGCTTGTGTTCTGCGTCGTCTTCTGCTCCAGACCCCCAGGCTGCTGTACCGTACATGTTTTAACGCCAGTAATGTTCTGTGGCAACCTAATTTTACTGTATGCCACTTGCAATCTTAGATAAATAGCTAGCATTGATGTTATCAAGCTATCATATCCTTTTACTGTCAATTGTATTCAAGTATTTATTTAATTGTTTGAAGTTGTAAGTTTTTATTACAGTGGAAGGATGATTCAACCCTCACTTTCCTATAGACACACCTTTTTTAATTTTTGTAGCATTTTTGGTTTTTCATGTTGTGTCCGATGTAATGCCTAAGCTTCGAAATCATTTAAAGCTTTTTTGTTCAACAGGCTAGGGTTTGGAAACAAAGATTCTTTGTCGTATGGAAACTTTTTATCCGCCTTCCAAGACCCACGACACTCGAGAAACCCGCGGTTAACGCTAGATTCCCGCTCAAGCAATTCAACTAGTGTCAGTTTCGAAAGTGGCGAAGATCTAAGCCCTGATGAGGCCCTTATTAAGCTCCGAAATAAAGTTGCAAATAATTCTGAAGCAATTGCAAGTGTAAGTCTTTTTTTACAGATATTAAAACTTTTATCTATGGCTTCAATCAGAATCTCAGGTTCTTTGTTGAGTTTGTTTGGGATCTTTGAAAGTATCTCAACTCAGTTTAGCACAACCTTACGGCTTACTCTCAAGAAGCCCAAAGCTGTTCTTTTGGCTGTTTAATTATGTTGAATACCTAGTTTTTATACCTGTTCCCCTTTGGCAGATCAGTTATAAACGTATTGTTTTTTTCCTTAATACTAAATCTCTTGTATCAATGTTTTCCTATAAACCTTTTTGCTACTCCTTTAAATGGACGGCCGGGGAAAGTTTATATATTGACATATTAATTGAGAGTTACAGAATGGAAAATTCCTTCCCAGTCGAGAAAAATCTTTCACTAGATTTGAGTTGAGATGAATAATTGTTGGATTTTTCTTTCGCAGGCTTTTGCTGCATTTGACAAATCAGAAACGGGAAGAATAAACGTTTCCGACCTACATATGATAATTAACTCGTTTTGCTTCAAGCTATCCGAAAAGCAATTCAAGGTAAATCGTCTTTAACTCTTGCAATAAACATACTTGTACCTATAGCATAAATCAAATGTCTGCACTGGAATACCAGTGACATAAAACGAAGCTTAACAATACCCCATATTCAACATGAACGGCTGGAATGTTTTATTAGGCACCAGAGTATTGAACGACGCAAATACTGCATCAAAAGTAGTACTTTTAATGAATGTTTGTCTTGAACGATGCTTCCCTCTAATACTAGAAGACTCTTGCGAAAAGATTGAAGCTGTTTCATTGTTTCCATGAGAATGAAAGGTGATTTCATGTGGCTCATTTTCACAATATAGATTCCTGCTACTTGTTCTGTTAAATCCGTCTGATTTGAGTTGCAGCTATCGTACCATTGTCGACTTTGATTTTCTGAGTATAGAAATCAAGCACTATGTAAAAGTTTGCTTCTTCTTGCTCTTTCAGCATTTGCTTACAAAACTATCGGCTCATCCAGATGGTACAGTCGATTATGAAAGCTTTATTCAAAGTTTTCAAAGGACCGATGCAGAGGCCAGCAAAACGTGGCTCGAAAATGCGTTGAAGGATGATGTAAAGATCCTATCGCCTCGTTCAACTGCACAAAACAGTCCTCCAAGCTATGAAATCCTGGAAGAACAAATAGGTGACATGATTCAAGCAAAATATAGGAAAATCTCAAAGGTGTGTTGGTCTTCTTGTCTAGTTGTAGAATTGTGAAAATTACTGATCTGTTTTTTTCTTGACGTTGTTTTCATATATTTAACAGCTATTATTTTTTATTTTGTCACTTCTTATCAGACTAATGCTTACTAACTTATCAAAAATTGGTACAATAATGGTTTAAAATAAAGCTGAATCAAACCAAGTTATATCAGAACGAAGAGATTGATATCTTTATGAGCTGAATAAACTGACAATCAAAGAAAATATCATTGAATGTAGCCAATTGAATGTTGAAATACTGTTGAATGTTGAATGTACCCTACATGCAGCCAATTTTTTGTATGTTAGTGTTCATAGGTTACATAGTATATTTGAAAGTCGCTAAGGTCTTCCTCTTCTTTCAAAATTAATTTCTTTTTCGTATAGATCCTATCTGATCTTGATTTTGATGGCAATGGTCAAATTCAGCCCCACTCACTTCGAAAGGTTTTAAATGAACACACGTTGAGGTTGTCCGATGATCAGTTTAGCCAGCTGTGGAGCAAATTTGATCAAAATCGAGAGGGCTCCATTAATTATAAAGATTTCTTGAATCGCTTCAGTGGACAATATTCACCAAGGGATTTAATTCCACGCAACGAAGAAAACATTTTACAGGTTAGTAAACACATTGTAAAGCTCCAAAGTTACTCTAATATATTAGCTCCGTCTTTTTGCTGATGAACGGTTTTGAATCACAGAAGTTGCATGAACGTTTGAGTTTATTATACAATCAACAGATATAGGTACATATTCGCTGAAATACCAACAGAACGCGAAGAATCGTCAACCAAAGACAACCTCGACTATTCAACTATATATGTGGCACAACTTTTTTCTTGCATACCCATGGTCAAAATTTTATTTTTGAGTACAGTCTGCTAGATCCTTACACCATGCATATCTGAGTCTAAACGAAAACTACTTGCACCGATAAAACCAACTAAAAAATATGTTTATGATACCTATGATATGGAAGGTTTCACAAAGGTTTTGACACAGCTTTGATTGCAGTAGCCAAGTTGCATGTGTGGGAAGGCATTGAGGGCAATAAACACTTTCCTCTGCACTTCAACCACTTATACTTGATGCGCAGAAATATCTTAAGCAAGCCCACTACTCCTGGTAAAGATCGAATAAATTACATTCAAAGCACTATTTCATTCGCTTCTTTTTGGAAGCTAAGCTTTAAATTTTCTTGTAAACAGAACCATTATAGAAGTATTTTGCATAACAGTTTTCTATGTGTGTTGAAGGTTGCGTCACCACGAAGACCGATTTCTCCATCCAAGAATCAAGTCCCTAATCACTGTCATCGTCCATTTGAGATCATGATCAAGCCGCAGGTATGTTTGGAAAATTTTGAAGTGTGTTATTGACCTTTTTTGCATTTTTTGCAAAGGCTTTGAAGTTATTGATCTTTTCGTAGTAATAGGAGGAACAGTTAAAAATTTGTTTTCTGCATTCCCAACAAACATAATGATAGATTGTAAAGATCCACGCAAACAGGTAATCAAGCCTGTAGACTGTATCAAATTTTTCAGCACGTTGATACCTGTGACTTATCGGCATCCATATTCCATTTTCTTAAAGAGACCATAAAATAATCTATAAATATGTATCGTTGTAGGGTAACTCAATTTATGTCACAAATTTCAACCATTTTGATCTGTCAACTTTTTTATGAAGATTGTCCTACATTGGAAATGAAAAAATGGAACGGCCCTAATTTAATCGTTATTAATTTTATTTACTTTTTGTCTATTTTAGATCATGAAAAATTGAAGAGCCTTTCAAAAGCATTTAGAAAAGCAGATACTGCCAGTACTGGGGAAGTCCAGATAGGGAAGTTCAAAGGTATTGTTTTATTAGGGAAGTTCAAAGATTTGAATCTGTATGATCCACCCTAGTCTTTCAAGTATTTGATATTGCATGGTAGCGAACAAAATTAATAACATTAGAAAAAATCTGTTTAACAGAATGACCTATTATTCTGGTTTTTATTATCGTATCTTTTTATGTAATTTTCATTGAGAAATTGGGAAAAAAGTGGAGGTGCGGGGTTTCGAACCCCGGGCCTCTCGCATGCAAAGCGAGCGCTCTACACTGAGCTACACCCCCAGCTGATGGATTGAACCAACAAGTTAAACTAATTCATATAAAGACAGATTTTCACTACGGGATCTTTCTCTCATTCATGCACTAGGATTTTTGTTTGAATTTCAATTGGGAAAAGATTGCTGGAGAGAAAATTAATTCATTTCAGTGGTCTTATCAGCTCATTTAAATATTATACAATGATACATACCTTCAAATATGGAATGGTTTCTGAGGATAGACGTCATGCCAATAAGCAACTGTACCCGTTTTATTTTCAAAATCAAACCCTTAAATAACTTTGACGTTTCAATTTGAACAGAGCGCGTGGTTCTTGTTTTCTTTAGAATTTCATATTTTCTATATAATAATAGGAAATTTATCTCACTTTAAGGTATTCTGGAAACACATCGTGTCCAAATGAATGACGATGAATTTGCGCTAATTGCGAGAAAGTTGACGTAAATGACAAGGAAGGTAGGTCGAATTCATCGTTATCAGAATCAGGATTTTCTGGCTGAAGCTTTGTTTTGCTCCAAAAGAGAGCTGCTTTCCATTTGTAGCTCGGAATGAGAAATTTTGACTTAATTTTAATGAATTTGTTATTTTGAAACAGAAAAGCAGCACAATAAAAGCAAACAGATATACATCATAAACTGCAACAAAGCTCCCGACTTGACACGTATTTAAATTGCTTGATACAGTTAAAATACGTTGAGGGTGTATATTTTCAAAGTGATTCAAAGAAAGGATGTATTCGTTAACTCAGCTCTACTCTCCTTTTTACTCAACTCTTAATTCCTCTGGAGTAGTATCTAAAAAAGCTCTTGACAAGAAAGTTACGTGTTTTATCCTGTAGACAACATGTGCAAATAAGTGATCGGTCTATCAATTGGTGAAAATATTTAGCAATTAGATAATGAATGCAGAAAAATGTCCCATTTCTAGCTGATTAAATATGTACCCCTATAAGGCGAAAATGTGTGTGACTAACAATAAGTAAGTTTTATGGAAACACAGCAGTATTTTGGTTATGACGGTAGCTTCTTGAGATTGTTAACTGAAATTCCAACAGTTTGATTAAATTAAATATTAATTTAAATCTGATGTTTATTCGATTCACTTCTATCTAGAATTCAATACATGGACTTCCTGAAAAGATAATTTATTACAGTCAAGAGAAAAACAAAATGAAACATCAGAATCACTGGTGAGTTCCAGAATTTTTAAAGTAATTTACAAATACTCTGTTAATTATTTCTTTGATTGATATGATCTGAGATGAACATTTACCAGGGTCTAACCTAGCGCTATCCGAAATATTTTGTTCTAATTTGTAATTTCATAAGTCGTTAGCTGTAGTTGATTGGTTAAATTAAGCAATCAAAAGCTCTATGTTTCTTATTGGTCAGACTTGATTCACATTCAGGAAAACTTTTCAAACCTTCAGCCATTCTTCAATATTTTGAGACGAAGCAAAGTTGTTGATTATAATCATTTTCTTTTCAATTCGCTTGCCTTGCCTTTAAATAAACATCTGCAATTGAACAATTGCACTCAATTTGCAATTGCATCAATGACATGAATTGAATTGAACTTGAATCGATTGTCATAATTGGTCATACCTATTGACGAGAAAGATTTGTTACCATTGTTACAATAAAAAAAATTAAATCTTTTATAGCGAAGCAGCTTGACAGAAAAATGAGTTTTTGAATTCAGTCATGTCACGAATAAGGCGGGATATCCAGGACGACTGGAAAGTTATGAGAAGGGCTTTTAAGGTAAATTCATTCTTAATGTTGTTTCTTTTCAAACTTCAATAACTTGTTCCTTAAATACCTGTTCAAGCTTTCTAAAATACAAGCTAATTTTTTTTGTTGTGAATTTCACTTGAGCATCTTTAGATGTGAGTAGTATGTTGTTTAGCTGACAAGCACTAGACTGGTCAACTAGAAGCTAAATTAATGCATTGATTTTTTACTTTTATAAACAGAAGACAGAATCTCTTCGCTAATGTCACTTAATTGTCCAGTAAGAAAGCTACTGCTAACTAAACTAGCAAAACCGTGAAAAAAATAACGCGATGGTTGATGTAGAGACTTTCCTCTAGATGTGGGCGAGACATTATCCGTTGCCATTCTCTTGCTCTGATAAATATTTCCCTTCAAACCTAAAGACCTGTTTCTTTATGTACTTTCTCAATCTTGTGCTAGACCGCTGATCGAAATGGAACAGGCACGTGCACTGCTGTCGAACTGAGGCAGATGTTGCGCAGATTCAGGGTTGATTTGACCGAAGAGGAGTTTTATCAACTCATGTCTATATTTCGACAAAAAACATGAAAGGAAAGGTTTCATACAACGAGTTTTTGAAAGTGCATTTTCGTAAAGAACCTGGCTTGATTCTAGCATTGATTCCAGACGAAGCAACCCCTTTGCAACAGGGCCTCAAACTCATCTAACAACAGGACGCTCGCAATTGCTTTGTAGATATTTTGGAGCCTGTTTGTGAACACACTGTATTTTTAAAAGGTCTTTAAATCACTATTACTGAAGACTTTGTTATTGAACGTAAATTAAATAATGAACTAAATTTAACTTATGGGGGATTTTAGCAGTTTTTATTGACTCATTTGTATTTTCCTATATTATTATCTTGAAGCACTGCATGACTTAATCATACTTTTATTTTGTATTTGCGATGAAATGAAAATATATTTTGATCCTTTGTAAATACAATCACAACCTAAAGCTATTTGTTTATATATCTATTCATTATGCGTATCAGCATTGGATATACTGAGTGTACACAATTCTGCCTATTTTATCACGAAAACTACATTTTTTATAGAACACGTTGACTTCCAGGCCTGGTTATTTACTTGTTTAGCCATTACAGCCATACAGAGGCGCTGTGGATATTTGCCAGTCCAAGAGGACATTTGCCAGGAGAAATGTAAGACCGGCCTATGCGTTTCTAAAGAGGTCGTTGTGCCTGAAAATCTAGAAACTTCCCTATCTTCATTTACCTACTGAGGCTGCTCCGGTATAGCCTGGCCGATAAGGACGTGACAGATCTGCATTCTGAATCTATAATCAATTACCGGTCTTATGGATTAACATTCAAAATTGTCCGTTTCCTCATTGCATCGTCAGCCATGCCTTGAGATCAATGAATCAAAACAACTTTTTACTTTCATTTCATAATTATGAAGTTTTTTTTATAAGACACCAATGCTGTCAAATTTTTTGCAAGATGCGTGGTCTACCTCTTTTGGTAATCCCAAAAGCATCGTATGAAAAATTGTTCTGCAACCTGCGTTTGAAAAATTGCCCTAATTTCATTTATTGTTGAAAAATGACACGTTTAGTTTAAATCAAAAGAATATTTATTTTCACATTCTGTACACAATATAAACTCGTTTCGTCTCTGTTCCATACTGACGTCTGCCAAAATGATTTTAATTTTGGGGTAGAGCCATTTAAATAGAAACGTAGAACACCTGATAAATTGGAAAGGAATCTATTCAAACGCTTGAGTGCAAAATAAGCACATTTATAGAACGATAGAACCCTATTAGAGGAAAGCCTGCCCCTTCCCCTCTTGCCCCTCCCCCTCTTGCCCCCTCCCCTCTTGCCCCCTCCCCCTCTTGCCCTCCCCCCCTTGCCCCTCCCCTCTTGCCCCTCCCCCTTGCCCCCCACCGTCTACAATAGGTCAAAAAGAAAAGTGAACGGCAACTAGAGAAACATTTTCCGTATTCTTTCTTACCGCCCCCATTTTAGCTCGAGAGTTCATTTTTAAAACGTAAAAGGTATTCTACTTTCCTCCAGCAATTGACTCTTAGTTACCTGAAACTTATTTAGTTGAATTAAATTCACTTCAACGTGTCATGAATGCAGCTTGGAAACCACTGTGTCTGAAACACGGAAATAGCCCTAAGTATTATCTTCGCGGAACTGGCCTTCTCACAAAGATCTCATTGATTATCAATAAAGGATGGATCTTAGAAGAATTGCACAACAGTCAGTTAGAAAGAAGGCTACAGAACAAGGTGAAGTCAATTTTCTGGTGTCATAAAATTAATTACATAGTATAAAAAAGCATTGATAACTGATGCATTCACATCCTCAATCGTGGTTAGAAGATCTTCTGTTGTATTCATCTATGTATGTGCCTGTATGATTATTAATACAATCCTAAAACTGTCATTATAAATGTTGCATAACCTCGCAATTTTCAATGATCTGTTGTAAATATTTAACATTCACCTGTGATCTATAAAAAGATTTTGAAACTCGGGGTACATCCTTTTTACTTGTCATTGTAAAATTCAACTTTCGAGCCTTCAATAATAACCGTGAAATTATTTTCCTTGTCAAGCTAAGTTATCTTTTTTATTCAACCCATATACCTTGCAGTGTGGACTAGTCCCCCTCCCCACTTTTTCAGGAAATTGGTCCTTAAGATTCTTGCAAAGTGATGAGAAACTTCAGGGGGGGGGGGGGGTATGTACGTTATCTAGATCGTCAGTGTAAATGACATTTCTGGGAGACAACAGGTGTTTCCTCCGGACAAAAAGTTTCAAACAGGGGGAAAGGGCGTGGTCCAAATCGGCCTTGTCCCTGATACCCCTTTGCCCCCCCCCCCCACTTATCCCAGGCTGGAGCCGCCACTGATACCTTGCATATTGCATATTGCATATTGATACCAGGAAAACATTACGGCCCCACGGCTACTGGCCGGAGGAAGGGCAAAGAGAAATCGATTTCGAGAAGAGAAAAATTTATACCCTTTTCATTTTCGACATACATTAATGAAAAAATGAAAAAAAACCAGAATAAAATTCAAAAACCTCCTGTTTTTTAATATGAAAATGTTTGCAGAACTACTTTGCACTGTAAAATTTAGCCATTAACTGTCTATAATTTAAATACTTGAATAATAGGATTTTTTTATCAATCGATATATAAGAATTTTACTTATCATCGATTTCTAAAAACATTTATAATTGAAAACAAGCAACAAGTTTCTAGTAAAGTTTTTAAAAACAGAGTTACCAGGAGAGAAGATCAAGACTGGCTGTGAACCCCCTTTTTCTGACCAAGCTCATTTTAAACCCATTAGGAAGGTTTTATAGTAAGATTTTCTTGCCCGGAGGGAGGTTAATAACTTTTCTGGACTCTGTGTATAGGTTATATTTGTCAAAAAACATTATCCTCCTGTTGGACCCTGTTTTGTGGCAGCCTCAACAAGCCGCCAGGTTGAATTGCATTTAGTTATTATAAGATGCCCAGAGGGACTGCGGAAGCGGGAGGCTGGGAGTGGGGGTTAGCCCCAAAAATTTGCACTTGAAACCATACATAAAATTGTGTTGCTCTTGGTTTTTAGCAATATTTCTTTATGCACGCATACTCTTCAATGTTTTTATCTGATTAACAAGATCTTTACTTTTATTTGTAGATAATTGGTATTTATTATTTTTCCTTTAAAACTGTTGTTTACACCGACTGTGAAGACATAAATTATTATTACCATTAGTAATTTCATGCTTTTTTCAAATTGTGGATCCCGATCCTGGGTTTCCATTCTTATATCAAATATCTGTACTTGCGTTTGTGACTTCATTTGGTGTTTTTTCAATTGTTTTTTCGGCAAATCATGTTTGCTGATTATTTAATTTTAAAAATTTTATGTGTTGAAAGAAATTTGGATATTTGCTCATATTGAAATAAGTTTATTTTAAAAAAAAACTGGGACACCGTATTTTCCGTAACACACATGTCGTTCAGAAGTGAACAAACGGGTGGGGCGCTACGTATTTCCGGTCTAGAGGGTCTTCATAACGAGGGTGGGTAAGAAGGAAACAAAGATGGCGACCTCACCTTCTCCTGGAGGTACTCTAAAAAGAGATAAAGGCTGGATGGGAACCTTGACACGACGAAGTAGGAAAGCTGAAAAAGAAGGTAATAGATGTATGACTTCTGTGATATCTTATGTCTTTTGTTCGTTGTTGGGAAGTGTCAACATTTCGGTAGGAACAAATCTGGCCTAGTGTGTGTTATCCACCCTTTTCGATGACACCACCTGCGCCTGTTATGTCGCAAACATTTTCAGAAAGTCACATAAAGTGCCATTTAGCTATTTTGACAAAAACTTTTCATATTCTCTCATTGTTCTGAATTATTAGCCAAGAATGTTTAATAAGGATTATTATATCAACAATCGAAGCTTTTAATTAGTTAACTCAAACTCAAAATCTTTATCAGCAAATTAAAGGCGTTTTGGCATCTCGATGTTTATTGATAACATTTTACTAACAGAAAAAAACTAGTAAGTGATAAAAAGTTTTCAAAAGTGTTTTAATATTTTGGATTTTTGATTGATAAAACACAAATGCATGAAAAGTAATTACAAGTTAAAAATGAACAGTTAAAAATGAAAAGTTAAAAATGAAAGTAATTAAGGGTAAAAATCATTTTTAGTGGATCTGAAGTGAACTAGTTGCTGAGGAAATGTTCCTTTAATTGATGCTTGAGTTGAACAATCTATGTTGATTGGCGGATGTCAATTGGGATGTTGTTGAAGCAAGAAGGGACTTGGAAACGAATTGAGTTTTTCGCAGCCTCCATCCTGACCTTTGGAAAGCAGAGGCTTGATGAACTTCCTCCCATGTTATAATTGTGGTCAGACATTTAAAGATCTGTATCGCTGCTCTTGATCTTGAATGCTCATGAGCCCACATTCTTTGTTGCCCTTTGGCTGGTTGTGGATGATCTTAATTTTGCAATGTTTGTCATCTCAGCAGTTAAAATCTCTCCTATGATGTTAACATTTTGGTGAGAAAACGATATCACTGTATCATCATATCAACATTTTAATAAATTGAAATATCTACTGTCTGAAAATATCTAAGCATCTTTGTACATCACATTATCCAACCTGCCTGCTATGAAATTTTAAATGTGGGCTGTATTTGTACCTATCATCTTTTGAGGCAGCTGATATAGGTTTTCAAGATATTGAATTTTTGCATAATTGTAATAGAGCTAACAAGATGATTGGTTGACAATTCTATCACCGATTTTTTTTTTATATGTGGTACTAAGTTGCATCTTTCCAGGTTTCTCCATTAACAGGATGCCAGAATTTTGAAAAAAAACAATAGTTTAACCTAATCTGTATTAAACTTTGCTGAACAACTTTTTGGTGGTACAAAATTTTTAAAAGCAAGCTTTTTACAGCATACTGAAGGCTGTTTTGTCTGACACTTCTCCAAGTATAAAATCTCAGAATATGGTTCCAAAAGAACAAGGTGGAAAATATATACTCAGTTGTTGATTGAAATAGGCCAATCAAAAGAGTTGCGAGCATGTGACCAGTATAGTTGTTCAATCAACACCACTGGACAGAACTCATTAATCTGCAAAAGTCTGTGCCCCTAATTTCTGCAGGAACTTCTGAATCAATTATTGTCTTTATGATTTTAGAATCATCCCAAATGACATAAAATAGTTTACATTAAATGACACCAGACTGGATAATAGTTTCATTATCAAAAGCTGATATCAAGTTGAATTGTCCTGTCTCTTTCTCTCTCTATCCTGTCTCTTTATTTCTATATTCTCTTCATTTATCTTTTTTACTCTATTCCTCTATACTTATCTATAATCACTGATCACTCAAAATTATTTGATCATACTTTTCTCTGTGCATTATGAAGTGACTTGTAGAACTTATTCATGCAAAGGAGGCTAAAGAAAGCACAAGTTTAACAAAGGTCTTTTTTTAAGAAAAATCCTTGAAAAATCCTTAGAAATTCTATTGTTCTAAAAATCTCCTTCTCTCTTTCAAGAAAGTGATATACCCAATGCACACCTTTAAGCTAAAGTTGTCAAATATTTAAGCCAGGTGCATTAGTGCAAGTTAAAGAAATAAAGTAAAATGTAGAGTATGCATGTCTGACTTGTAGGAGCAAAATCACAAGGTCTTTATAGCAAATTCGTACTGTTTCAGGGGACTAAGTATTGATCTTGCCTCAATATTATTGCATCATCGAAATAGAATTGCCCAAATGAAGCCTGTAATGTGATAGATTTTGTCTGTTTACAGGGGGGGGGGGGCTGCAGCATTTAAGGTACAACTCCAATTAATTTATTAAGAATGAAGTTCAGATAATTTTTGGCAACAGAAATCTTTTTCTTCAATTTTTGAAGTGAAAGCATTTTAACATTAATATGATCAAATCTTACAAGAATAATAAACTTGTGGCTAAAGTACTGAGTATCCAATTTCCTTGTAAGTCACAACGTTGACTGGGAAGTTTTTAAGGGAACTTATTTAGAGCAGAATCTTTAACTGCAAAGATTTTTAAGTTTGAAACAAGAAAAACCCAGCGTAATTCTCACAAGTTCTGTTAATGAATCGAAAATCAAATCATGGATCCCTTCATTTCCTTTTTTGTGAAACACATTAATTTATATTGCTCTCAGCAATTGATATGTCCTCTGTTTAATTTTTCATGCAGTTCATGATAATAATGATATGGTACCTGCTTTTGACTAAGGTTGAGGTTGACTACAAGTTGTAGATAATGGTCAGATGCTGACAAATTGTGGATCTGTCTTTCTACTAATGTCGTCTTTATGCACAGTGCTGTTAAACTAACTAACCTATTTTATTTGCAGGCGCACTTTTTACTAGGCTTTTTGCTAGCAGGCACAAAATATTTTTGATGAGCCCTGCCACTGGAGCCCAAGAAAAAAAATAAACTTTCTCTCTACACAATACAGGCTTTTTTGTTTGTATGTTGATAGATTCAAAAATTGCTAGATGGAAAGGCATCTGGGCTCTCCCTACATCTTGGCATCTCAGACGTCTTTGCATCTTTTTAAATGTAGACTTTCGCACAATCTGCGTAATCTAACAGATGTTGTCTGATGGCAGAATCCCCAAGTCTGTGGTCTGCTGTAAAATGTTTGCTTTTTCATTTCAAAATTCCCTCTTAGCTGTTATTTGCATGTTGTATATTCTACTTTTGCAGAAGGGAAATTGAATTATAAGCATATTGTATTACGATCCTTTTTTCATATGGAAATGAATAGAGTAGAAATGAGCACATTTTACTGAAAAGGATTTTTTTTCTTTTTAGTAAATGAATTGGAAGAACAGGGTAAAAAGTCAATTGAAGACCCAACTTCACCAACTGTTGCTGTTTCCCCAGACTCATTCCTTTTAGGTATGGCCATTCATCTATTGAATTTTTAAATTTTTTGAGTGACTGCTCATTGCATACAGAGGTAATTGTAGCTTTCTTCTGTTCTATAAATGCTTGGCAAACTGATTCATTTGAATTATCCTAAACGTTTCCTCTAAAGAGGACAGATTTTTTTCATTGATCTTACCAACTTTCTCAATGCATATCTAAGTATTTTTTGCTAGCAAGATAGGTGACATAATATGCTTTCCCTTGTGTAATACTTTGATATTTCTTATTAGATGAAGGACAGGAAAGGTACATGGTTGCCCCCAACTCCTTGGATGACCACAAAGTTAGAGAGTTGTGTGAGGTATGATATATCGATATTTTCAATGTATTCCTATGTGCCCCAATCAGTGGCAAAGGCAGCTCTGGAGAGTTGGTCATACACTTGGGCAAAAAAATAAACAGGGTTTTTGGCACCACAGCAAGGTGCCCTATTAAAGTTGAGGTTAGATCAGTTCCCTGGAGAAAAGTGTTTTCATCTATTGTGAAAATACCCAGAAAAGCCTTAGGTGAGCATAAAACTTTTAACAATTTGCAAAAGAATAATTTTCAGAACTTTCTTGAGACATGTTTTTAAGAAGCCTTGCTTTTAGGTACTAAACATGTTTAAAGTCTGAAATTAAATTTTAACTTATTTTTAATATTAACTTGCTTTTAAACTCTGACTGCTTTTAATATTAGCTTGCTTTTAATATTAACTTGCTTTTAAACTCTGACATTCAATTTATTCATATTTACTATTTCAAGAGCAGTTTTCTTTCACCCGATTAAACTGTCAAATACTGAAGGAAGGGTTTTTTAGATAACATAACACAGTTAGATTTTATTCTCACAATGTTATATAAAATTTCTAAATTGTTTTGCTCTGATACATGACAAGATAAACACACTTTTGATCACCCTTCCCTAATTCCTCACTTAGAACTATTGCACTTACAAGTACAAATAGCGATTTTTTTTTAATAAAACAAATGCCCCCTAGTTAAAGTTCATGCTACACCTCATTTCTTTTAAATTCATTATTCTTAGTTTGGCAACTCAGATTATAATCAGAAAAAAGAGAGTTCTCCTCTGAAACAATCTCAATACCTCGTCTCACACAACATCAATAACAAAAAAACCATTTTATAAAATAAAGACTGAAAAGGTTAAGACAAAACTAATGTTATGCCTCATTGTATCTCAAACTTGCATTGCATGTCTCTAACAAGCAACAACAATGAAGCATTTGTGTTTCTTCTACCAACAACAAGTTCTAGAGACATTCATTCTGAATATTTCAAGCTACATATTATGGAAATTTAGCATGTTAGTCCACTAGCCATTATCAAAGCATGGAATACTTTGGGCTTGCCAGTTATCAGCACAGCAACAAAATGATACTAGAACCAGGCAGTTTGTTTCATTTTTTTTCTTGCAATATGAGCATTGCCTGCCTTATCATCAGGGGCTGTAGGCCTAGTTCGTGCATGTCATATCCTTGTTGACATAGGCCTAAATACATGTGTTAGCAAATATAGTCCATGACAGGGAGAATCTGTTCCACTACCAACTTTTGCTGCATCAATTCTTTAAAACCACAAAACTGTTACTTTTCCTCATTTCTCTGCTGCTATATTTCTTGCAGGGTAACATTGCACGGAATCCCTTTCCTCGTGAACTAGCATACTTCCTCTTCAGTCTCACTTTTTGAACTTGAACAGGGAAACGATGCAATCAAGGTCATGGTCATGCCATTCCAAAAGTGCATGACATAATAATCATTATGTTTTCAGGGCTCTTTCCATTGTTTCGCATGGTTTTGCATGACCAAACATAGCGTTATAGTCATGCACATTTGAAAGTGCATGACTAAATTGGGATCCCTGTGATATTTGCATTACTAAATTGGAAACCTTTGAGCTTTGTTGAGTTTCAAATGTAGAAACCCTATGTTTGCGCCTATGGAGTTACATAAAAGTACGCAAAGAACAATTTTCTTTGGTTTTGGAGAATTTTGAATGTGAAAAATCCCATCTTTTAATATATATCTAGAAATTTTATTATAGATTAAAAAGTTATTTTCTGGAAAATTTTTTGGTCATGCTAGGCATGACCTGCATGACCTCTAGCTTTGCCACTGGTCCCAATCAACCTGTGAAATTGTAATTTATGCTCCCAACTTATTTTTAAGGAAAATAATATCATGTGACATGAATATCGCATTCTCTGTTAGTAAGATACAGGTATCTTGACAAAAATAAAACAATTCGAGTTTAGGAAGGGGCAAAACTAGAATAGTGTCCTTAAATCAAACAAATGCAAGTGAATCAGCATGATGAATTTTGACCAAATGAAATCTCAGGGGATTGTTTCTTAGAGGCAGACAAAGGTATCAGTGCAGTACTTGAGCTTGTATTTGTAGTTTTAAAGCAATTGATTAAACAAGTTTGTTTACCTATAATTGTTGGTTTTAATTTTGTATCATTTCAAACTGAAAACCATTTGCACTAATGAATAGAATCATTTTTATTTATTTGCCTGATGTGAAGAGGTTGTATTGAAGTTTCAAGGACAAAATAATGCTCCATTCATGCTGCTCGATTCTAGCTTTTTAGCCAATCAACATGTATTAGTTTTTGCCTTGCATGCTTCTCACCCTTATATGAAATGGATACATTTGAAAAGGCTAATTGTAAACAGAACAAAATGAAAACAGATTTCGATGAACATGGATCAGAATGAAAAAACCTTCCTGCCCTTCCCCCCTAAAACAGTGAAGTGTCCACCACTGGTTGTGCCCTTAGGCTATTTTTGCTATGCCAGATCAAGATGAAAATTCCTATTTGACAAACAGCTGAAGAAAGCATGGCTTGGCTGTGAATTTTAAACTGATCCTTTTTTCATAAATATTTTTCTGCTGGAATCCCTTTTGTCTTGTTAGGACAGGTATGAAGGTTTGTTAGCTTAAATATCTCATCATAATTGCTATACTTTGTTTGTTCTTTAAGGTACTGTCTGACTGGATTAATGATGTACTACAAGACATGAGAATTGTTGTCAGAGACATTGCCGAAGATTTATATGATGGACACATTTTAGCTCTTTTTGTTGGTAGGTATTTTCATATGAGTTGAAATATTACAGAACAGATAGCTCAAGCAAAGAGAGCCAAACTATTCACATAAACAAAGTAGTGACTGTGCTATGTTCGGCACTTGGAGATTGTGAATTGTAACTTTGCAATAGTTTATAATTGGAATTTTTCAACTTGTGTATAAACATGGATGTTGCCAATTTTCAGTGTTTCATAAGCTGTGCATACTCTTTATTTTTATTGTTCCTCTTAACTGTTGGATTGGTGTTGGAATCCTGCAAAAAGACCAATTTTTTATCTTCTTGCTGTTTATTCGTTCCGCAGAAAAGCTTTCTGGTCGAGATCTGGGTGCATTAACAGAAGTAACTCAGTCAGTTAATGTGCAGAAGCAGAAACTTGATCAACTTGTAACAATTGTCAACGAACTTCTTGACAGACAAGACACCGATAAATGGACAATGGAATGTAAGTTTTAGCATTGATAAAAACGCAAATTGAAATATCTGAAAGTCCTTATTTAAATTTCGCCATGAAATTTTTTTCTTTACAAGGCCTTCAAGACTTTCTGTTATCAATATTCAAAAGAAAGTATAACTACAAAACATAAAGGGGAAAGGCATTAATTATATTGTGTTGGTATTTGAGATATTTTCCTAAAAACAATGCATCCTGGTTATTTAATAAATCATAGTCACGTGTTTCTTGCAGTGATTCATGCTAAGCATCTTCCGGCTATTCTCTACCTCCTCGTCGCTCTGGCAAAAAACTTCGAATGTCCTTTCAAGCTTCCCAACAATGTTGTTCTAAATGTTGTTGTCGTGCAGGTTTGTTTCTTTTTCTTTTGCATCATTTGTTTATTAGTTTATCTCTATGTAGCATAATTGTAGCTTAGAAGTTGTTTTTTGTTTGAATCAATCACTCGAATCAAGTTCCAGTCAGCCTAAAACCAAATTTCTTTCCAAATCTATTCTAACAGTATAAGAGAATAGAATTGCCGTTTTTAGGCATCAAGGTAGGCTTAAAAAAACATTTACAGTTAATTCTTTTTTTCAAGATACTTCAAGCATCTATCTCTTTTGCAGAAACGACAGGGAATCCTGAGAAGCAAAACAGTTCCAGAAAATGTGACCGAAGACTTCTCGTAAGTAAAAATTTTCAGAGGCTGCTATTACGTGCATTATATGGACTAGGGGCTTCTCCAACGGAGCAAATAACTTCATTACGAGTTAGAGGTCTGCATTTTTGCATTAGATTTGATAAATGCCTATGCATTGAGCTGCAACCAAGCTGGCAAAAAGGTATTTGCTTTTGTATGCTGATTCTCGATAACAGCTCTTGATGTTTTTTCTTTGAATTTAGCACACTTCATTTCACGATTATTTGTTTAGCATGAAAAAATAATTTCTTATGAAATATTCATCCCGATATCAAAATCACAATTATTTAATTCCGTAACTGATTAATTATTTTAATCAATGAATCTACTTGTCAATATTTTGCCACTGATTTGAATTTGTATTTGTGCCGCAGGAAGGACCGAGAGAGTAGACAAGGTAATCACTGATTTTTCTTCATTTCCTCGGTCCTTCCTCGGCACAAATACAAATTCAAATCAGTGGCAAAATATGACAAGTAGATTCATTGATTAAAAACATTAATCAGTTACGGAATTAAATTATGTGATTTTATATTCGGGATGAAATTTCATAAGAAATTATTTTTTTCATGCTAAACAAATAATCGTGAAATGAAGTGTGCTAAATTCAAAGAAAAAACATCAAGAGCTGTTATCGAGAATCAGCATACAAAAGCAAATACCTTTTTGCCAGCTTGGTTGCAGCTCAATGCATAGGCATTTATCAATCTAATGCAAAAATGCAGACCTCTAACTCGTAATGAAGTTATTTGCTCCGTTGGAGAAGCCCCTAGTCCATATAATGCACGTAATAGCAGCCTCTGAAAATTTTTACTTACGAGAAGTCTTCGGTCACATTTTCTGAACTGTTTTGCTTCTCAGGATTCCCTGTCGTTTCTGCAAAAGAGATAGATGCTTGAAGTATCTTGAAAAAAAGAATATAAACTGTAAATGTTTTTTTTAAGCCTACCTTGATGCCTAAAAACGGCAATTCTATTCTCTTATACTGTTAGAATAGATTTGGAAAGAAATTTGGTTTTAGGCTGACTGGAACTGATTCGAGTGATTGATTCAAACAAAAAACAACTTCTAAGCTACAATTATGCACATAGAGATAAACTAATAAACAAATGATGAAAAGAAAAAGAAACAAACCTGCACGACAACAACATTTAGAACAACATTGTTGGGAAGCTTGAAAGGACATTCGAAGTTTTTTGCCAGAGCGACGAGGAGTAGAGAATAGCCGGAAGATGCTTAGCATGAATCACTGCAAGAAACACGTGACTATGATTTATTAAATAACCAGGATGCATTGTTTTTAGGAAAATATCTCAAATACCAACACAATATAATTAATGCCTTTCCCTTTATGTTTTGTAGTTATACTTTCTTTTGAAATTGATAACAGAAAGTCTTGAAGGCCTTGTAAAGAAAAATTTCATGGCGAAATTTAATAAAGACTTTCAGATATTTCAATTTGCGTTTTTATCAATGCTAAAACTTACATTCCATTGTCCATTTATCGTGTCTTGTCTGTCAAGAAGCGTTGACAATTGTTACAAGTTGATCAAGTTTCTGCTTCTGCACATTAACTGACTGAGTTACTTCTGTTAATGCACCCAGATCTCGACCAGAAAGCTTTTCTGCGGAACGAATAAACAGCAAGAAGATAAAAAATTGGTCTTTTTGCAGGATTCCAACACCAATCCAACAGTTAAGAGGAACAATAAAAATAAAGAGTATCCACAGCTTATGAAACACTGAAAATTGGCAACATCCCATGTTTATTACACAAGTTGAAAAATTCCAATTATAAACTATTGCAAAGTTACAATTCACAATCTCCAAGTGCCGAACATAGCACAGTCACTACTTTGTTTATGTGATAGTTTGGCTCTCTTTGCTTGAGCTATCTGTTCTGTAATATTTCAACTCATATGAAAATACCTACCAACAAAAAGAGCTAAAATGTGTCCATCATATAAATCTTCGGCAATGTCTCTGACAACAATCTCATGTCTTGTAGTACATCATTAATCCAGTCAGACAGTACCTTAAAGAACAAACAAAGTATAGCAAATATGATGAGATATTTAAGCTAACAAACCTTCATACCTGTCCTAACAAGACAAAAGGGATTCCAGCAGAAAAATATTTTATGAAAAAAGGATAGTTTAAATTCACAGCCAAGCCATGCTTTCTTCAGCTGTTTGTCAAATAGGAATTTTCATCTTGATCTGGCATAGCAAAAATAGCTAAGGGCACAACCAGTGGTGGCACTTCACTGTTTTAGGGGGGAAGGGCAGGAAGGTTTTTTCATTCTGATCCATGTTCATCGAAATCTGTTTTCATTTTGTTCTGTTTACAATTAGCCTTTTCAAATGTATCCATTTCATATAAGGGTGAGAAGCATGCAAGGCAAAACTAATACATGTTGATTGGCTAAAAAACTAAGATCGAGCAGCATAGAATGGAGCATTATTTGTCCTTGAAACTTCAATACAACCTCTTACATCAGGCAAATAATAAAAAAATGATTCTATTCATTAGTGCAAATGGTTTCAGTTTGAAAGATACAAAATTAAACCAACAATTATAGGTAAACAAACTTTTTAATCAATTCTTTTAAAACTACAAATACAAGCTCAAGTACTGCACTGATACCTTTGTCTGCCTCTAAGAAACAATCCCCTGAGATTTCATTTTCAAAATCTTGAATTCATCTTATTCATGCTTAGTTCTATTGCTCATAATTTTTTTCAAGATACTGTATCTTACAACAGAGAATGCGATATTCATGTCACTTTGATATTCTTATATCTTCCTTATAAAACTCAAATGTGGAGACAATACCTCGATGAGAACTTCTAACATTCACATGAATTATCCTATAAAATGTTGGGCGCACAATAATTCATCTGATACATGAGTCAGAGCCAACACCGAAAATTTTCCTAGGAAAATAATTTTTAATCTATAATAAAATTTCTAGTATATATTATAAAGATGGGATTTTTCACATTCAAAATTCTCCAAAACCAAAGAAAATTGTTCTTTGCGTACTTTTATGTAACTCCATAGGCGCAAACATGGGTTCTACATTTGAAACTCAACAAAGCTCAAAGGTTTCAATTTAGTAATGTCAAAATCACAGGGATCTCCAATTTAGTCATGCACTTTCAAATGTGCATGACTATAACGCTATTGTTTGGTCATGCCAAAACCATGCGAAACAATGGAAAGAGCCCTGAAAACATAATGATTATTATGTCATGCACTTTTGGAATTGCATGACCATGACCTTGATCGCATCATTTCCCTGTGTTCAAGTTCAAAAAGTGGAGACTGAAGAGGAAGTATGCTAGTTCACGAGGAAAGGGATTCGTGCAATGTTACCCTGCAAGAAAATATAGCAGCAGAGAAATGAGGAAAAGTAACAGTTTTGTGGTTTTAAAGAATTGATGTAGTGCAAAAGTTGGTAGTGGAACAGATTCTCCCTGTCATGGACTATATTTGCTAACACATGTATTTAGGCCTTATGCAACAGAACATGACATGCACGAACTAGGCCTACAGCTCCCTGATGATAAGGCAGGCAATGCTCATATTGCAAGAAAAAAAATGTAAACAAACTGCCTGGTTCTAGTATCATTTTGTTGCTGTGCTGATAATGGCAAGCCCAAAGTATTCCATGCTTTGATAATGGCTAGTGGACTAACATGCTAAATTCCATAATATGTAGCTTGAAAATATCAGAATGAATTACTCTAGAACTTGTTGTTGGTAGAAGAAACACAAAGTGCTTCATTGTTGTTGCTTGTTAGAGACAGTAATGCAAGTTTGAGATACAATGAGGCATAAATTAGTTTTGTCTTAACCTTTTCAGTCTTTATTTTTATAAATGGTTTTTTTGTATTGATGTTGTGTGAGACGAGGTATTGAGATTGTTCAAAAGAATACTCCTTTTTTCTGATTATAATCTGAGTTGCCAAACTAAGAATAATGAATTTATAAAGAATGAGGTGTAGCATGAACTTTAACTAGGGGGGCATTTGTTTTATTAAAAAAAAAATCGCTATTTTACTTGTAAGTGCAATAGTTCTAAGTGGAGGAATTAGGGAAGGTGATCAAAAGTGTGTTTATCTTGTCATGTATCAGACAAAACAATTTAGAAATTTTATATAACATTGTGAGAATAAAATCTAACTGGTTATGTTATCTAAAAAACCCTTCCTTCAGTATTTGACAGTTTAATCGGTGAAAGAAAACTGCTCTTGAAATAGTAAATATGAATAAATTGAATGTCAGAGTTTAAAAGCAAGTTAATATTTAAAAGCAAGTAATATTAAAAGCAGTCAGAGTTAAAAGCAAGTTAATATTAAAAAAAGTTAAAATTTAATTTCAGACTTTAAACATGTTTAGTACCTAAAAGAAGCAAGGCTTCTTAAAACATGTCTCAAGAAAGGTCTGAAAATTATTCTTTTGCAAATTGTTAAAAGTTTTATGCTCACCTAAGGCTTTTCTGGGTATTTTCACAATAGATGAAAACACATTTTCTCCAGGGAACTGATCTAACCTCAAATTCTAATAGGCACATTGCTTGTGGTGCCAAAAACCCTGTTTATTTTTTGGCCCAAAGTAGTTATGACCAACAGCTCTCCAGAGCTCTGCCTTTGCCACTGATTGGGCACATAGGAATACATTGAAAATATCATTTCATATACATCCTCACACAACTTCTCTAACTTTGTGGTCATCCAAGGAGTTGTGGGGCAACCATGTACCTTTCCTGTCCTTCATTCTAATAAGAAATATCAAAATATTACACAAGGGAAAGGTCTTTATGTCACCTATCTTGCTAGCATAAAAGTACTTAGATATGCATTCGAGGAAAGTTGGTAAGATCAATTGAAAAAAAAATCTGTCCTCTTTAGAGGAAACGTTTAGGATAATTTCAATATCGATCAGTTTGCCAAGCATTTTATAGACACAGCAATAAAGCATAACAATTACATTGCATGTATGCACATGAGCAGCGACTCAAAAATTTAAAAAATTCAATAGTTATGATATGGCCAACCAAAAGGATATGAGTCTGTGGAAATACAGTCCAACAGTTGGTGAAGTTGGGTCTTCAAAATTGACTTTTTACCCTTGTTCTGGTCCAATTCATTACTAAAAAGATAAAAAATCCCTATTCAGTAAAAATTGCTCATTTCCTAACTCTGGATTGCATTCCATATGAAAAACAAGGGGGTATCGTAAACAATATGCTTATAAATTCAATTTCTCCTTCTGCAAAATTTAGTAGAATATACCAACATGCAAAATAAACAATGGCTAAGCAATTGAGGGAATTTGAAATGAAAAAGCAAACATTTTACAGCAGACCACAGATCTGTGGGGATTCTGCCA